AGATTTTTGAAATTTGTTCTGTTTTGTTTTGTTTTTTTAAACACCATAACCACTATGGAGAAGATCCTTAGCCTCCAGCTGCAGTATAACCTGCAAAAATGTGAAATCAAGCTCCCGTTGATGATTTTCCGCTCTCCCTTAGACGTCACAGGGGCTGCGCGGTCGAATTACAGGCTTCTCTAAGAGAAGCAATGTTTTTTCATAAGCATCAATTGTGCCTAATAAGACCCTTTCGTAGTGATATCTAATTGCAATTTTATTTTGTTTAAAGGGATATCAAAAGCAAAAATGTGCTTCTTAAAAACAACTTGACTGCTTGTATAGCAGACTTCGGTCTGGCTTTGAAGTTTGAAGCTGGAAAGTCGGCAGGTGATACTCATGGCCAGGTAAGGGATTTTAATTTATTTCTTACATTTCTTAATTTGGATATCTTTAGACACTGCAAGTTGAGAGTGGTGTTAGCTTCTGAAACGTTTGGGTAGGATTGGTGCTTGGTGACCTTAGCTCTGTTGGCAAAGTATCTCTTCAGTATGTGCTTGATGATTATTCTTTGATAATTATTTAAGGTGTGCTTCTGTATTTTGTGATTCCCATATATAATGGCAGAAAACAGTAGACATCAGGACTAAGCTGCGTTTTATCACAAAGCGAGGAATTGTGGAGGGTTGATAGGGGAATTGCAACTGGAAAAAATAATGTGGATTACATCTCCCAAAATGCTGGCAAAATATCAGGGGAGATGTAGTCCCCAACACCTTGTGTGCCAAACGTTGCCTACCCCTGCAATATAAGGTGATGCCTGAACATCTTTGTAAACGTAGTCTGCATTGATCTGCAATGACAAGGTTAGTCTGCACAGCCTTTATTGAAAATTATTTCTTTGCTTTGTGTTTTCAGGTTGGTACCCGGAGATACATGGCTCCAGAAGTACTAGAAGGTGCTATCAATTTCCAGAGGGATGCATTTTTAAGGATAGATATGTATGCATTTGGCTTAGTGCTCTGGGAGTTGGCGTCAAGATGCACCGCTTCTGATGGTAATTTTTTCCCTCCTCTATATTTTTTATTTTTTTTATTTCACAGTTGCTTAGACTTTGTAATTTTAAACATGAATAATGCACACCTTCCATACCACAGTGATCATTTTGAAAAAGGCCAAATCTGATTGTTTAGTACTTTAAAGGAGCCTGTTAAAACTCCCTTCAACTTCCAATCCAGCTCCTCGGTGTCTTTACAGAGGTGGGTGTTCTGTAACAGCCATCTTCTTTCCATCCGGTCACCTTTTCAATGTACCCTGTTCTGCAACTGCAAAACGCTGGCTTAATTTGCCAGCATGCTGACGTCTGAACTGAGCGACATCCATCACGCAGTTCTTGTAATTCCAAGTCCGCCCTAGTAGCATAGGCTATATAGGGAGTTACCATAGCAACCACAGGGCATGTGCTATGTGCAAAGCAGGGCGACTGCCTGTGGGAGGTATTTTTTTGCTCTCACATTTCAATCCATTCTTTGGCATAGTCTGTGCTGAAAAATTTACACTTTCCTTCCACCTGTCGATTAATAAATATAATTTTCTCTTATCTATACATTTGCTAGCAAATCTGTTACCATAATGTGTAGATAGAATTGCATGCTCTTTTAAAAGAGCATAAGTTGTTAATGGAATGACAGGTTCTCTAAAAGTACTCCAACCTGTTCAGTAGATTTGGTTATATTTGATAGCTTTGGGACATATAGAATGTTACATATAGAATGAAGGAAAGGTTGCATAAGAGGAAGGTTGTGTTTGAGCTTCCTGTTTAGGTAGCCAAAGCTCTAAGGGGTCTAAGTACCCTTGAGGTGAACTTTGTAGATCCAAATTGCAAATTCAGATAGTTCAATTCTAGTTTAATTTTGAAGTTCTATAGCTACACTGGGTTTGAGCTCTGCAGCCATCCTGGTGTTTAATGTTCCCGATGCTGTGAGTTTTAATCAGATGACTTTCTGCACTCAGAAGTCCAATTAGAACAGTGGTCTCCAACCCAGTCCTCATGGACCACCAACAGTCCAGGATTTATGTATTTCCTTGTTTTATTCCAATGGAGATACTGACAAAACCTGGACTGTTGGTTAGCCATGAGGACTAGGTTGGAGACCACTGAATTAGAGAGTGAGTCTGCACTCAAGCATTGAGACACTTTTTAAAAAGGTTAATATTTGTTTTACAAATAGTTTAAAATAACTTTAAAAATGTCTGCAGGTCCTGTGGATGAATATATGTTGCCATTTGAAGAGGAAGTTGGCCAGCATCCGTCATTGGAAGATATGCAAGAAATCGTAGTTCACAAAAAGAAAAGGCCTATATTAAGGGAGTGTTGGCAGAAGCATGCAGTAAGTACTGAGCTAAATCTACCAAACCTAGATAGGCATTGGCTTTGTTGTTTGTAAGCAGATATACTCTAAGTTTCCTCTTTTCCCACAGGGGTTGGCAATGCTCTGTGAAACAATCGAGGAATGCTGGGATCATGATGCAGAGGCCAGGTTATCGGCTGGGTGTGTAGAGGAGCGAATCATTCAGATGCAAAGACTCACAAACATTATCACAACCGAGGACATAGTAACAGTGGTCACGATGGTGACAAATGTGGACTTCCCTCCTAAGGAATCTAGTCTATGATGGTTGCACCTGGATGTGTTTTCCAATCAACAGGACTCTGGTCTGGAGCTGCTAAGCTAAAGAAACAGCTTTCTTACAAATTAATGCATTTTTCATGTGGGAAAAAATTGGAATTGGTTGGTCTATGAATGGAATGTTGGTTTGGAGACGAGACTCTTTGATATTGGTTTGCCAGACTTCTTTCATTCCATGCAAATGCCTGAAGGGCACGTGACTTGCAACACATTTTAGGAATGAAAGAAATAAAAATGAAGTAATGCAAAAATGAGGATCCCTTCTCTGGCTGAAAAGATGCACCGATTTTCTAAACATGTCAGAAAAAGACTAATACCTTAAGTGAACTACTGCTATATACATATATATATAAATATATATATATATATATTTTTTTTTTTTTTTTTTTTTTAAATCAAAGCATTTCATTTCAGATTTAAAAAAAGGGTAACTGTTTTTATTGCATTTGCTGTTGTGTTTATATCAATGACTATTGTAATGCCAATATGACACAGCTTGTGAATGTTTAGTGTGCTGCTGTTCTATGTATATAAAACTAAATAATCAGTGGAACATATTAAAGAGGCTTCCAAGCATACGTCAACCTCCCTCAACAAGGTATACCTCAGTTCCACAATTCTCTAAATTATACAATTGAAAACACTAAGAATTTTTAATAAATTGTTCCATATTTTTTCTTTTAATAATGTTTTATAATTTAGCTGTTATTTAAAAACATATATATATATATATATATATATATATATATATATATATATATATATATATATATATATATATATATATATATATATATATATATATATTTGAGCTGTGATTTTAAAACCTTTTGGATCAGGAATAATTTTCTGAAGTAGCTGCTGATCTGGGACTATCCGAACTCTCAGCCTATCCCTGCTTGGCAAAGGGTGGTGAGAGGTAAAGTCAAACAGATGAGGGACCGTCACTTGCGCACTGACCTTTTCACTATCATGGATATACTCTCAGGCAGCAAAGCAAGTGAATGATACTTTACTTATGGATTTCTCTATCACAGAAAAGAAATATTAACATTAAATCGCCATTTTAAAGCATTTTTATTTTTTGACATTTTTATTTTCCCTGTGATGCGGTTTTTAAAAATGCATCAAATTCTTTTAGTTTCTTTACATTTTCCAGGTGAAAAGCCTTCTTAACTCCTCCGAATTGATTTTACTTCAGTACTCCGTATATTGGTTTGCTGTGTCTAAGGAATAATTTAAAATACAAGCATGTTTTATTGTATTTTTCTTGGGGAAGGGGGGTCCAATTTGTGAGCTGTAACACTGGAACACTCAGTTCTCCTAATTTGTCTGAGATGACGAGTTTTATGTATGTGTGTGTGTATGTGTGTATATATGTATATATTTGTTATTGTATATACATATATGTTTGTGTGTGTTCTGTTCAGCAAAACGGGATACAGAATAGTCTGCATGGCTGTTTCATGATCACCTCAGGAAGTTTCGTTACCCAGAATTCCTCACTGCTTTTTAAGACTTACAACCGCACAATACACGACCATAGTGCCATCATGTCGAGGTAGCATCTGTAATCTGGGTTCTCTCTGTTTCTCAAAATCCTTTAGATTTTGTCCAACGCAGGTTTCAGATGTTTCAAAATAATAAAATCAGGGAACTGTATTAAAATATATTACCCTCAAATATGCAAATATTATTTTGAGGTGTAATCATTACTGGCATTGTTGGGTCAGTGCCAAGCAAAAAAATGAAAAATTGCAACAAAGAAACCAAACAAACAAACAAAAATATATATATATATATATATATATATATATATATATATATATCTCTATATATATATATATATATATATATATATATATCTCTATATATATATATATATCTCTATCTGATTCTGATGGGAAAAGTTCTTCCCAAACACCTGAAATTCTAGCCTGTGAAAGCAGAAAGGCGATTGATGTTTTTTACACCATAACAGTAAAATAAAATAGTTTGGACTTGGGAATAGGTGCCAAAGTCTGTCTCACAATGGAATAACAAATCCTGAATAAGTACATGCCAAAGTGAAAATATTATTTTCCATATTTTTGGCGTCTTTTAAAATGAACCTTCATTAGCCAGTATTATATTTGTAAATTTTGATGCAGGAAATTTTTTTTTTTAAAGGACACATTTATAATTGGGAGCTAACTGTGAGTGTATATTTGCTAATCTTAATAAACCACAGGACTTGATATGCACTTATTCTCTCGGAACAATACAATTCATAACGTACAACGTATTCTAAAGAAGTAAAGAAGACTGAATTCTGTTTTCGTTCAAACACGAAAAACAGAGATATACCTACCATGATTAATCCTTGGATATATATTATCATCCTTTGCTGACTGTGGGTTAGGTTCTATTCGACAATAAAAGCTTTATATCTTTTAATTGGAAAGCCATTTTTTAATTGACATCCATGGCAAAATGATATTCGGATAAAAGAAATAAGCTTAGCATATCTAATACAATCTAGCCCAATATATTCAATGAGGAGTGTAACATACAGATCACGACACCTACAATGTCCAGGGTTAGTGTTTAAAAACCTAAAATTCAGCCTTTCCCACTGAGTGTATTTCTTTCCAACTCAAGTCACGGCTGCCATTAATGAACTTTAGTTGTCATTGTCCTCACCCCACCTCTTGCAAGTTGGTTAATGCACCAACATCAATCACTGTGCAAACCTAAGCATTGCAGGTTTGATTCCTAGCAGGGCTTATCTGGGATTCAGTCTATATACATGATCTATATTCATGATGTTTTAACATAGCCATTTTAAATGCTTTGTGAAATATTTGAAGGAGATGCTCATGTAATGCTTTTCTTTAGGTCCCATTTAATCAAAGTAATGTAATAAATTATTTGACCCCACATCATTTTGCAGTACACATGTATCCATGTGTTTACTGCTTATCCCAGCTACAGCAATTTTAGTGAAAGCTAGGAGATATAATTTACCAGTTTCTGGAAGTGTTTTGTGAAATTATCCCTTACCCGAATGAACCTGAAATATAAATCTATATAATGTGCTGTGTGTTTGATTCAAAAATGCCAATGCTCATAAGTCTTTGGAAACAATTAGACATTCAGAATTCAAGGACTCCTGTCACTTAAACTGGATTTACTACGTGAATGTGAAACATAAAGTGTCTTTATATTGTCAACCAGAGGTTAGAGTTGCTGCACCTAGCTTATCACTGTTAGATGTTGAATCACCAATATTTGACCTCAAGTGGCACATGGCTATTCCCAGCTGCTTGCTGGTATCAGGTGGAGTGCTATTAAAGATCTTTAGACAATTTTTGGTGCCAGAAAATTTGCAAGCAAATGTATAGATTAGAGGATAAAATCGGTTTCCTCGTCTGCATATGTGACTTCACCTTATTACTCTTAAGAGCTAAAATGTGTAGCTGTATGGATTGTGATGTGTTGAATTAGGGGTATACAACGAAGTACTGATACACTTGCTTTCAAGTCTGATATATATTATACAGTCAGTGGTCTACATTCACTGTAAACTCTGTTTAGGAATCTTGTGAACAGCTCTCTCCTTTACGTCAGCTAACGATAGCCATCAAGTATTTATTCTGCCCATGGCGAAGCATGCTAAGGTATCTTTTAAGTCTTTAATGCTCTTTTTGATGATCCAGAGATTAAAATTTATGAACAGAAAGATGTCATTGTATTAAGGCTGTAGATCACGTAACGCTCTCTAATGGAAATGAGTGGGTCTTTGAAGCAAGAGAGTGGGACTTCAGTCAAAATATTTATTACTGTTTCGTAAGACATAAGGCATGGAAGCATAATGTCTAAAATTGACCTGTGTCTGCTTTACAATATTTTGTGTATTTTTCAGAAATTTAAGGTGAACATATTCTCTATTAGTGGGTTTTTTGTTTCTTCCCATTTTAAATTTCAGGGCATGCTTTGTAAAAACTCACATGGCTGTATTTCTGCCAGTGCATTGGTGGACAAATATTTCATAAATGTCATCAAAGAAAAGATTTGGTAACTTTTTAAAGCAAAGTAATAGGACATATGTCAGAGGGTTGATTTTTGTAAAAGAGCAAAGAATCAGAATAAATAAATAACTTTATATAATGTTATCTGGTTGTGATCCAGGTGTAGCTGATCTAAATCTTCTACATGAATCCATATTTAAGCATTTACATATTTGAAAATGTTCTGAATTAATATTCCAGAAACCTCCCAGATTATACTAGTTTTGCCAACTTTCTGCTTGTTTGAAGTTAGCCACTTCATGTTGGGAAGCATGTATGTATTCACTAACATTACCCCTTTTAGGATTCATGTAGACCCCTCATTGTTCCCCTTCAATTAACCCGTTCTAAAATATCATAAGGTAAATTTATTGGCAAATTGAAACTAATCTTTTTTTCTTATAATTGTAACAAATCTTGTTTAATTCAGAATAAATTTATATTTTACTGCTTAAGTGAAAGGCTGTGTATTTCCATCTGGCACGCAACAGCATTGCTATTCTCATATATTTAATACCAAAAAAAGTAACAATTTAGGTATCACAAAATGAGTGACGTCATCTAAATCAGGGGTCCTTAAACTCCAGCCACCCAGATGTTGCTGAACTACAACTCCCATGATTCTCCATGTAATTCAAAGAATCATGGGAGTTGTAGTTCAGCAACATCTGGGGGGGCGGAGTTTGAGGACCCCTGATCGAAATAAAGGGATTTTGAGGTATAGATCCTGTCCACGCAGCTGAAACTGAGGAAATTGCATGGTTTAAATGTTGACACCCCCCAAGCTAGTAAGCTGTCAAAGTAATTCAACAATTGAATCCATTTTACATCCAGTGTCTGCATGCTGAGTTTACTGAGACAAGACGCTTGGATGTGTGTGCCGAATATTACTTTATGAGAAGCTTTGGAGACAATGTGTTGGGATTGGTAGATCAAGGCGATTGCTGCGCATGCTCCATATGTTCTGTATAAGAAGCATTTGTTTGGTCACACATCAAGCTTGATGATCTCACTTTGGAAAAAATCAGGCTGCGTGAAAATTCCTTCCCAATCCTAGAATGAAATTGAGTTTAAAGGTAATAGGAGTTTGTTGGTTTTTTTTTTTTTTTTTTAACACGGTATATGAATAATGCAAGCATCTGCACCCAACTTCTTCACTGGATCCCCATTTATTATTGCTTTCATTTATTTTATTTGCCTATATACATTTTTGGTACTTTAAATACATCATTGATTAATTTCATTATCTTTAAACTGGTAGTTAAGTAGATGAAGTTTGAAGTTGCCTGTTTTTTGTTTTTTTCTTTTTTTTAAATTTATTTATTTTATTTTTTGCCTTGGGACGTGTACTGAATGTAATTCTGATTATAATACTTCCTTCCTCTGTGACAATAGCTCAAGACTATAAACTGCCAACTTTCGTTTCATAACTACAGATTTTTTCAATTTTAACAATGTTTTGTCCAATCTGTTTGAAGACTTTTTATAATTTTTTTATTAGATGCATTTGGTCTTTTTATTTATGATTTCATTGCAAAAGCGATGCAAGGAAGCATTGTTTAACCATCATTTACCTCAGATTTTCAACCAGCAACTAAGTTTTTATGCAGTCTCAGTCCATATAATATGTTACCTCTCGGATATAATACTAAACCGGTGATTACTAAACTAGTAACCCTGGGTGTTCAGGAACTACATTTACCTTGATCCATAATCTTTATTTTAGGAGCACGGGAAATGTAGATCTTAAACTTCTGCGATTGCCAGGTTAATTTTCACTGTACTAAGTGATTCTTCTAGCTATCTGCTCTCTGTATTTCTGTCTGTGTGCAGGCACAGGTTATTGTACTACTGTCTGTTTTTAATTACTATATATATATATATATATATATATATATATATATATATATATATATATATATATATATATAAAAATTTTTTTTTTTTTTTTTTTTTTTTTTTGCAAGTACCTACAAAATGCCCTGGATAAAGTGATTGTTAAATATTGTACAAATAAAAGTGTATGCTATCCCCACCAAACAAAAATAAAAAAAATACATAAAAATAATAAGAAATAAAAATGTGAACATATGATTTTGTTGTCATGGGTGTTTTTGATTCTTTATAATTTAATGTGTGTGTGTATATTTATGTGTATATGTATATATATATATATATATATATATATATAATGTGTGTGTGTGTGTGTATTTCTACTTACTGTACTTTTTTTTTGTTGTTGGTATATTTGAGTTGGCCAATTAGATAATGTGGCAATAGTGAGCAGTTTTTAAATTTCAAATGTCCTTATGCTGTGTCACTTTGCATTTACAATTTGGAAGTCTTGTGTATCTTGTCATAGATCATGGCAGCACACCAATGGGTAGCTGCTTCCTATCCATAATTAGACAGGAACCTAATTAAAACAAAAGGTATAATTAACCCCTCCTATCCCTTCCATATTTTATTTTTCCTTGTCATAGATCATGGCAGCACACCAATGGGTAGCTGCTTCCTATCCATAATTAGACAGGAACCTAATTAAAACAAAAGGTATAATTAACCCCTCCTATCCCTTCCATATTTTATTTTTCCTTGTCATAGATCATGGCAGCACACCAATGGGTAGCTGCTTCCTATCCATAATTAGACAGGAACCTAATTAAAACAAAAGGTATAATTAACCCCTCCTATCCCTTCCACCCTCAGTCTTGTTTACAGCAATATCCCAGGGTGGGAACAATTGGTAACTGGGGGGGGGGGGTGTCTGTAAGATACACAAGACTTCCAAATTGTAAATGCAAAGTGACACAGCATAAGGACATTTGAAATTTAAAAACTGCTCACTATTGCCACATTATCTAATTGGCCAACTCAAATATACCAACAACAAAAAAAAAGTTTGAGAAAAGTATTGGTTGAGGATCAACTAGCCATTTTACCTATAAGTTCTGGGGAAAACTTGATCACTGACGCCCAGGAGGGAGAAGGCTCTCTAGTGGGGAGCTAACAGACCTTAAGGTACTTGTAAGGAAACTAAGTGTATTTAAACCTCATTCGGTAGTTTCCTCCTGAACCGCCAGAGCCTTAGTGATTATAGCCCTCCGTTCGGTAGATAGACGAACCATATAGTAATCCCAGTAGCTTCATAAGATGATTCCCTTAGTGAAGCACACGAATCCCCAAACATCAGCCGAAGACAAGAAGGGTACAACTGAACTACTTTTTAATGGGTGCACACAGGCTTTTATGCAAGTCCCCATGCAAGGGGACATCCCCCAGGGAGGGACAAAGATTAACCAATAAAGTACTGTAAAAACATAACACACACCCACACTTCCCTCCCCTAGCTCTGGAGATAATCAAGTCTGATAAAGTAATAACTTGATTATCTCCAGGCAGACAAATTGCATTTTTTTCCAATAACTGAAACACCCCTTTATACTTGGAGTATCCCCACAAATAGCATGTCCCCTGCTAGCCCTGATCTGGGTGACCAACATATCCAAATTTCACCCAGATCGGTTCAGGGGTTCTCAAAAACTGTGGAGGTCTTCTGTGACCGGCTCACCCTGGGCTGGATGCCCAAAACAGTTCCATGAGTTTGGTGGGTTTTGACGGTCACTTTAGCAAAAGGGGAAAAAGCAAACAAAGTACCGAATGGATCCCCCTGGCTCTTAGCAGCGATCATTCCCCTCTGTCGAATGCACCAAACTTACCGAATAGCGCTCCCCTAGCTATTTGGTAAGTAGAGTTCCAGCGTTCGTCTGCTTGAGACCGGTGTTCGGGAAGTAGAGTGTCCGATTTTAGTTCCAGACACTCGACGACCAAGTCCGTCTGCCTTTGTTTGCATGAACAAAGATGGCCGCGGTTTTCTCCGCCACGTGGCGTTCGGCAGTACGAACGCTGGCCGCACAGATAGAGGGATCAATTGGAGCAGCCTTTGAAGTTTAACGAGCCGGGGGGGGGTGGTCTTTGTTCGGTAGTTACATCTACCGAATGCAATAGGAAGAAAACATGTAATAAAGGGAGATTTCTTCACAGTACTGTAACCACTAGGGATGAAGACTAAGACTGTTGTAGTAGTATTACTACCACTGTTGGTCCATTAAGAAACTTAGACTATTAGAACAAAGCTAAATAGCAGATCTATAGAAATAGGTACTAGGACATGAGGAGAAAGTTTAATTTTTGAGTCTTCATTCTAATCAGTAGGTGTCACTGATTGACCAAATTCAGAAACCGATTTGATGATTATTCTATATTGGTGAAATATAGTACTGGGTTCTATGCAAAATAGTGCTTGAAAATGTGATATCCTTCTGCCAATGCTATTGTCGCCGAATTTATTAAGCATTTGTGGAGAAATAGTATCATAGTTAAAAGTGGGGACATTTACAGAGCCCTTCAAAACAAAACAAAATCAGGGAAGAATTCCATGGGGAGCAATGGTTAATTGAGGGATCATATGAATACAGCTGACAGATATTTACATACCTCAATATCAAAGCCCCTTTACGAAACAAGATCATAGAGTGCCGAGACATGTACCTCAGAGGTGTTGTGGCTTGGTATTCAGTGAGTCCTGGATTGAAGCACTTTTGAACCTCCTTGAATGATCACCTAATTAGAAACAGATCAGGAAGAGAGGCTTCCCAACTCTGTAAAGATAGCTGGAGATATGTTTTCCCTGGCCTTCGGAAGGGTATTAATTACTTCAGCTGAAAAAAACCTATTTAAGACCTTTTCAATATCCAAATCTTCAGAATGAGGAAAGTAGGACTGGATCTGATGGAAGAGGGAATAACTCTTTTGGGAGATACCATGGAGGTACTGAAGGAGATAAGCAGGAAGTGGAAACCATGGACTGGGTACCAATATGGAACTGTCAGGATAATTGATATTGGCTCTTACAACCTATGCAGAAGAGAGGTGTTGGATATTAAGGATGTCCCTTTCCTGAACGTATTAGATTTTGGAGAAAAAGTTCCTCAACCACAGTGGATGAAATTCATAGTTATCACTGTCTTAGGAATTTCTATAGAAAATGTAACCTCCTCCCTTGTGCCCATCTTAATAGACCTATGGTGGATGACCTGGATCAAAATTCTCTGCTGAAGTTATATGACAGTCAATATCCTTTACATACTTGATCAGTCTACTGCATTCTATGAAGAAAGCTGTACCATGCCTTGGACTGTGTTGAACCATGTTCCCAGCTACACCCTAAACTGGGAGGGAGCAAGGTGACTTCAGCAGACATTTATCTTTCACTGTGAAGATGTAAAAATGAAAGTGTTTTTCCCACTGCAATCTGACAAACCTCTTGTGATGTGGGGCAATGGGTACATGAAAAATGAGCATCCTGCAAACTTATAGACACCCAATGTTCTAGGAATACTGCCTTTATGATGAATGTCCAAGAATCCTGTAACTTACGTAGATCTAAAATTGATCTCAATCTGCCTGTTTGAAACTGAATCTTTGTGTTCGAGCTGCTTTTAAAATGTCTTACAAAAGCTTCCTCTAAATGAAGAGAAGCCATGAAATTTGCGTCTTCCCCCCCCCACCCCCATGTAGAAGAATGACAATTTCTCAAGGTTGCAATATAACCTACCCTCTTACTGGTGTGAAATACCTGGGTCCTGGAAGGAAAGGAATGAGAGTCCTTGGTGTGAAAGGGTCTCCTGAACCATAGGTCTTGAAGTAGAGACGCTTTCCTGCCCTCTGCTGTTCTCATGGTCCATTCATCTAGGACAGGCTTCCCCAAACTCCGGCCCTCCAGATGGTGCTGAACTACAACTCACGTGATTCTATGAATGAAATAGGCTGAGAATCATGGGAGTTGTAGTTCAGCAACATCTGGAGGGCCGGAGTTTTTGTGAAGCCTGATCTAGGAGGATGCATCTGCAGACTAGGTACTGAGCCAAATAGCCGACTAGTAGACACAAACAGAGTCATATTTCTGGCTAGAGTATATCACAACCTACGGAGGCATCTGAGCTGAAGACTATCTTAAGGCTTAATGACTTGTAAACTGTCAACATACAAAATGAAGATTATCTCCAACATGCTCCTCCCAAATTATCCATACCAGATCCTTAGAGACTGAGATAAGAGCTTACAGTAGGATGAAAGTCTGTGCCAATTGCCACATACAGGTGATACTTCAAAAATTAAAATATCATGCAAAAGTTCATTTATTTCAGTAATGCAACGTAAAAGGGGAAGCTAATATATGAGGGCCCAAACCAAGTACTGAGTCCATATGCATGCTTATACTTTTCAGATGTCCGATATTGTTCTATGTACACTCCTTGTTTTATTGATTGCATGTAATATTCTAATTTACTGAGATTGTGGATTTAGGGTTCTCATGAGCTGTAAGCCATAATCATCGCACTTATGACAAATCACGGCTTGAACTATCTTGCTTTGCATGTAATGCGTCTATCTCATATATTAGTTTCCCCTTTTACGTTGCATTACTGAAATAAATGAACTTTTTGCACGATATTCTAATTTTTCGAGTATCACCTGTATGCTTTTAGAGAGCATCAATACCATCTATATTACATAGAGTCTCAGAGAGACTCCATGGACCTTAGATTATTACAGGTATTAGGACCTGCAGACTATGTATATCAAATGGTCCACTTCAGTTGATTCATCGGGAAGTACAAGATAGCAGAGTTGTACATTAAACCTTTCAATGATGGCATGTTAGTCAGTCTCACAATAACTCTTTCAGGGATGGAATGTTAGTCAACATCATATTAATCCTTGCAATCCATAAGCTCTGTATGTGCATGCCCAGCCTGCTACCCCTTGGTCACTGCTGGAAATAAGGTGACAAGAATGATCTTGCTACTCCTATGGTCACAGCAAGTAAACCCCTAGTTACTAAAAGGGTATCTGCAGGGGGACACCTTTCCACAGAGCTGTGTACTGAAAACTTCCCAAGGAAGAGATGCTGAACTCCCTTGAGGCAGAAAGAAACAACCTTAAGGTAAGCCAAAAAGAAAATTCTCTAGTCTTACAATGACTGTGTGTGTCCTAGGGATTGGACAGGAACAAAAAGACTGAGGATAGGAGGGGTAACTTATACTTTTTGTTTTAATTAGGTTCCTGTCTAATTAAAGGAACACTATAGTCACCTAAATTACTTTAGCTAAATAAAGCAGTTTTAGTGTATAGATCATTCCCCTGTAATTTCACTGCTCAATTCACTGTCATTTAGGAGTTAAATCACGTTGTTTCTGTTTATGCAGCTCTAGCCACACCTCCCCTGGCTATGATTGACAGAGCCTGCATGAAAAAAAAACTGGTTTCACTTTCAAACAGATGTAATTTACCATAAATAATAATATCTCAATCTCTAAATTGAACTTTAATCACATACAGGAGGCTCTTGCAGTGTCTAGCAAGCTATTAACATAGCAGGGGATAAGAAAATCTTAATTAAACAGAACTTGCAATAAATAAAGCCTAAATATGGCTCTCTTTACAGGAAGTGTTTATGGAAGGCTGTGCAAGTCACATGCAGGGAGGTGTGACTAGGGTTCATAAACAAAGGGATTTAACTCCTAAATGGCAGAGGATTGAGCAGTGAGGCTGCAGGGGCATGTTCTATACACCAAAACTGCTTCATTAAGACTATAGTGTCCCTTTAAGGATAGGGAGCAACTATCCATTGTTGTGATGCCATGGATATGGCCAGGTCACTCACTAGCTCCAAATAATTTTTTAAGCCAAAATTAAACCTAATTTGTAATAACCCCTAGAGGCATCCCAGTCAATACAGTTTACTGAAAATGGTAACAGAATGTAAAATTAAGTTATTTAAAACTGCTATAGCAATCAGTGTCAATCTCTGGATGGCTAATGTAATGCTGAAAGTGAAGGGGGGGCGGGGGAGGGTCCATTCACTCGTCCCCTCAACCTGACTGTAGGAATGATATGCCCTACTGAAACGTCCTGTACTTTGGAAGCAGTTGATGACCTTACATTTCCACAACCATCATGTAGGCGTTAAATAGTGACTAGTTGCTTCTGGCAGAGAAATTCTTTCCCCTACATGCTTGTAATCATTACTAGAGTATAAATGAGCATGAGAAGGCTTTGTGGACTAAATTTCATAATGCAAAATACATGTAAATAAAACAGTTTATACTCTATTTGGATATTGAAGGTGTTACAAGTGGTTATGTCACTAAATATAAACGTTACTATAATATGCTTCTATATAGCTCCATGTGTCTGTATATACTTTTCTTTTTTTTCCTGAGTGCTCAGCTTTTGGTACAATACACGAAGACAGGGAGGGAATACTTTTCCTTATTTTTCGCATTCAAGTTCACAAAACTTGACTGTGGGCGTGGCTTAGAGCAAGTGCCTGCTTCGGTTGTCAATCAGATTTCCACATGATCCATTAGAGGGCAAACAGCAGACATCATGGTGCAGAGGAAAACAAAATGGCTGCGACCAGATATTGAGATCTGACATGTGAATAAAAGCAATTAACAAAGGAAGGCGTCAAATAATCGAGATACAAGGGTTATAAGAAAATGAAAGGTCCAATTTAACTTCTCCATGAAAGAGGCCTTTTTTTTGGCATTTTTAGCCTTTGTTCCTGTAATTTAACAGTTTCCCTTTAAGTACACCCATACATATATACTGTTTTTAAAAGACTGATAGGACTTTTTTTTCAATTTTTTTTAAATCAGGCCCTTTATCACTCTTATGGTTTTACTGCAAACGTTGTTGAATATTTCTGGCAGTGACTTTCCCCATATAATACATGTTGAGATATGTACATCTTTCTTTATAGTCAGATCAGGCATCAGGATAATTTTTTTCTTCAGCAGATGTTTGCGTCCTTCTAGATTGTACTTGGAGAGCAATGTCTCCACTGCCCCCTAGTTCCATCAAGTGCTGGCAGCCCTGCCTGTCAACCTGTAATAAGCTAGAGAAAACAAAAACAGAACAAATACTTTGTCATTACAGGAAACTTCAGCATGTTGTCTTCCATTGGCAGAAAAGGGGAAATCACATTTGTATGAAAAAGGAAGCTTTTTCTATATGTGCCTGAGAGTGGCTTGTGATACAGTTATGAACGACAAGGGCAGATCGAGGGTAGCTAGATATGTATGTATGGGTGACAATCAGTGGCTGCTAGTTGAGAGTGTTGTGTGTGGCTAACTACACGTGTGCAAGTGTTATAGGGACACTACAGTCACTACAGCTTAATGTCCCTGTGGACATTTTTAATGTAAATGCTGCCTTTGCATGGAGATGCATTGCTTTAATGCATCTCTATGAGGAGATGCTGATTGGCCAGGGTGGCATTTGGCTCTGCCCCCATCCCGTCTCCTTGGCTGAGATCATCAGAATTGACAATCTCAGCCAATCCAATGCTTTCTTCAAGCGGGGCCAGGTGTAAGCAACCCTATGCAGAACAGGAAAAAGCTGAATAAATCACCTCTTTAACCCGAGGTAAGGGGGGTGAGCGACCACCTAAACGGTGGTATTAAAACTATAGTATCAGGAATATACGTTTGTGCTCCTGACACAATAGTGGCCCTTTAAATTTGGTATACTCAGTTGTGGTTTGATAAAACCATGCTAACTTGCGTAGCTGAACTTTAATATACACAACCATGGTGGGATTCTGTCTCTAATTTCACTGATGTGGTGATAGCTACACTTGTCACCCTAACCCTTAGTCTCAGAACTATACTGCCACTATAGGCAGGCTTACCTTTTTGGGAGTGTAATTCACAGCTCTGTAGTACTGTAAGCTTGTAATAACTGTCCTGGTGTACATTCAGAGAGTGTATATTAAAGCGGCACTGTCAGAATTTCCAAAGAACCCCGGCAGTGAAAGGTGAAGTCTACTTACCTGAAACTGTCCCTCACGGGCGCCGCCATCATCCTGCGGCGGTTCCTCTTCAGTGCCAGGAGAGGACATTACTGCTGTAACAGCACTGAGGTCTATGATGATCCTGCGAGAGCGCATGATCCTCCATAGATAGAGCCAATTCCCTGAAACGGTCACTGGTGATGACCGAGAGTTGACACTTCTAGACGGCCGTGTGTCTAAAAAAGTACTCCCTACTTTGTCTTGTGTTTTTAGTTAGAAATAGATGGGGAAAAAAACAAAGAGTGAGAAAGAGGAAGCGATTGGGAAAAGGTAAGGGCGGCCTTTAAATGAAATGATCAACACAAGCTACAGTTTATTTTCATTGGTTTATTCAATGCCGTAAATTCCACAGAACTGAAAGTTTGCCTTTATTTTGTCAATCAAAAATGATGCCTAAATGGTGTAACTTGATTTGTTTGGTCTTGCCACTTCATCAAACGAAAGTATACAGGGTTACTTACCTAAGTGAGAATTCAAAGTGAATTTCAAATTGAAGGTTAAAATAGCCATATTGGAAAAATTCAACAAGTCAGCTGTGCTTCGAGTTTGGCTACTTTGGTCTAAAATTTGACATTGACTTAAAATTTTCACCTTAATAAATAACACTAATAGTTTCATTTTTCATGCGCAGGCATGTTGGGCACACGCAATACAAGTTCCCACCAACTCAAACGGACTCTTTCATAGTTTAGAGCTACAATCTGGTGTGTTTCTTACAGTCCCTCCCACAAAACTAGCAAAATCTACAAAGGTGGTTCAAACATAGATAGCGCTTTGCCCTTAATCGCATTTTAATAATACAGCCCAGTGTGAACATGCAGAAATAGCCCACAAAATGGAGTGAGGTATATTTATATAAACCCTTTGGATTGGGAAGGAGAATCAAATATTACATTTGTAAATAATGTCAATATTAAAGTTTATTGATATCAAAACATATATATTTTTTTTTAATTACAAAAACTATTTGAAATACTCTTAACACGGTCCCTCAACTTAATGAGGACACAGCCCATTGCTTAACATCTGTGGGGCAGTTGGGGTACTTCTGGAGAGCTTCTGTGATCTGGGTGTTATCTAGAAGTAGCTTCATGAGTCTGTATTCCTTTTGTGCGCGGACAGACAGGCCTTCCATAGGTTTAATCAGCTCCAGCTGATGAAGATGTTCAAATGCCTGAATTTAGGCAAAAACACGAGTAAATAACCAGCAATGATAAAAGTAATGCTGTACTCATCAAATACCTGTATCAGAAAGTTATCGAATAAAAGCACACACATACACACAAATGATGTGCAATACTATCCAGCAGAGGGAGCAAATCACATACTCATTGACTAGAAGCTATTAGCTTCCAAACCCCATGAAGAAGATTCTGTATATATCTAGAGATGGCTAACATACAATAAAATGAGGGGTAGGGCAAAAGTAGACCTTTAGATACTGTTGAACTGCAACTCCCATGATACAATACAGACTGTTCACATCCACATGAAATCTAATGCTTTAAAATCTCAGTATAAATGATAAAGATGTCTAAGCCAAAATATAAAAGTAATTTATATCTGATGCTAGAACCGGTTTGAAACATTTCTAAGTTATTAGCTAGACTTAAAGGGACACTATAGGCACCCAGACGACTTCAGATCATTGAAATGGTCTGGGTGCAATGTCCCAGGTCCCTAAACCCCGTAAAAGCAATTATTGCAGTTTTTACCAGACAGCTATTAGAGGGACTTCCGGGATGTTAGGCAACTTTTGAAGTGGGAAGTTATGGTGCCAGGAAAAAAAGTTGGTTTTCCTGGTGCTATAGTTTCCCTTTAACCCCTTAAGGACACATGACATGTCTGACATGTCATGATTCCCTTTTATTCCAGAAGTTAAGCTAAGCTCTCTGCAGAGAAGACTACTTGCAGTGGCAGCGATGCAGGCAGCCCCTGCACACCTTCAAATACAGCACGGTCACAGGGACGTACTGGTAGGCATGGGCATGAGAATGAGAATGAAAGAGAGGGTTTAAATCTTACTAAATGCATTTTATTTACCTTACTTCCCACGCCGTGATGGTCTTGATGCAGCAGCATCAGTGGCTGAGATCATCAAGTTTGATAACCTCAGCAAATGCAATGCTTCCCCAACAGCAAAACATCATGCTGTGCCAATCAAATATTCTCTGTGAGCAGCATTTGATTGACAACCGTGTAAGACTCAGTTCTCACAGGGGAAGTGCCTCTAGTGGCCATCAGGAATACAGCCACTAGAGGTGTGTTTAACCCTGCAATGGCAACATCGCAGGTTCTATAAAACTGCAAATATTTTACATTGCTGGGTTAAAATTGAAGGGACACAGCACCGAGTTCACTAGAATGTGATGAAATCTTCTGTTGCCTTTAGTGGTTCTTTAAGGCACACAGGAGGACAGCAGTCCTCCAATCTCCAAGCTGTGAAAGGGTGTAAAATATGTTTACTGGTCCTTAGATGTGGCTGTCTCAGTTACTGTGCACCTTCAGATAAGGGACAGCAAAAGAATACTTTGCAATGCACCCCCTGGTGGTTGCAACTAATCTAGCATCATTCAAATAAAATAGAGGGGAAAGAAACAGAAGCCAAACTATCCCCAGGAGAAGGTAGCCCACTGGAAAGATGCAGTTTGGTCAGCCCTGTGCTGGCACCCAGATACTATAGTTATCAGTGCAAGGTTTATATTTCATTACAAATTATATATAAATCTTAGGATGTGTTTGTCCTGCATTCTTTTGCTTTATATATATATATATATATATATATATATATATATACACACACACACACACACAGATTTATGAAATGTAGTGTATGAAGTATGTTTTTGGCGACTTAAAGGGATAATTTAGAGCTCGGAATACAAACTTGCATTTCTAACACTATAGCTCCCCCAAACCCCCTGCACTGTAAGGATAAATAAACCTTTACTGTACTTACCCGATTCCAGTGCCGCTGGACCTTTGCGCTGGGTCAGCACTTCGCCTGCTCTGACGTCACCTGACGCAGAGAGTGAGGATGTCCAGCGTCAGTCGACCAAAAGTCGTTTAATAAACAGAAAGGGCCTCTAGTGCAGTGATGGCTAACCTTAACACCATAAATTGTTTCTGGACTACATTTCCCATGATGCTCATCTAGCTTTTAGAGTCTAAAAGTGGTCTTGGTGCCTATAGTGTCCATTTAATGCGCATGCATAAAGAAATACAAGCTGGAGATGGCAGCAATATAGAGATAACATAGATTACATGTAAGACAACATATGGGGCCAGACTAGTTTATTTGTTCACTCTATACAAAACTATTTTTAATACGGAGGATAATATGCAGGATTATTAACTAAAGGGTCAATTGTCAGGAATTCAATGTGAATTTCACAATTTAAGCCGAATTAGCTGAACCGAAAGCATTGCTGATTTAGAGAAGTTTCTAGTGATTCTGGCCTAAAATGTGAAATTTACTTTTATCTTTCTTTCCATCCCTGGCAATTCACATGTTAGTGCATAACCTGGATAATAAAACATGGGACTCACCTTCATTACAATAGGGGTCTCAAAATTATACACAGAATGAGCCTTTCTCTGAACGAACTTCTGAAATTCTGTAAGAACACAAAAAGCAAGAGAAGCAGTTTATTATTGGAGAGATTAGTAATCACTTTGCAATTATCAACAATGGTGATGGTTTTGGGTACTGCTCAGGTTTGTGAACTAAATTTTTTTTAACATTATCTTAAGACTAACATACAGATTGCTAGTGTCTGTTCAAGAGAGATTTCATTGATCATTCAATGTTTCTACCATGTAACATTAGCAATATTACACGTAACACAACTAGCAGGGAAACCTGAACCGATCAATGTATACAATGGTGTCCAGAGTAATTTTTGGTTTCAAGGAACTGACTAGCACAGTCCGGTTTCTGTTATTAGTAAGTCCGAACGTAAAATTCACACAGTTAAACAACAATGAGAAAATAAATATATTGTACCGTTATGGACCATCTGAAAGTTAAATGGCTCTCCGTCATAAATGTCATGCAAGTGTTTCATGGCTATAATAAGGCACAGCTCTAGGACAGACAGACCTGGAATGAGAGAGCAATATGTATGTATTTCCCATGGGATCCACATGTAGATCACAATAAACAGTAACCAGCTGTGGTTTTAAATCTCTTACCTGGGATGGTTTTATGGCCACATATTTATGCAATATCCTAACATTGAAGTATTTACAATATGCCGGATAGTCCTGTGTCCATTGAAGCAAAATGCTATCTTATCATGAATTGTGCAGAGTCACAGCCTGTTTAAAAGATGTCCCCCCAACCGCTATTGCCTGATATCCTATGCCTCTCAAGCTTCTCCAACTACCAACACACAGAGAGAGACACCATCCAGACAATGTTACTTGATACTCACCATGCAAAAGATTTGCTTTGGAATCCATACTCCGGAGCTTAAACGCTTCAAGAAAGTCGCCAGCATTCAACTGAGGATGAGATGCATTTATGCGGCATAAGGTAAGAAGCTGTAAATAAAAGTATTCATTAAAAACTCAGTTCAAACAGAGATTTTAAAAAGGTAATTTGCATTTGCTACCTACAATGGTACAGTTACAATATATATATCTGTCTGCAGTACAAATTTTAAACTGTATACAATATATATTTGGGACTAAGAGATCACTGGTGTTACAATTCAGACTGTAACAGTTTGGATTTAGATCTTCTGCCGCTGGACACACACGGTGGTATCCGCTGCCTTACTGATTAGAGTTAAAGCCTGAAGCTGTAGTATTTCTCCTCCAGAGGGAATCTGCCTGGAATTTCTGAATAGCTCCTGTAGAGGGACCGGTCTGATAACTTAATGATATAGGTTTTTTTCTGTAAGACACAAGTGAGCTAAAACATATCAGATTCCCAGTGTGAGACTGCACAGAGGACACGCTATTAAGCACTTTTCTATCTTTAAGTGTTAAATCAACAAAGCATATAATAAGAATCACAATGCTGAGTTATTCACTAAAAGAATTACAAAATTGAGGCTAAAATCTCAAAGCTAGCACTATCGCTGAACTGGTTCTCCTAATCTACTATGTTTTCCTAAATTTAGCAATTTGAAATTCAGTCCTAGCAAATCGCATAGTGGTGAATAACACTGAATGATGTTAAAAATTGGGGCCTTCTACACACTGTGATCCACAAAATATGTCAGAAGATGCCTTGCGCTGGCTACACTAACTTACTCTAAATCAGTAACTGCTGACCATTGCACATCTGACATTTCTGAAGTGATACTCAGTTAGCTGTAAAACCATGACAATTTGAGTGATTTAAAGTGGTCATGGTGCCGGAGCCTGTATGTGCAGTGTTTCACTACGAAACGCTGGACATGTCAAGTTTAACACATTTACTCCCAGATGAACAAGAGTTACAGGCTGGCTAATATCCATTCTGTGCAAATTGGATGTATGATGTCAGCATGTTAGTGATCGTCTTCCAATGGCAGCATGCCCCACCCTCACTGGCAGCTGGGGAAAGATCCAAGGCACCAACATAGGAAGGGTTACACTAAGCAAGACTGGTCTTTTCTTAAAACCCTGTTTTTGGAGGGAGTAACCCTTTAGAAACACACCTCCGGGATTATTTACTAAAGTGAGATTTGTTTAGAATTCATGGTGAACTCAAAATGTATTTAACATTTAAGACCAAAATAACCAAACTCAAAAATTCTGTAATTCACCTATGGTTTCAGTTCAGATACTATGGCTTTGATTAGAAATTCCAAAAATACATTAGTAAATAACTCAATCACTACAGCTTATTTTACTGGTTAAACAGTGTCATTCCAGGGACAGTATTAGAATAATCTATAGTGGTGATGGTAATTGGGAGTGTTTCTTTAAGGTTGGCTGAATGTCTTAATCGGATTTTTTCTTTGTGAAATTACAATCAAACATGCACTTTTATTTTTATAAGACATATTTACATTAAGATTGTGTCTCTATAAATTAATTTGTGTGATTACACACGCAGTCACAGGGGAGGTGCACCCATTTTTGTACCTTTGGAAGTTCAGAAACTAGACAAAGGAATTGGCTATTTTATTATTTTAGCATTAGTAACTTCTTCTATAATACACATTTTAGCTGCTATGAGGATGACAAAGTGATGCTTGGCATATCTGTCACCGCTGAGTCCCTTTGAAGTTCACCTCTGATCCACAAAATATGTGGATGACAAAAAAAAGCTTCAGGCGAGTTTAATAAAAAAAAAAAAAAAAGACCATGTTATATATTTTGCTAGCAAAATCACAGGGAGTAGCCTGCAGCCACACTTATACAATGTATCTCTATGCTGCTAATGAACATACCGATTATGACTGACAGGTAGAGAGAGAGTTTTAGCCATGAGTCTGTGTTTATACACTTACTAGTACTGTACAGATAAAATAACAGGGATATTACTAAATCGTTGCACAACATGTTCATTTTTAAGACAGCACTCAAAGACCACGGTTTAGGGATTACCTAATTCCATTCACAGGGAGAAAATGTGGCCCCAAAGGGCTGGTTTAAAACTGCTGTAAATATATACCTGACCTATTATGTCATCATCAATAATAATACTAAACTTAAATAAACATCTGTCCCAGATCTGGGGAGAAAGTTTCAGTTTGTCCCATCATCCCAACAGCTGACACTCTTCCACCGTATATAGGTCTGCACAAAACACAGTGATATTAAACACATTTATGGCAGTGCGAGTATGACTTGAGCATTTCCTGCTTGCCACGCACACCCTCTGACTTCCACCATGATGTCATACCTACCAGAACGGACACATTTACTGGAGGTTTACTATAATGCCCAGGCAAGTTGTTATTAAACAGAAATAAACTCAAAAATCTACTATTTTTTAAACTAAAACATTGAACAAAAAATTAATTTTAGTTTTTAATAGTAGATGTTGGTTAAGACTCCCCAGAACAGACATGTAACTTCTCCTTGGTTAATCAGATAAAATTCAGCTTATCATTGGGTGTGAGCACGAGGTTTTGGATGCATTGAACTAAACGGAAATCATTACGAACCAGAAGCATGTGCAAGGACCGCACGTCTTTGGTAGAGTTGAACAGTTTCTGAAGAACTTCTTCCACTGTCTTGTTTCCTGTTAGGCTCTAATAGGTTGAATAGGAGAGAGGAGAAACAAAGCATTTATATTTTTTTCCCCCTCAGTTACCATAAAAATTACACTGCATTTATTAGTTATATTTATGAGAGAGAACCATGTGTAAAGATATATTGGCTGTGCAATAATCAACCATTACAATTCTGCTTTGAAAATGGTTTTAATCATCTGACTATAGGTTTATTTACTAAATACCGAATAGCAAGGTATTTGAGCTGGAACTGTAGCTGAATTGGAGAATGAGACACATGGCCCTCCATTCCACTGGGAATGACACACATGGGGGACTAGGGGAAAGAGACACATGGGGGCATATGGGAATGAGGCACATGGAGAGGCTAGGGGAATGAGGCACATGGGGGGGCTAGGGGAATGAGCACATGGGGGGGGGGAATGAGGCACATGGGGGGCTAGGGAATGAGGCACATGGGGGGGGAATGAGGCACATGGGGGGGGAATGAGGCACATGGGGGGCTAGGGGAGGGGAGGCACATGGGGGGGGGAACACATGGGGGGGCTGGGGAGCGAGGCACATGGGGGCTAGGGGAATGAAGCACATGGAATACAATAGTTTGAAAATCTTATGTCACATCTCATATACCTTTTTTTAAAGCTTCCAGTAGGAAAGAAAGGTTTTCTGCAAAGCTTCCCTGTAAATGACACACATGGGGGGCTAGGGGAATGAGGCACATGGGGGGGCTAGGTGAAAGGCACATGAGAGCTAGGGGAGGCACATGGGGACTAGGGAATGAGGCACATGGGGGCTAGGGAAGGAGGCACATGGGGGGGCTAGGGAATGAGGCACATGGGGGAGGGCTAGGGAATGTGGGCACATGGGGAGCTAGGGAATGAGGCACATGGGGGGGCTAGGGGAGCGAGGCACATGGGGGGGGGCTAGGGAATGAGACACATGGGAGGCTGTGGGAATGAGACACATGGGAGGCTAGGGGAGTGAGACACATGGGGGACTAGGGGAGTGAGACACATGGGGGACTAGGGGAATGAGGCACATGGGGGAGGCTGTGGGAATGAGACACATGGGAGGCTAAGGGAATGAGACACATGGGGGACTAGGTGAATGAGACACATGGGGGCATAGGGGAATGCCCCCACATGGGGGCATAGTGGAATGAGAAACATGGGGGCATAGGGAATGAGACACATGGAGAGGCTATGGCAATGACACACATGGGAGGCTAGGGGAATGAGGCACATGGGGGGGGCTAGGGGATTGAGACACATTGGGGGGCTAGGGGAATGAGACACATGGGGAGGCTGTGGTACAATGAGACACATACATTGAGGTACTTGGGGGAATGAGACACATTAGGACTCTAGGGGAATGAAACACATGAATGGAGGTGCTGGGGGGGTGATACATGTTTGGGGCTGGGGGAACGAGACACGTGTGGGGCTGGGGGAATGAGACAGGTGTGGGGCTGGGGGAATGAGACAGGTGTGGGGCTGGGGTAAAGAGACAGGTGTGGGGCTGGGGGTATACGACACACGGAGACACTGTGGAATGAAACACATGATTGAAGCTGCTGGGGGGCTAATGAGAAACATGGGGGCTGAGGGAATGAGCCACATTAATGGAGGTGCTGGGGAGCTGTATATTATAAAAACAAATTAGGCTGTGTATGCAGTAGTATACCTCAGTACTCAAACTACTGTACTGGTAACATATATACTTTTGATATGACTCAGTTGTTTCTGTATTGTTTTCCACTATTATTCAAATAACAGAAATCAAGAGAACAAAATTAGTAGGTGAGAAGCAAAATCAATAAAACTCTCTTTTATTGAGGCATAGTGACAATTCCTCGATAAAAAAGATTAATTTGTTCTCACATATTAATTTTGCTCTCTTGATTTCTGTATTTTGTATAATTAATAAATCATATTAATAAAAATTATAATTCAGATAAATAAAAGAGCGATATAAGGTTTACACTTCCTTTATTGCACATACTGTTTAATTTAGAATTTATTATCTCTTGCTTTGTTAGTAGCCAGTCAGACCTTGGAGGAGCCTTTTCTGTCTGATTAAAGTACAATTTACAGAGCAGGACTCCTAAATTGCAGAGAATTGGCTAGTGAGACTGTAAACTGCTTCATTAGGCTAAAGTTGTTTTGATGCCTATAGTGTATCCCTTTAATTCGCTAAAATTCTGTGTTTAGTGAATATCCCTGTAGGTGGATGAAGATGTAAAGGTTTCCTCTAATCCATTGTTTATTTTATTTGACACAATGTTGTATTCAGTGACTGAGAGAATTTATCGAATATGTTACCTCAATGTTTTTATTCCACTCTCCGCCAAACCGTGAATCAGGGAAGTCAGGAGGCAGTGAAAGCTGGTTCTGAAACATCTCCAAGTACTGCGAAAAGCTAAAGGAGTTCAGTAAATGGATTTGCCGGTGCGAAAACCGAGATTTCACTCTCTTCTCAAGAAGCTCCATGACATCCTTTAAAATAAGCAGCACTTGGTTAACATATTTATTTTCGCATTTGCCTTTACTTAGAATATATAAACTATACTAGGGAATAAAGGTGCTGACACTGCTCATGGTACTTAAGGGGAAATAGCTGCATTTATAGGCCCACTCCACCATTGTAACATTGCATTATTATTGAAGTGTAGTGAGATAGTTCAGTGGGCTACTGCTTTGTCAGAAGAATCTGTTCAACCCCTTGGGGGTCACAGGTTCAATTCACCAGTGACTAAGCCCTTTATCTCTTTGAGGTCAACAAAATGAGTACCATTAAGTGGGGGAAACCAGAAAGAAACTGGATGTCTTTTTAAAGGGAATCAACACAGTAAAGGAGGAGACTATATTTAAAAGAAGAAAAACTACCACAACAGAGGACAATGTCTTAAATTAGAGATGCAAAGGTTTAACAATAATATCCGGAAGTATTACTTTACTGAGAGGGTAGTGGATGCATGGAATAGCCTTCCAGCTGAAGTGGTAGAGGTTAACACAGTAAAGGAGTTTAAGCATGCGTGGGATAGGCATAAGGCTATAATAACTATAAGATAAGGTCAGGAACTAATGAAAGTATTTAAAAAATTAGGCAGACTAGATGGGCTGAATGGTTCATATCTGCTGTCACATTCTATGTTTCTACTACACTCACTCCACCGTCCATAAGTTCTAAACAATTGTTTTGATCTCTCATAGCTTTCAAGTATGGTTTTATAATAATGTGCAGAGAACTTACTGAAACAAACCATGTAACCTGTAAACCTATACACAGCACGAGTTCATGGGAATGTACAGGTGAAACAGTGGGAGGGTTTTCTACATATGAGATAAACATTGTTTAGCTCATATATTTAAAAATTGAGATGTCTGGCGGTCTAAGGTAAAAGCTGTATAAAGCATGTTACTCCAGTCTCTCTGCATGACTCAGACAATACAGGACACAGCGAGCTCCGTATGTTGTTTTCAAACAGTATAGATATGTACTGTTACTGGGGCGGCTGTCATACTTTGTATCTACATACTGTGTTACTGCAGTTACTTTTTCCTTTAGGGGTTTCTGTCTATTTAATGCTTGTCACACAATGTAAAACTATAACTATTCAATCCATTTTGGACCATGTTTTTGCATTTAAATCCCTTTTGTGTAATTATAGATTTTGAAATGCTTTCAATAATACCGTTAATATATATCCCCACTGCCTTTAAAAGAGGTAGTCATTATGGGCTGAAAAATCACTTACCAATCGGCATGTCAGACCAATGACAGCTACAGGAGTCTGCGCTGATTGCGCAATATCAAAAAGATTATAAAGCAGGGTCTGGTTTTTGTGATGAGCAAACAGGTCAAACTCATCTAATATAAACATCACCGGACAGCTACTTGTTCGGTCACCTAGAAAGAAAACCGTGCTAAATGTATAAAAGATGGTGCAACACCGTACGACAAGATTCTAATTACTAATTTCTAATGCCCCTAACAAGCACTTCCTAATCTGTTGACAGGTAAGGGAGGGACCAGAACTTTAACGGGCATTAAATTAAAATCCATATATCTGCTAGCATTTCAGTAAGCACAAGTAGAGATGAAATGTAATGCTTAAAATAACTGGTATATTTATTTAAAATTAATAGTAAAATTAATAGTACTTAACACACAATTCTCAAACTACAGAAACCTTTTTTTTTCTGTGTTCTATGTACAGACATCGATCTGGGTAAACCTACTGGGTCTTCTGATTGTAGACAAGTATTCTCTAAATACATGACAGTTTAAAGGAGGAGGGAAACATGAAAACTACTTGAATTGCAAGATCTACTAACGAATCTTCTACCAATGTTTGTGGTAGCTGTGATTAGACTTTTTAAGAAATAAGGCCTATATCTTGAAAAAAAATTACAGACGTCTGCAAAATGTGAATGATAAATGTGAAGACCATTTGAAGAATGAAAAGTGTATTCTGTAAATATAGAATACAATAGTTTGAAAATCTTATGTCACATCTCATATACCTTTTTTTAAAGCTTCCAGTAGGAAAGAAAGGTTTTCTGCAAAGCTTCCCTGTAAAATAAAAGTAAAAGTTCTGCAAATGAATAGGCCTAAACATAAATGAATATTCAGCTCAGGGTTCATGGTGGTTTTGGAAAGGACCTAAATGACATTAGATGTGAAACCAGTTCCTCAATTGTGATTTTATATGCTAACATCACTTCTGCAAAGCACTTTCAATGCAGCCTCCTCTGTGCCAAATTGATTCCCCTTATGCTGGGGTGAAAATCATTTTATTACAAACAACTGCCTGAGGTCTGGCTTTCCACCAGCAGGAACCCTGATTTGGAAACGGATTTAAGAAACACGAACAGATCATTTCTATATATACAAATAAGTCTACTTTTACACTCTTCTACTAAGGTAATCGGGCTAGATGAGGCTTATTTAACTTGGCCTCCTCCCCAGCTACACCTCCCATGCCAGGCTTCCCTGTGGGCTGGAAAGAACCATTCTACTCGGCATTTGACACTGTATGCGAGCGGCTTTGGCAGCATATGTCCAGACGTAGAGCCCAACTCACCTAAATTGTCAATAAGTCGGATCCAGACAGTGCCTTTGCCCACAAACCCCCATCTGGGCTAGGAACCCAGACGGGGGTTCACCCTGTTTACAGTCCACAACACCTGAATAATCTCTACTATATGGGTCTCACTGGGGACTTTGACCCTGTCACCTGGCATGGAGGGGTCAGTGAAAGTTATGTACCGGATCCTGTAACGGTGTGGGCCTGGAGGAGTGGAGTATGAGGGCACTATTGGGTCGAAACAAACAGCCCTCTCTGCAGTAGCAGCAGCTTGCGAATTGCAATCCCTGGCACCCCTTGGCAGTTTGGCTGGCCCACAAAGAGCCAACACATAGTGTTGTTTATGTAAACTAATTACTTTTGTCTGATCTAGCCGTTAAACACACTTGTTCTCTCTATACTATTTAAACAAAAATGAGGTAGTTGTGTAGCTATTTTGAAACTACGTCATACTTAGATTTGTCCTGTTATATTTACCTTGAGCAAGGGAGTTTTTCTTAATATTAACTTCATTTCAAACCATATTCTATATGTAATCTATTTACCTCAATAAAAAAACTATTTCCCAAAAAAAACAAAACAGATACATTAAAGGTTCCATGCAGTTACACTATTTATTAATAGGTAGACACTGCTTCAACCAGAAAGAGATTCTCCCATCAGGAGTGACTCATTCTGGTATAAGAAGTCATTTTTTGCACAAGCAGCCAAAGCTGTTATTGGTTTATAAAAAGTGTGGCTCACTGTTTAGTGAACTAGATTACGTGCACGAATTGTCAGAAGTGTGTTGCGAACATACATGGTTTCACATCTCAGCTTTCTGTCCTAAAAAGATAACTGCCACTTAAAAACAATAAAAAATACTGTCAAATATTTGCACTTGACCTTCACCTGATAGGCTGTTCAGTTTCCAAACATCATGGTTTGTAACTGGCGCAGAAAACAGAAAGTTGGAGATGCAGGAATAAGCAAAATACATAAAAAGCCCCTATGCAATAAAAAACACCAGTGGTTAAAAAGGGGGTAATTATAAAAATAAGTTACAATATAAAATAGTAGAGGTTTAGAAGATTCCTCGGATCTTCTGAATATACATAGAGAAAAAAAAAAAAACAACAAAATAAAATCAGAAAGGACCACAAATGGTGCAGACCAAAAAACACCAGATAATAGCTAGTGTAAAAATGCACTCACAAGCATAAAGTAAAGCAGGTAGAATATGAGAATATCGGTAGAACTTTCTTCCCAACTTCTGTGCTTGTTAGGAGAGAAGAAACAAAACACATAGTGCAACACTATATAACGTGAAAAAGAACACTTTATTTTATGCACTCACAAGATAATTAAAAAGTAAAAGCCCATCACAGTTTCTTTACTCTCAGGAGAAATTCTGTATACAACCTCCAGGACCCAGAAATCTGTTGTGAAGGCAATCAGTAAAACACAGGAAAAAATGGTGTTCTTTCACCCTACTCGTTTCATTTATAAATAGACTTCCTCGGGGGTATTCAACGTGTGTCTGACAATTCACGATTGGCTGTGAGGCAATTTGGGAGGAGCAAACCAGGGTTTTTAAACCCGGGACGTGGTAGAATTGTCAGACTGAATACCCCTGAGGAAGTCTATTTATATTATTATTACTATCATTATTATTATTATTATGATATTTATATAGCGCCATCAAATTCCGCAGCGCTTTACAATGGGTGGACGAACAGACATGTTGTTTTAACCAGACAAGTTGGACACACAGGAACAGAGGGGTTGATGGCCCTGCTCAATGAGCTTACATGCTAAAGGGAGTGGGGTAAAATGACACAAAAAGGTAAGGATAGTATTAGACTAGTGACAGTTGCAGAAGACGAATCAGTCAGGAGCTATTAACAGTTTTATTGATACGCTTTTATGAAGAAGTGGGTTTTTAACGATTTTTTGAAGGAGTGGACACTGGGTGAGCATCTAACGGAGGAGGGAAGAGAGTTCTACAGGAACGGTGCATCCCTCGAGAAATCTTGAAGGAGAGCATCAGAGGTGGGAGTACGGACAGAAGATAGATGTAAGTCTTCAGAAGATCGTAAGGGCCTAGACGGGACATACTTGTGTATGAGGGAGAATAAATAGGTGGGAGCAGCATTATGTAGAGATTTGAAAGCAAGAACCAGAATTTTAAATTGAGCTCTATATTTTATAGGAAGCCAATGTAGGGACTGACAGAAGGGTGAGGCATGGGAGGTGCGGGCGGAAGATGAGCCTCGCCGCCGCATTCATTATGGACTGTAATGGCGCAAGTTGGGAGCACGTAAGACCACTGAGGTGCGGATTACAGTAGTCAAGACGAGAAAGGACAGTGGAATGGACCTACACCTTAGTCGCATCTGGCGTTAGGTGGGGCGGATGCGCGCAATGTTTTTGAGATGGAGATGACAGGATTTGGCGATAGATTGAACATGAGGCTTGAAGGAGAGGTTGGAGTTAAAGAGAACACCTAGGCAGCGAGCCTGCGTGGTGGTGCTGATGGTAGCACCGTTGACTTGGAGGGAGACAGACACAGGAGTAACAACACTTGAGGGAGGAAAGACCAGAATTTCAGTTTTGGTCAAGTTTAGTTTAAGGAAGTGGGCAGCCATCCAGTTAGAAATAGCAGAGAGGCAGTCAGACACACTAGTCAGGAGGGACGGGGAGAGATGAGGAGAGGACAGGTAGATTTGCGTGTCATCTGCATAGAAATTATATTGGAAGCCAAAGGAGCTAATGAGTTTACCAAGGGAGGCAGTATAGATGGAGAACATTAGGGGACCAAGGACTGAACCTTGGGGAACACCAACAGAGAGGAATTGGGGAGAAGAAGCAGAGCCAGCGAAAGAAACACTGAAAGAGCGCTGGGAGAGGTAGAAGGAGCACCAAGAGAGAGCAATATCTTGTAGATCGATATTGCGGAGGATGAGAAGAAGCTGTTGATGAGCAACAGCGTTAAAAGCCGCAAACAGGTCAGGGAGAATTAGGATAGAGTAGTGACCACGAGATTTTGCAGCGAGTAGATCATTGGATACTTTGGTCAGTGCCGTTTCCACAGAGTGCTTAGCGCGGAAACCAAACTGAAGCGGGTCTAGCAGAGAGTTGGACTCGAGGAAGTCTGTCAATCTCGCATACACAATTCTTTCAAGGATCTTGGATGCAAAACGCGTAGGGTGAAAGAACACAGTTTTTTCCTGTGTTTTACTGATTGCCTTCACGACAGATTTCTGGGTCCTGGAGGTTGTATACAGAATTTCTCCTGAGAGTAAAGACACTGTGATGGGCTTTTACTTTTTAATTATCTTGTGAGTGCATGAAATAAAGTGTTCTTTTTCATGTTATACAGTGTTGCACTATGTGTTTTGTTTCTTCTCTACTAACAAGCACAGAAGTTGGGAAGTTGAAAAGAAAGAAGTTCTACTGATATTTTCATATCCTGCCTGCTTTAATCTATGCTTGTGAGTGCATTTTTACACTAGCTATTATCTGGTGTGTTTTGGTCTACACCATTTGTGGTCCTTTTGGCTTTTATTTTGTAGGTTGTGTTTTTCTCTATATAGAAAGTAGGAGATAGTTTAGGTTAGTTCCCTAATTCATATACTATAATGGTATCACTGCGGGTTGTTGAAGAATAAAAACATACTTACAAATACTCTTTCCCCAACCACATTTTCTAAATTGAGTTGCCTGGTAATTTCCTTCAGAGCAATCTTATCATTGGTTTGCAAGAGACCTAAAAAAAAAGAAAATCACCATGAATATTATTGTACAATTAAAATTGACTATAACAAGCTACTACTGGGGAGAGAAAAAGAAGAATTGATTACTACAACTATTGGCAATAAGGAGGTGAAAATGGGTACTACATCGATTACGGTCATGGGTGGGGAGGGGGAGAATGGCTATTTCTACGATTACTGGCATTGGTGTGAGGGAGAATGGGCTACTACTGTTTCTACTGGAAATGGGGAAAGGGAGAATAACTACTACTACTGGGAAAGGGAAGGAGGAGAAGGGGCCACTACAGTTACTAGCAGCAATGTGAATAGGAGGTCTGCTACTAATACTGGCAATGGGGGGGTGAATGTCTACTCCAACTTGCAATGAAGAGACAAGACAGGGTGAATGTTTGGACAGACTTTTCCTTCTTTTCTTTATGTGCCCTCCCTTCCCTCCCAGTCCCATGTATATTTTGTGAATTAGTAAATATTTTTTTTCCTACGAGTGTCCATGAGTCCGGGTGTTATCTGCTATTTGAAATGAAGAGAGTGGGGAATTAGTGTCCACTGATTCCAACCACTGAATTATCCAGCAATGGTTAGAGGTATTTTCTCCCCTCTCCATTTTTGGGGATATGAGAATATTAATATTTTAGCTTCTATATCTTTGAAACAGCTTTGTACATAGAAGTATCAGCATTAAAATATAATGAGTAATTTGGATCCCTGACAAAAAAAGTTCTAGAGGAAGTGTCACGTCTATGGAACTGACATGTTTGTTCACTCACTCCTGTCAGTGCTATTGCAGTGTTTATCAGGGTCAAAGCAGTGGAGTTTAGTAAAAAAATGCATGTACCTCCACTGCACCTCTGCTTTGTGGATTTGCATGTGCGCTTGGGCAATCTTTCAGTAGTGCTGTACACGTGCATGTACAATGTATATGGCACTGCAGGGGCTAAAATTATTTAGATGCATCTGATTTAGCTATGCAAAAATCTCGCTAGTGATAGATTTGCTTTATGAGGATAAACACTAAAAACACATATAAATGATTAAAATTAAATAATGGGGATTTATAACTTAATCATCAAAATAATGATGACAGATACAATGATAGAGAGAACTTACAATCTAGGATTCTGTTGTTGTTAATATTTGCATAATTGTTTTTTAAATTCACACTGGGTCTGACATGTTCAAACATACTTTCCGTTGCAAAGGCAGATCATTTGGGTGGGATCAAGTTTCTTTTTAAGATGGAATTCTTTAAACAGTGTTATTCAACAAAGTGTGTATTGTTGGGAATTCAAAGTGAATTTAACATTGTAGACAAAAAAAAAAAAGACAACATTAAAACATAGCGTGCTTGCAAAACGGAAAAAAATTGTCTATCTGAGCCTAAAATGTAAAATTCATATTGTATTTGTGACAATTGGCACCTTAGTGAATAGCTCTGGATTGTGTTTAGTCATCTGCAAATAGGAACATTAACCTATTTTTGAGCCTACTCTGAACAAAACAACAAACTGTACCCACAGAAGTAAACCCTTCAACTATCCAGTTGATTGTTCAATCTAGATCGTTTTGTAAACATACCATTAAGAAGGACTTGCAACGCATTCTCTTTTATGTGATTTATTTCCAGAACTTCTTGTAAGGCATTCTTTAACAGCTGAAAGACATGTCCATACAATGCATGAATTGGTATGTACAAGTCACTACCTGGTGAAGTAAAACAATATAATGGCACAAACAGACAAGACATATCACTGCGACAGAACGCGTAATCTGACATTTCAAGAAGAATCTAAGAATTAAACCTTGCTTTCTCAAAGCTCTATCTAACTCAGATATTAAACAAACATAAAAAAACAGACACTTAACATGTAAGTGTTTTGTTTGTTTTTTCTTAGTTTAAGTTCTCTACCTCCCTTTTCACTTAAAAAAAAAAAAAAAAGAGCCAGTCAATTAATCTTTATTCCAGTGCTAGGATAGTCTCCACTCTCCAACCTTGAGCACCTGTAGTGAGATCATCATTACCGATGATCTCGGTCCAATCCAAAGCACCGGGGACATAGGAAGGACCAATACAATGCTTCTCATGAATCTATTATTTCTCTTTAAGAATCACTCATATCTGAGTTGAAAGATGATTCAAAGAGACAAACAGGAAAGTCTACCAGCCCTCTTACTGACAAATCAGAGGCATCAGTAATGCCATATATAAAGTGATAAGTAAAAGTGATAAGAGGGGAAATGTGGTTTAACACCTAAATTGTTTCAGTAAGCTGAAATACTAGAGCTTTGAAAATAATTAAGCGCTTATATGCAGATATCCACAGATGCAAACATGAAATGATACCCTGTCATATGATGTGAATAGGCTTCCTTAAGGCCACTCACCAGGACTATGTTATTTCATAAAGTAGATCTATCTATGCAACCTCCTGCAGAAGCAATAATAAAACCACACTAATAGAAATAATTGGAATAATAATGTAAAAAAGGTATGGATTGACTATACTGATTTACTGATTAAATAAAGAAAATTAATTAAATTTGAATAATGTATGAAAATTTCACTGGTTTAACATTTGTAAAATTGTTCATTAAGTGATAGTATGCAAAAGGTGATACAAACAGCAGGTTGACTTAGTAAAACATAAAGAATTCATACCATGCTTTTTCCTGATCCCCGGGGACCAATAATCAGTGCAGAGTTACTCTCACCATGAATCGCTGTTCTTTTCAGAAGCTCTACTAAGTGCCTGAAATTACAATAACAAAAGGATGAGCTTAGCTCGGAGTCTCAAAATAGCACAGAGAGCTGAAAAAAAATCATCAATATAAAACAAAACAGTCATCTGAGAACAATCAGATGTTCAGTCTAGAGACAGGTAAAGGCAAATGACAACTGTCTGATGTACACTTGGAGTTAGAGAATATATTTACATAAGTGGGTGCACCTATGCTTAGATTTATAGACCTCTGATTTGAAGCTGTGATGATTTTAAGAGCAGGTTCTCTATAAAACAGATCCAGTCAGGTGTTACGTCAATTCAACCAATCCGGAAATCCAGAAAAAAAATATCTAGATAAACAGACCCACAAATTATACAGAGGTTAAGAGGAACCACCGGCAGGCCTGGATAGTTTATTCAGGAGTGGTCAGTATTGCTACCAATCTATATTACTTCCTCGAGTAGGAACAGAGAGTGGCTTTAACGTTTAAATCTGGCCATCATACTATGTCTGATTAGCAACCACTGGACTAAAAAGTACCCGAGTCCACTGTTACCCGAGTAAAAGTAATCTAAGTGGACACAAGGTTCCAACATGTATAAAACCTATCAAGAGATCTCTTCTTAGGATAAGAATACACATCATAGTCACCTATTATACAGCACTGCAAAATTTGTTGGGGCTTTATAGAGAATAATAATATATTGCTTATCACCAAAACCCATGGATGTTCCATTCTTTTTTGCATATACAGATAAATATACAAATAATTGCAGAACCTCAAGGTTAACAAATTATATCAATGTGCAGCTATCACCTAATGAAAATCAGCACCATCAAGAAAATAAATCTACTTTTTTTTGGGCGGGAGGGGGGGGGGGAAATAAGCAAATGACCTCATTTTCAGGATCTCCCTAACTACATAAAAATGGTTTACTTTATTTTCTTTGCATGCGTATTCAGTATATTTAAATGTTGATGCAAAATTACCATAACAAAGCTGAATCACTATAATATATCAAATGAAACTGTATATTATATAATTAAATATAGTATGACTTCATAGATATTACGAGAGTATCTTCATCTTACTTGTGCTGTGATTCTACCCCAAATTTCCTTCCATGGTGACTTTGCTGCAGAAACCTTTGTCGTAGGATGGCATGGACCTATAAGAGTATATATAAGTCGTAGGACAAAGGGAAAACAGAAATATTTAACTCAAAAACCCTTCTATCATAGAGACCAGAGCTGGATACTTATTAAAAATATACTAGACTCCCCTGGGGCAGTCATGCAAATACAATCCCATCACATCAGATCACGGACCTTGTATTTTCCAATATTAAATGTGGAGTTACTGATTATTATATGCTAGCAAGGCGATGGCTCAGCAAAATACAAGAACACTCCAATATAAACAATGCAACAGCGTTATATTTGCAGAGAGAAGATATCAATAATTCATTTTTGCACCTTTTATATTACAGCGCCTAGATATTTTGTTGAACTTTATGCTGAAGAGGAGTCTTATCACTGCTTTCTGTCTAGATCATTATTATTTTCATTCAGTATGCAGAAATATAATTTCAGAGGCTTGCGTTTGATGGGAAGCAGTTTCATGGAACAGTGAATATGGCTTATTAATAATGCTTTATGAAAATTAAATTTGTCTTGCTGTAAATTCTTTTTTCCATAAGTTGATGCAACAGTCCGCCCAAGGGTTAAATTCCTTGTTGATTAAAAAAAGGTGATCTTTTCTCGATTTTCACACTAGGATAACTGAATACACTAACCTACCACAGTGCACCTACTTAGTAAAAACAAAAATTTAAAAAAATCACTGCAATTTTCTATATATAAAAAAAAAACAACAACAGACACATCACATTTAAAGAGGCAGTATGGACACCATATAGAGCCAGCTGTAGTCAAACTTGTGTTTTTTAATGGCTTGGCACTTACCTATGTCCCCCTGGCGTCTCTGGTCCAGCCTCCATTTCTTTTTCTTTTTTTAAATTCTTTATTTAACATTTAGCATTGGCATAGCATGTTGATGTTCAGAGGTAATAATCATATCCATTACAGGCATAACATTCACATCCCATATCAAACCCCCCATCCACACTAGGGCAAACTGCCTCTCCACTCCTATACCGCACTGTGTATAGCTCCGAGTCCGTGAATTGCTCATGAGTCCCCCGGTTCTCCCGCTCTCGCTTTCCTTGCCAATGCCAGTTTTCTTATTTTAACCAAACATGAGATATACAGACAGAAACAATAGACCAAAAAAAAAAACACACAACAAGTACAACAACCATGTTTGTCTCCAACTCCCGTAACGTAGGCCATTCTGTGCCCGGGCCATGGGCCCTCCATCGGTATCTCTCCCTCCCGCCAATTCCCTCCAGCAGGACAGATCAATAGTTGGATATACCCCAGTATAAGTCAGTAGTGGATTTGCCTACGCGACCGTGGCCACCCCTTTGTCTATGTTATGGTGTTCTCTTCCGCGAACGGGCTATCCCTATCGCTGTCTAGAGAAACTTACTGGTGTCCCTGCGGTAAAGTCAGCGGGAGACTTCAATTCCCATATCTGCCTGATGCGTTCCATGGATATAGGGTAACGAAGCAATTGGTGCGTAGGAGATAGAAAGATAGATAAGTGGGGTGACAGGTTGGTAAGAAGGAGAGGGGGGGGGGAGGGAGCGGCAGGGGGTGAGGGGCCACATTCCTCTCCCCATGCTACATTCCTAGTGGGGAATTCTCCCATGGCTCCCAGATCCTCTGAAAGGACTGGTGGGTATCCCTTATTCGGGCAGTTAGGTCATCCATTAGGTGCACTTCCTGAATTCTATTGAGAACCTCTTGTGTCGTGGGGGCCGTTTGTTTTAGCCAGCTTGCAGCAATGGCACGCCGTGCTGCCAATGTGATTTTATGGAGGAGTTTTTGTTCCCTCCGGGTCCACCCCTCTAACGATCTGCTTAATAGGTAAACCCATGGGTCTAACTCTGGGGCTCGGGCAAAGACTTGGGTTATCATACCTCTAACCTGCGTCCAGAAATTGTGTATCACCGGACAGTCCCACCACATATGCCTATATGTTCCCCTGATACCACACCCCCTCCAGCACAAGTCCGTGGGAGTCTTCTTCATATGGTACAGCTGGGTGGGGGTGGTGTACCATCGGAGCATTGTTTTCACGGATTGCTCTTGCATGGTGACACATATCGAAGAGGTATGATTGGACTGCCATATTTCTTGCCATTCTACTCCCTCTAGTTCTTCCCCCAGATCTCTTTCCCATTGGGTTATATATTTAAGGCTGCCCCATTCCTTAGTTTCTAGTGATAGATGCTTATATAAGATCGTTATCAGGCCCTTGGGCATCCGTTCCTGTATGCATATGCGTTCAAAGAATGTCATCGTCTGTTGTGCCGCTGCCTGTATATGGGGCTGCTTTACATAGTCTTTGACTTGGAGGTAGCGGAAAAAGTCCGCTGGAGTAAGGTGCCCTTCTTGTCGTAGGGCATCGAACGGGAGGAAATCTGCACCCTGGAATAACTGACATATGCGTTGGAGCCCTACCCTCTCCAAATTCCGGTAATCTCTGGCCGCCATGCCTGGAGGGAATTCCTTGTTACGGAGATATGGCATAAGGGGGGAAGGGTCCGAGGCTAATTCGTATTTATGTGCCATGGTGTCCCATAACCTGATGGAATTAAGAATGGCTGGGCAGGTGACTCTGATCTGGGGTCTATGTGGCTTTGGCACCCAGATAAGAAGCTGTGGGAGGTCCGCTCCCACCATAAGTGATTCTAAATCAACCCATTGGCTTGCTACATAATAAAAATATAGACTAGGGAGGCCCAAGCCCCCTCTATCTTTTGGCCGATACAAAATGTATCTCGAGATCCTGTGGCGTTTAGAGTTCCAAATGAATGTCCCTATTGCCCGTTGCAGCGGCAGTAGTTGCCCTTTCAACACACGGATTGGTAGAGTTTGGAATAGGAACAGGATCCTCGGCAGTATATTCATTTTTACCGCGTGGACTCTGCCTATCCAGGAAATAGGTCTGTCCGACCAAGTCTCTAGCTCGTTAATTAACTTCTTAATTAGGGGTGTGTAATTTTGGCTGTATAACTGTGCTGGGTGTGCTGTTAGGCGGATCCCTAAGTATTTAAGCGATTGGTGTACCACCTTTAATCCATATGTGCTCCGAATGAAAGTGATGTCTCCACCCGTGATATTGATCGGCAGGGCACTGGACTTAGCCATATTCACCCTATAGCCAGCTAACTGTCCGTACTCTTGCAGGACCTCCTGGAGGGCTCTCATGGAGCTTAGGGGGCTGGTGACCGTCAAGAGCACGTCATCCGCATAGGCCGATACTAAAAACTCCCTCCCCCCCGCCCTCACACCCCTGATGTCCGGGTGCTTCCTCAACGCCTGCAGTAAAGGTTCTAGTGACAGTACGAACAACAAAGGGGAGAGCGGGCATCCCTGCCGCGTACCATTGTGGAGTTCAAACGGCCTGAGTGGGGCACCTGTTATTTTCACCTGGGCCTGTACATTGGTGTACATAGCTTTGATTAATGTTATAGATTGTTCCGGGAAGCCTAGATGTGAGAGGAGCGTGAATAAGTACGGCCATTGGACTCTATCAAATGCTTTTTCAGCATCGAGCGAAAGCACTAAGGTTGGGGTATTTAGGGTTGCCTGTCTCCATATGAGATCAATATTTTTGCGAGTATTCTCAAATAATTGCCTACCGGGAATAAAGCCTACCTGGTCCGAGTCGACTAGATCTGCAAGATACGGGTTAATTCTATTCGCCTGTATTTTTGCGAGAATTTTCATGTCATGGTTAATAAGAGATATGGGTCGATAGCTCTCAGGGAGGAGTGGGTCTCTATCGGGTTTAGGTAGTAAGATAATGGTAGCTAAAGACATGTCATGATTTGGTGTGTGTGTCCCTCTGAACCCGTTGAAAAGTGCTGTCAGGTGGGGCGTCAGTTCCTCCCTAAAGGTCTTATAATAAGTCCCATCATATCCGTCCGGTCCAGGGGCCTTATTGCTTTTCAACTCCAAGATTGCCCGGTCCACCTCTTCTGGGAGAATTTCTCCTGCCAATCTGTCAATCGCCTCTGGAGATAATTTAGGTAGATCCAGACTGGAGAGGAAATTAAGTGTCAGTGCAGTGTCTGTCGCTACTTGCGTTGCTGTGTTCGAAGAGTGGTTTTAGAGTGTTTTGAAGAAGTCAGTAAATACGTCTGCGATCTCTGTGGGCAGAGTTTTAATGGAGCCGTCTGAGTGTCGTATGGCAGTGATATGCCCGCGTCGCAGTCTAGGCTTAAGGACTCTGGCCAATAACGTGTCCATCTTATTTGCCTTTTCATAAAAGGTGCGTTTGGACCATGTCATGGCTTTAGCCGAGTCATCTAGTAGTAAGGAGCGGATGGCATGTCGTTTAGCCTCCAGCTGTCGGAATGTCCCGTCGTCGGGTCTGTGTTTATGTTGCTGTTCTACACTCCTAAGCTCAGTCAGTAAGGTAGTCAGTCTGAGGAATTTGTTTTTCTTCCTAGCAGTCGCTATCTTGATGTCACTGTCTTGTGTGCCGCCCATATCGTTTCCGGACCCATGTCAGGAGTGGCGTTAGTCGCGAAATAGTCTAGTAGGTCGGTCCGAATCTGGTCGACGATGTCTTGGTCCCTCAATAGGGAGGAGTTAAGCCTCCAAGTCCAGGGAGTAGCTACCCCCAAGCTCCCCAACGTGAGAGATACGTCCGCATGGTCGGACCATGCTATGGGCCCAATCTCTGAACTCTGGACGTAAGGTAGGCATTAACTAGGAACATATCTATTCTAGAGTATGTGCCATGTGGGGCCGAATAGAACGTATAATCTACCGTGCTCGGATGACGTGCCCTCCAGACGTCCACCAGCCCCGCCTCCGTCAGAAACTTGTAAAAACACCGGTCTTGGCTCCCCTGCCCCTGGGATCTAGGTACCCCCCCATGTGCGCTCCTGTCCACGGCAGGGGACGGCACTGCGTTGGCATCCCCCCCCATGATTAGCATGCCCCGTTGCAGATTCCGGATCTTCTCCAGCAACACCTCCCAAAACCCGGCCGCCATCTGATTCGGAGCATAGACATTTATTAAATGTATCGTGTGTGAATGCAACGTACCAGTTACAATGACATACCTCCCTTCCGGATCACAGTCAGATGACGTAATCGCCATCGGACAGCTGTTCCGGATCAAGATGGCCACTCCGTTTTGTTTACGAAGCGCCCGTGCTTCGTAAGCCGTGGAATAGGTGTGGTCTCGTAACCTAAACCCCGCGTGTTTCGGCAAGTGCGTTTCCTGGATGAAGGCCACATCTGCTCTCATCCGCTTGAGTTCCCTAAATACTAACCGCCTTTTCTGTGGTGCATTGAGCCCTTTCACGTTTAATGTAGTAAGTTGCAGCGTCATGACCCCGCCTGTATAGTCACGCTGGCCCAGTAGGTCGTGCCGCTCCCCCCGGGCCCCGGTCCCCACCACCCCACCCCCACGGAATAAACAAACAAAGGAGGGGAAAGACATCTAGGGAAGAGAAAAGTATAAGAAAAGTAGAAAATAAAGTATATACAACTGTGACGATACAGCGTATGCCGTGCATGCCGCCGGCGTCGTCTGGTCTTACCTCTAGCCAGACTAATATAGGGTGTAGGACCCCGCATCTTCCCGCGTCTAATGCCCGAAAGATGCGTGAGGCCCAAGGTCTGAATCCCCGACACTCCAATGTGCGGCGTCTCCGTGCCTCTGGAAGCTCCTGGTGTCACCACCCCCATGGCTACCTCTTTCTCGTGAAACCCATAGTTAATTGTGAACCCTAATTTAATCTGGAGTAACATATAACAGCCCTACAGAAACTGTCAGAACCCTCCCGGACTCCCTGAGGTTCTCAGGACCCGATGACCCTAGGTGTTCTCTTACCCCTGACACTGAGGGGGAAAAGCGAACCCTTCACCAACATGTGAGCGTTACCTGCCATCTCACCGTGTCTCTTAAAGTCCCCCTAACTATTCTAACGGGGGAAGGGGGGGGGTGGGGATTTACTCCCCTGGGCACTGGAACCTGGTGGGGAACTACCTAGCCAGCCAAGCCTACCCACTACCCCTAGTCCTGTTCCGGCTCCACACCCGCTAATACAGTCTCGAGTCGTGCCCATGGCTATCTGGTAAGAAGACTGTGGGTTGGAGGTCTCCAGCTGCCCCCAGTCTCGCCAGGACTGTACGCTGTTGGGACGTGGGATACCCATCTGTACCCCCCCCCCCGCTATGTGAGGCTGGATACCCCTCGTACCGTCCCTATGCTCCATCCCCTGAAGTAAAGTACCGGAATCCCTCGTGAGGCAATCTGACCCCCCCCCAGCCCCTGCTCAGAAACCCCCACCGCGGGTGAGCCCTCTGCCATCAAGCCGCCCTCCACCTGAACCCCTACGTCCCTCCAGGCCCTACCTTTGCTGACAGGTGCTCCCCCCCATATAAGAGGTGGCCTTCTAGACTATCCTCCCAACTCCCTCCTCCTTCGGGGATACCCCCTACTGGTCCGGTGCCTTGGTGCTCCGTGATAGAGAGCGATGCCTGAGGCCCGTTCCCACACTGTGGGGTCCCCCGAGAGTACCTGGGCCTCTCACTAGACCCCCGGGCACCCCCCTGCCGCCTCATCCTGTGGCTGTCCCCTTGGCTCCACTAGGCACCACCACCATATCCGTCGCCCCCAGAAACGAGGGTAACTCTTCCGAATCCCCCCGGGTGCCCTGCTCCCCCCAATACAACATATCCCCCACCCGGACCCTCCATTCCCCTTCCCTTCCGCTCCCAGGCTATGCCCCTCAGTCCCCCGCCCAAAAACGGTCAGCCCCCTTCCCACCGGAGCCCTGTCATCTCCCCTGAGGGGCTCTACCCCCGTAAGGCACCCCCAGTACCACAGAGCAGCCTCCATTTCTAAGATATCTGAAGAGGATGTTCTCATTTTACAATAGATATATCAATTTTGGCCCTATTTGGACAAAGCACCCATCTAATGAATTATGTCCAAAAACATGAATAACTAGTGCAAATAAACGCAGAAGCAGTGATCTAAGAAGAGGTAACTGTGGCTTAACATGGTATACTCTTGGAGGTCGGATGTTACTCTTGGAGGTTGGATGTAAATATCTCTTTTAGTTACTTCTAAAGACCTATGCAGCAGCCTATTCACCAAGTATTGCCTGTAGCACTTCCCTGACAATGGCTGGATTGCCTGTTAATGGACGTATAATTTCTAGTGATGTGTGTAGGCATCTGGTGCAACCATGTAGCTGCTTTACATATCTTGTATGAAGAAATTCTGGCTCTTCTAACACACGATTCAGCCTTAAAAGAGAAGACCTAGAGCATTTATTAAGGATTATAGTGTTTGTTACCTACCTAACCTGAGTTGCCTTTTGGGACCCAAATAAAAAAAAAAGAGAAAAAAATTTCAGACAATTTATATATTTTCAATTTCCAAACAATACAAGTCACACCATAATATAATTGATCTTAGTTGCTGGTTCCCTGTCCTCTTAAGAAACCTACACTGTAGGAGACTATAAACAGCATATATGGTAAGAAAAATTCAAAGTCAATCTCTGTTACATTCCAAACACTCATCTTCTTAGGTCCTTGGTTATCTAATTAAAGTGTCTTCTGTTCAGTGATCAATGTTTTATAAATTTCCACATTGCAATCACTTACTCATTCCCTCCGTTCCTACACTCCCTTGCCAGAACAAACAGCATCGGCTAGGGGGTAAACTCCAACAACCATAGCACATTCCCTGTGGTTGCTATGCTTGGAGAACAGCCTGTATGTCACTCAGGTCTTCAGCACAGAGCTCTATGCAGACTAATTAATTGACAGGTGGTGTAAAGACCAATTTTTAAATAGGTTTTTCTTCCAATCTAAAAATTCTACTAACACAACATATATATAAAATTTTATCTATTTGAAATAAGCATAAGAAGTGTGTATCATGACAGATACACTTTAAAGGGGGAGGGGAGGGGGGTTGTCTTCTTACACCTAATGATCACAGGGAACAAAATATGGAGAAATCTGTATCAACACAGATGGTTTATTATTCATTATAATTTAGTAATTATTACATCCGCTTTTGGTTTTTAAGTGATACTGAGTAACCGTTTAAGGTAAAGAACAAGACTTATTACAGAATAGATGAGACACGTTCTGACTCCTCTACATTCTGTGTTGTATGTTTGCCAACTCGAACACAACTTCAAGTACAAAGTCTAGTCATTAATTGTTATCATACACACAATGCATGTATTTGTTTATCTTAGCTAGAACAAAGCAGCTCGTTGGTGATGGGTACTATGAAGTCCATGCATTGGGATGTGAACCCTTTCTGCAGAATGCACAGGAACTGATATGTTTTGCTTGTGTGGCAATGGTTACATCCAATTTAAAAGTATGATCCACATCTTCATCCTTTTTAGTTCAAACAAATGTTTGAATCCCCAGAATGCATATAAAGCTTTAAAAGCTAAAAGCAGGAGCAGCAAATGTTGCTCCTTTATCTGTGCAAAATAAGCACAGCCCACAGTATCATTAAATCTTTGGAGATCTCTCCAGCCATTCATACATCTACAATGCACCGAAGGGGACTGCGTCCTATGCATTTTAGATTTCTCTAAGTGTATGTTAAGATCTTTATCTAACAACATGAAATATATAAACAAAATAAAAGGGAAGACAAATCTTAAAATTAAATATTTCCTGGTTTGTACATCACATCCTGCAAAATTCTCTGTAACTGGAATGGAGTTAGGGATATCTTTAAACAAGAACGGATTTGTTTATAAACAATAGACTCTGAGATTTTCTCTAAAGCAGAGGAAAAGGTTTTGGTATTGGTATGTTTTTGGATAAAGCAAAATATTCAGGGTTGTAATAACTAATATGCTGCATTTAATCATTTGTTGACCAACGGAGTCGTTTGATTGCCAGTTTATAGTCTTTTTTTTTTTTGGATCAACAGCAGAAACAATAATGTATGAAGGGTTGAACTTGATATTGACCGTTTCTCAACCTATGAAGTTATGTAACATGTTGAATAATAAAGTTTCTATTTAAAGTTCAATTTACGTACAATGAATTTTTAAGAGAGAACCTGAATTTTTTCAGTGTGCCAGAGTAGGAGTAAAGTTTATCCCACAGACATTAACGTACGCTATATTAACCTATGCTAAGCCTTTCTTGCTTACACTTGTGTGCAGTGTATCATATGATAAAATCCCCTCAAACATTACGCACCATGAGAGATACAAGCTAATGTGTCTCCAAGGTTGAGACACATTTTTAGAATGTAAAAGCTTATTATAGAAGCCATTTATAAAAAAGCACAGACGTAGAACTTTCTCAAAAAGACAAAGTATAATTCTCCAAATCGAAATGAACAAAATCACCGTCTGATGTTTCAGTGAAAAGGCAGAAATAAAAGCAGAGACCTTTTAATATAAAATAGAAAGCACTCTCACTGCTCATAGAGAAAAAGCGAACAATTCAGGAGACCCTCATTTTAGAGAGTACTGTAAATGTCTAGTCCGCCCAATATTAGTTGGAGATGTAGTGAGCTCTAGTGATTATGATACTTCAAAGGTTGCTTTAAAAGAACACTCCAGACAGTAAAGCACATCAGTTTGCTCTAGTCTGGAGTCTGTCATTTTTTGAGAGTTTATAAATGTGCCAATTTCAATAGTAATCAGTACTTTTATAAAATGGAGCAAAATTACATCCCTCACTGTTACCTAGAAAGCTGGGATGGTTTAGCGACACAGAGCATGCCTGTCCTCCATCCTTCTCAATGATCTGTACTACAGCTCATTGAGAAGCATTGGAAAGCTGCAATCAGTTCCTCACATGTGCTCCCAACTCCAGCACAGATTTCTCTCAATGAGACGGCCATTTCCTTGGCACAGACTAAAGAAGTCTGTGAAAAAAGGGAAGACTTGCAATGGCTGCAGACGGCGGGTCTGCAGCTTTGCAAGCTGTGTTATTATAAACCACTAAAGAAAACATGCAGGAAAAATACAAACATGCTTAGCTTGGAGGTATATCTATTGAATAGTTAACAAACAATACAATGGAGTGGATTGTGACCCCTATTGATCACAAACACTACAAGGAAACATATACTCCAATGCTACCCTAACAGTAATCACCACCCCATACATTGTACATTACCCTTACCTCTTAACCCTACACTACAATCTCCAACCATTCCATAAAAAAAATCATGTAATATAAAAGATAAGTGAGATACATTATTTGAAGGGAAAATAATGCCATCCCTTCTCTCTCGGGGTTTATCGTCTCCATACTTACTAATTATTGTTACTTTCACATACCTGGGTATTATCTTTGTGTTTCCTAAATATGATTTATGTCACAAGTGTTACAGTGCCATACAGTTTTCGCGCATTTTAACACTGTTTGTTGTATTATCAATGACGGAAGTTTAATTTTACAAAATCGAATTATCAGGCAGAAAATGAACTATAGCACAGAAGTCCTCGTTTAGCCTTTTATTTTAAGGACTGTGTGGAAAAATAATTATATACATCAACACAGATTGTATTACTAGTAAAAAAATTATTTTATTAATTTTTTTCCAACATCAGATTATAAAAAAAGCAAATCAAACAACAACCAATGAAGGAAACACACAGTACCTGCCCAATGCATTCTCCAATAGGGAGGCTTCTGTCCTTAGTCTTCCTCTTGCTCATTGTATTAATCATTCATAACCTTACAGGAAATAAAACAAAAGCATTAACTAACATTAGACGTGATGCTTTTGGTTACATGCATTTTAGAAACTCAACAGTGTACAGAATTTGTTATAGTGATTTTAATAGCATATCTCTCAATAAAAGAGAACTTCACAAAATGTGTAACTAGGGGCTTTGGTAAATAAATAATTCATAATTAATTTCCAAATCAAAAGATTGTTTGTTGTGATTACTAATCTTTATGCAGGATGCAAGGCCGATCTAATACCTGACTGTAGATTAAGTGAATTGTAATTCACAAATATCTAAGAGGCCAAGGTTGGACATCACCAATGTATTATTATAATGAAATGATTTAAGCCAGAGGCAGAATGGCAGCGTGGAGAGGGCTGAAAGGTAAGTAATACTCACCTTTCAAACCCCCTTAGAAGGGGGTGGCACCTAGATTGATGTCAGGACACTACAGCGTTAAGAATACGTGTTTGTATTCCTAAAGCTAAAGTGTTCCATTAAGGTAAAATATTAATGTTGTCCAATTTCTGTATGTGCACACGAAACTGACCTCTCTTTCCTCCTCAGAGAGAGGCGAGTCGCAGATCATGGTGCACGCAAGGATCTACAGAGAAATAGTGTACTAGAGCAGTGGTTCCCAAAACTTTTAGGTTCAAGGTAATATTTCAATATTTTCCAAGGCACACCAAGTCAAAATTTCTAGGTTGTATATCTGTACAGCGCTGCAGCATTTACTGGCGCAATAGTGTCATGTACAGTGTTGGTGTTTGAAGGGGTGCTTGTATATAGTTTTAGTGTTTTAATATAGGGGTGTGTTTGTATGTAATGTTTGCGTTTGATAACAGGGGTGTGCTTGAATGTTATTTTTAAATGCGGGTGTACGTTTGTGTGTAGTATTTGTGTTTGAGTGAAAGGGTGTGTTTGTATATTCTTTTGGAGTTTGAATGCAGGGTGTGTTTGTATGTAATATTTGTGTTAGATTGCAGGAGTGTGTTTGTATGTTGTGCTGGTGTATGACTGCTTGGATGTATGCACATACATACATACTTACAAAAGATATACATACACACACATTCATATAGACACCGACACATACCTTAACACACGCATACACCAACAGACACACACACAAACATTGATACATGCACACACCATAATACAGATACACACACTGACATAAAAACACACACAATGACACACAGATGCACATTCCCAGATGTATATCCTGACACACAGATGGGTGCGCACACATAGACACAGATGCACACCCTGATACACACACACTCAAAAATACATACGCACACACACAAGTGATGTTTTTAATATCTCCAGCCACCCTCCTGCTAGCTTAACTTGTAAGTCCAGGAGGGTGGCTTGAAGTCCTGCCTCTGCTGGTGGGAGTGAGGGGTCTGGAGCTCTTCGTGCTCCTCTCCCTCCCGCATGAGTCAAAGATCATGACATTAAAGGGACACTATAGTTACCAAAACAACTTTATCCTAATAAAGCAGTTTTGGTGTATAGATCATAACCCTGCAGTCGCACTGCTCAATTCTCTACCATTTAGGAATTAATCTATCTAATGATGTACTTCCTTTATTGTCTGTGAGTTTAACAGAACAATATAAGTTCAGGAACACAAACATGTATTCCTGACCGTATAGTGTAGCCCCCCCCTCTTGCCTCCCTAAATATAGTAAAAACGTACTTGTATTCAAGTCTGTAGCTGCTGCCTCTGTCCCTGACCTGCCTGCTGTCTGCTGACATCATCAGAAGTGGTGGTCTGAGCCAATCACAATGTTTCCCCATAGAATTGGCTGAGACTGTCAAGGAGGTACATCAGGGGCAGAGCCAGCACAAGTCAAACACAGCCCTGGCCAATCAGCATCTCCTCATAGAGATGAATTGAACCATGGCATATCCATGAAAAAAGTTCAGTGTCTACATGCAAAGAGTGGAGACACTGAATGCAATGCTGCACAGTGTGCAGCACTGCCCCAGGAAGCACCTTTAATAGGCATCTGAGGAGTTATCACTAGGCTGTAATGTAAATACTGCATTTTCTCTGAAAAGACAGTGTTAACTGCAAAAATCCTGAAGCGTATAATTCCACTCACCAGAAAAAAAAAAATGCAATAAGCTGGAGTTGTTCTGGTGACTATAGTGTCCCTTTAATTTAGAATCTCCTGCAGTAGTAATAGTTTGCTTTACCTTCAATTCAATGAAGTTCAATTTACAGAGCAGGAGAAAACATCTAAAACAAATCAACAAGTGATTGAAAATGAGACCATTGTTTCATACAGAACGTGTCAGAGGAGGGGTGGCCAGGGCTGCTTGGACAGAAACAGTAGTGATTTAACTCCTAAATGGCACAGAATTGATCAGTGATACTGCAGGGGCATGATCTATACACGAAAACTGCTTCATTAAGCGAAAGGTTTTTTTGGTGCCTAAAGTGCGCCTTTAATTCAAGCAATTTTAAAACATAGTCTTCATTTAATATTTTCGCATAAGCTTTGCAAATTATTTAATATTTTTGGATACACTTTTAAAATCTATATTTTTAAAATATTAAAATATATACATAATTATCAAAATAATTTCATAACGATAAATCATTTAAAAATAATATTAAAAAAAATTAGTGGGCTGTGTTGTGAAAACGGAGAATATTATTACTTTGTACTTGCGTAATGCACAGATTGACATTTGGATTGTTATCAGAATGAAAAAATCAGCACCACTTGAAGACAGCATCATATAATTTGAAAGCCATGGAAGTAAACTCTACTTCATCTGACTAAGAATTTGGCATTTGAAAGATATTATGGTGGCAACATAATTGGATAGAACAATTTAAATCACAGGCAACTCAGTAAAACCTTCAATTATGGAGCATGGAGGAGGTGGCCACCCGCGGTAGCAATGTGGGCGGCGCGCAAGGGAGCAGTACTCTGCCTGTAGCTCCTCTCTGCTCCCTGGCGCTGTCTAATGATGTCGGGAGCTGGAATATGACATCTCTCCGGCCCCAGCATCATTACACAGCGCGAGGGAGCAGAGAGGAGCTACAGGCAGAGTACTGCTCCCTCGAACACAAGTAGAGTGCAGCCCCACTGGACCCTAGGAAAGACCCTCTCAGCTCTCCCAAAGGTAGGGAGTCTGAGTGGGTTTCAATGAAATCAAAAATGTGTGTGTGTGTGAGAACCTGTCAGTGTGTGTATGTGTGTGAGAGTGTGTGTGTGAAAGAGAACCTGTCAGTGTGTGTGTGTGTGTGAGAGAGAGAGAGAACCTGTCAGTGTGTGTGTGTGTGTGTGTGTGTGTGTGTGTGTGTGTGTGTGTGAGAAAGAGCCTGCCAGTGTGTGTACACCTACATGTGTGTGTGCGCAAGTCTGTCAGAGTGTGTATGAATGTGTGTGTGTGTGTGTGAAAATGTCAGTGTGTGTGTGTGAGAACTCTGTGAGTGTGTGTGTGTGTGAGAACCTGTCAGTGTGTGTGTGTGTGAGAACCTGTCAGTGTGTCTGTGTGTGTGGGAGCCTGTCAGAGTGTCTGTATGTATGTGTGTGCGTGCGTGCAAGCCTATCAGTGTGTGCGAGCCTGTCAGAGTGTGTGCAAGTGTGTGAACGCCTATATGTGTGTGTGTGTAAGTCTGTCAGAGTGTGTGCGTGCAAGCCTGTTGTCAGCATAAGAGTGTGTGTGTGAGCTGTCAAGAAATTGTGTGTGTGTGAGCGAGTCTGTTAAGAGTGTGTGTGTCTGTCAAGAGTTTGTGCGTGCAAGCCTGTTGTCAGCGTGAGTGTGTATGTGAGCCTGTCAGTGTGTGTGTAATTTTGTACCTGCCCCCTCCGATCGTTTTTACTCTCCTTCCCCCCCCCATTTTCTCACGCCGTGTCAGTTTCCCCCATGGCTGAGATGATCAATCTTTATGATCTCAGCTAAGCCAATGCTTTCCCTTAGGAAAGTATTGGGAGGATTTTGTGCATGCGCAGCAAATGTACCAATCCGCATCTCCTCATAGAGATGCATTAAATTAATGAATCTCTACAAGGAACATTCAGCACCTCCATGCAGAGATTGGAGATACTGAAGCAGCATTGTAAATTCTGCCTTTTCGCAGAAAAGGCAGTGTTTACACTAAAATGCCCACAGGGACAGGATATAGACACCAGAACAACTACATCAAGCTGAAGTGGTTCTGGTGACTATAGTGTCCCTTTGAGAATTGCATTTTCTCGTTGAAAATGACTGGCTCCTAACTTGTTTAGCTGGCACCTAGATTCCAAACAAATTTGTCAAGCCCTGCTTAACTGAGTTTACTGCCCCTTTTTTGTATTGCTCACCATCTTTAATTCCAACTGAATATAAATTCATATTGTGCATTTTAAATCAAGGTAACTAGGCCCCATGATCTTCTGACACATACCCTCTATCAAATACCATAAATCCATACACTGCTAAAGTAGAGAATTAAAAAAAATATATTCAATGAAACGTGTTGTTGTTCTTTAACCATAACTCCATCACCCACCAGGAATATCCCTCTATTAATACCCCTCCATCACCCACCAGGAATATCCCTCTATTAATACCCTCTCCATCACCCACCAGGAATATCCCTCTATTAATACCCTCCATCACCCACCAGGAATATCCCTCTATTAATACCCCTCCACCCCCCCCAGCAATATCCCTCTTTAAAACCCCCTCCATCACCCACCAGGAATATCCCTCTATTAATACCCCCTCCATCACCCACCAGGAATATCCCTCTATTAAAACCCCCTCCATCACCCACCAGGAATATCCCTCTATTAATACCCCCTCCATCACCCACCAGGAATATCCCTCTATTAAAACCCACTCCATCATCCACCAGGAATATCCCTCTATTAATACCCCTCCATCTCCCACCAGGATATCCCTTTTAATACCCCCTCCATCACCCACCAGGAATATCCCTCTATTAATACCCCTCCATCACCCACCAGGAATATCCCTCTATTAATATCCTCCATCACCCACCAGGAATATCCCTCTATTAATACCCCCTCCATCACCCACCAGGAATATCCCTCTATTAATACCCCTCCATCACCCACCAGGAATATCCCTCTATTAAAACCCCTCCATCACCCACCAGGAATATCCCTCTATTAATACCCTCCATCACCCACCAGGAATATCCCTCTATTAATACCCCTCCATCACCCACCAGGAATATCCCTCTATTAATACCCCTCCATCACCCACCAGGAATATCCCTCTATTAATACCCCTCCATCACCCACCAGGAATATCCCTCTATTAAAACCCCTTTATTACCACAGCTCCAGGTCTTGCTGCCTCCACTGACTGCTGGCCCCGCCCCCTCCGGCTGTTTCCCTGGAGACAGAATGTGACCCGGATGTGAACTCAGACTGGTCATTTCCTGGCTGCTATCACTTCCGGGTGTCGCTGTCGCGGTGCATTGTGGGTCCCCGCCTCCCCTGTCCTGCCTGGGACATGCGCAGTACCCAAACTCCCATCTTTCTCCCAAGCAGCCAGAGAGCCAGGGGCAGCGGGGGGAGAGCCGGAGCGGGCCCGGGGCAGGACTCGCCGTGTCGGGGTACAGGTGTCACAGCTTCCCTCCGGCTCCCACCTGGCTGCGGGCCGGACTGACTGGGTGAGGAGCCCGGGGGGAGGGGAGATCACCGGGCCTGAGAGAGAGCAACCGCAGCCTGACCCGGGAGCACAGACAGGAGCCCCCTGACCGGCCTGGACCCCCGGGGCTGCCCTGTCCGCCTCCCAGCCGCCCACCCCGGGGGCAGGAGCCAACAGAGGGGGCAGGAGAGCCATCTACAGCCAATGGGTGAGTGGGGGACAGGGGAGCCCTGACTGGGCAAGTGGGGGACAGGGGAGCCCTGACTGGGCAAGTGGGGGACAGGGGAGCCCTGACTGGGCAAGTGGGGGACAGAGGAGCCCTGACTGGGCAAGTGGGGGACAGGGGAGCCCTGACTGGGCAAGTGGGGGACAGGGGAGCCCTGACTGGGCAAGTGAGGGACAGGGGAGCCCTGACTGGGCAAGTGTGGGGACAGAGGATCCCTGACTGGGCAAGTGGGGGACAGGGGAGCCCTGACTGGGCGAGTGGGGACAGGAGCCCTGGCTACGGGCGAGTGGGGCAGGATCCTGACTGGGCGGAGTGGGGGCAGGGGATCCTGACTGGGCGAGTGGGGACAGGGGAGCCCTGACTGGGGGACAGGGGAGCCCTGACTGGGGGACAGGGGATCCCTGACTGGACAAGTGTGGGTACAGAGTATCCCTGACTGGGCGAGTGGGGGGGACAGGGGATCCCTGACTGGGCGAGTGGGGGTACAGGGGAGCCCTGACTGGGCGAGTGGGGGGGAAAGGGAAGCCCTGTGACTGGGCGAGTGGGGTGGGCAGGGGAGCCCTGTGACTGGGCGAGTGGGGGGACAGGGGAGCACCGTGACTGGGCGAGTGGGGGGACTGGGGAGCGCCCTGGCTCGGCGAGTTGGTGACAGGTAGAACTCACTGAGTTAAAACAGCAGCTCCTAGTAGATGCCATAATCTGTAGCAATCATACAACGAGTGCCAGCTGAATGCTTAGGGTAAGGGAAACACTGTCTACCTGATGACAAAATCGCCTTTTGACAATTTACATAATCATTCTTCTCACTGAATTACATTTTGGAATCAGCTGAGTATAAGCGTTCAGTTTCTTTATCCTATTCTGGTTGTCACTAGTTCTTCAAGGAGCATTTTTATTTCATTTAGTGTTATATGTAGGTTATGGTATATAGTGGTTGTTGGTACCTTCTTGGCAAACTCCATTCTCTGATGAGTCGACTTATGTAATGAATTCTCCTCCATCATCAGTGAAATCATTTTCTGTTTAGAAATGCAAACATGGTGATGTATCACTACGTTTTCCAGGTTTGACTTGCTTCTGGTTCTCGGAATAAATGGTAGATTATTAATTTGTGCTTTTAGATAATACTTAGTGAAGTCACTTTCATGCTAAAGTTAGTGGATTGACTTTTTGTTATACACATTATGGGCAATTGTTTGGGTTGTGAAAGTATACTTGCAATTGGTGCTTTTAGAGCAGATTATATAAATGACAAACTTCGTGAGATGATTTTAGACTGGCTGCAATAGTTACTTAGAAGGACCTATAGGCATATTTTAAGATAAACAGGTTATTTTGGATCTTTGTCGCAGTTTTGCTTGTGACAGAATGTCATATTTGCTTCTGTGTAAGCGATATCTTTTAACCTTTTTTACCCCAAAACATTTATGTAAAGAATGCACAAAATTTTTTTAAAGAACATGTCAGTAACTGACTGTGATCGAATGTGGCTGTAATGTCACCAACAGTATACGTGACATTATAACCATACTCTCTATAAGGTTAAAGAACTTGAAAATTACAGTGCTTCATACTGGTAATTATTTAAGAGTTTTTACATAGAGCTCTTCTACTGAGAACTTTTCTACTACAAAAATGTAGCAATTGTTATTAGTATTATAAAGTGGGATATATAATTAGACACAAAGTGAGTGTAGTCTTTGATAGACTGCACTAATACATACTGTAGTGTGAGTGCAAATCCAGATCACTTCTTTGCTCAACTTGTTCAAGCTCTGAAACTGTCGTGGGGCAGGATAATGTATAATATTTCTGCATGGGAACAGGGTTTAGTGGAAAAAGAAGCAACAACATTGGGATGTTATTGAAGGCAAGTTTAATTTTATCATTTTTATTTTCTCTTTTGCTATTATCTCGTAATTCTAGGCTTTCATATTTATGACATTAAGGGAAATTCCAGGCACTAAATGAAATCAAATCATCCACTTTTTGAAAAAGGAAAAAGCAAAAGTATTGTAGTTTCTCCATCCAATCCAAGGAACTTTGAAGATATGTACAGCTGTTCATTTCCTTAAAGTTTTGCACATGACTTTCCCATTTAGGTGAATGAGAAAATAAAAACTGCACATCTCTATATTATATTTAAGCAAGCCCTTAAGCCATTTGCGGCTCAGCTGTTACTTATTCATTCATTTCAAGTATGTAATTCATTTCAGCCAGCACCAACGTTAGGACCTGTCATTACAACCTAACGTTGTTAATGCCCGTGCTGTTCCGGATGTAATGACACATCCTAACGTCTATATCAAGTTAATTAAGTGGTTTTGGTGCAGTCTCAGTGTTCTATTCTTTGTTATTTAGGAGTTAAATCACTTTTTTTTGCTACCCTAGCCACATATCCTCTGGCTGAAACTTGTTGAGCATCTTACACATGGTCTGTAAAGAGAGATGTAATTTTAAAAATTTCTTAATAGCACAGTGTATTTAACTGTAACGTTTTTCTTATTTCTAATTGCCTGCAAGAGCCTCCTTTGTTTTCTTAAAGTTCAATTGGCAGAGCCTCTAATGGAAACATGTTTTGCTGATCTGATCTGATTAACAGTAAAAACATTTTTCATGATGGCTGTGGGGGACACTGCCAGGGGAGCTGTGGCTAGGGCTGCATATACAGAAACTAGTGATTTAAAGGGATATTATAAGCACCAAAACAACTTTAGCTTAATGAAGTAGTTCAGGCATATAGATCATGACACTGCTTTCTCACTGCTCAATTGTCTGCAAATTTAGGAGTAATATCTCTGCATGTGACTTCCACAGCCTTATTTAACACTTCCTGTAAAATGAAATCTACTGTTTATACTTCCTGCATTGCACAGTTTGTTTAAATTAGAATATATTCTGTCCTGTACTGTTAATAGTTTTTTAGACCTTACAGGAGCCTCCTGCGTGTGATTTAAAGTAAAATTTACAGTGCACCAGATTAAAAACTTCTGACGTAAATTTAGGATCGGATTAAAAAATTTTTTCAAGCTGGCTGTGTGAGTCACAGCCAAGTTAGGTGTGACTTGGACTGTATAAACAGAAAGAGATACTGCAGGGGCATGATCTATACACTAAAACGGCTTAATTTAGCTACAGTTGTTTTGGTGCCTGTAGCATCCCTTTGATTCCTAAATGGCAGAGAATGCCTTGTAGGGGCATGATATATACCCCACAGCTGCTTAATCAACCTAAAGTTGTTCTGGTCCTTTAGAGTACCCCTTTAACATGTTACTATAGTGGGAGTGATAATTCTCCTTTGAATTTTTTAATTTGTGACATTTAAAATTGTGTGTGCTCCATATAAAAGGAACACTATAGTTTTAGGAATTCCCCCCCCCCCCCCCCCCCCCCCTCCTCTTGAGCCAATGACCAATCCATGTGCTATATGCACCTCCATATGCTTCACATAGGAAAACATTTATTTGGTGCTTTTTTCATTAGTTGCCACCTCACTTGCCAAGTTTTACGTTGTTGTAGAGGAAGCGCCTCTAGTGGCTGCCTGGAAGACAATAAATACAGGTGTGTTTAACCTATTGCAGTTTACATTAACTGAGATTAAGTGGGCTGCGTGACTTGAGTGGTTCTTTAATGTCTGATTCTCCATAGTTTGCGGAGAGTATTTGTGGCAGCTACATCATCCCCACGACTGTAAGTACTTTTAGCACTGACATGAAGATTCTCATCTACAATATATGTGGTTGCAAGTTCACCTTACGGTAGACTATTAGACAAAAAAGTATATCTCCAAAGTAAGTAAACCTTGTACTCAAGCTATATTATAAACTCGTTGCAGGGTACCAGATAAGTAGCCTTTAAATATATACATTCAAAAAATGATCTGCGCTTGCAGACTTTCCAATGAGTTTCTCCCTTTACTACTTCATTGTAAAGTTAAAACTGCATCATCAATGTATGTGTTGACGTTTCGGTTCTGTATCGAAACATTATTCAGAACAACTGTTTGTTTGGGATACTCTGAGCACCAAAATCGCTGCTCACTGCTACATTCTCTGCCATTTAGGATGTTGTTATTGGCATTTATATAGGGCCAACTTGTTTAACAGTGTTTTGCAATTATATAAAGGGGGGATTTAATAATAAATGAGACAAACTATTGCAGAATTTGACAGGAACAGGTTGTCGAGGACCCTGCTTGAATGAGCTTTCACTTTGCTTAAACAGTCCTAACCACACCTAACTCTTCCTATTCACTCCTTCCCGACATTAGGACGTTCCATGTTGGTCTTAACAGAGTTGGCTTTCACGCCAGAGTTTTGGTGTAACAAGGGTTAAATATCTGCTCACACCGGGGAGTACCAGGTATCAATTGACACCTCGGATACCACCTTATCAGCTGGCACTATATATAATGATCCCATACTAACAGATGAACTGCAAACCGCGATCAAAATTAGCGCTTTATACAGCCTTTTAAATAGATTATTACGTTCACACCAGGGAGACCCAGATATCAAATGGTTTGATTTCTTACCTGGGGTATGGCCAGCGTCACTCCCCTCCTTTACCATGGAGAAATGGAGGTTCCTTAACATGAACTTCATTTGGCTCATTGGTTGAAAGCAATCAGCTGTCACTCAGCCAATGAGCTAAGCTCTTAATGCATAGCTTAGTTCGGGAGAGCTAACAGATGTTCCTAGTGAGCAACTTCATGTCTCTAGCCATGCAAATGGAGGTAGTGAGCAGCTCCCAGTGGACCCCCAGTTCAAATCGATTAAAAACAATTTGACTCCTTATAATGGGACGGGGCCACCAGGGCACTCTTGGAGTGTGCGTTTATTTTTGCTGAAAAATATGAGCTTTTCAGTGGACATTTGTCTTCTCTACTATTGCATTGCTGGAAGTTTTGGGATTGTGCTTGTGTTTTGGTTTTTTTCCCCCAAGTTGTTAATGCATTATCCAGGGAAGTATGAGTTCACCTTCCTTGTAATTTGATGACAATTTTTTTTTTTTTTTTTTAAATTTGACAATTTTTATTTATTTTGTCAGTAAGGCATGACAATTTTTTATAGCACGCTATAACGATTGCCATACTTTGTAGGTATTGTGGATATTACCACTTGTATGTTAGCTACAAATGTGGGCTTAGTTAATATGTTAATTTAATGTAGATGTAGAATTTCGCAGGAATTCCAGATTTTATTTTTTACTCAATGCTTGCCTATGGACATCCAGTGTCTTCTCACTGTGATTTTCACAGTGAGAATCACGGAAGCGCCTCTTCACTTATACCCTCTCTAAGGTCTAGAACCTGCTACATACTGTTCCAGGTAATTTGCGTAGTTAGGGGCTCCTATGTATGTACAGAACTCTCTGGCTCTGTATTTGAGTCTACAAATGAACTCTGTACTGCATGGGATTATAGAGATAGTTACCACAGACATGGCCAATGTGTGGTACATGTGGTAATGATGTGCAGTCTATCTGTTCCAATTGTCACTTTTTTTTTTTCTGGCCTAAGTTTGTCATATGCTATGTTAGGGATGGCAGTGTTTATACAGCTATTTTATGTGGCCATTTTCCTGGGAACTGATTAATATGCTGTATCTGTTAAACCAATGAAAATACCAATACCAGTTGAAGGTCCCAATCAATTGTTGTGAACATGGGCGGTAGTGCTTGTACTCCAACATAGTACTTGCACCCAATCTGCTTCCTAACAGTTTGTTGAGGGAGCCTGGAATGCTTCAGCCCCAGACCCCGAAGCTTGACCAGACTCTTCCATCCGACCAGACTCTTCCATCCGACCAGACTCTTCCATCCGACCAGACTCTTCCATCCGACCAGATATTGTCCCTTCTGCCTATTTCTCTGCAGATTTCCTTCCTGGTAGGAATGCACCTCTGTCTGCAATGTGATTGATTGATTTGACATGACATGAAAAGCTTTATTTTTACTTGGAACTAGCCCATATAATAATATTAAGCTAAAGTAAACAGTAAACACATAACACCAACTCATGAAAAGAAACATACAGACACAAATAACAACATATTAATAAATGGGTGGGATAGACAATAACCAACATGAAATATCTCTCCTGCTTACAGAAACCACAATATACAAATCTAACTGACTATGCAAATTAACAAGCCTTGCTATTAAGGTAGTGCATATTGCTGTTGCTACCAACAGGTGACACTTTACAGGCACCACAGCCAAATCCAGAGTTGGTAGCAAGAGCTAGCAGGACAGGAGAGCACACAAAACATCTAACAATAAAACAACAATACACACCCTGCACCTATAATGGGCACAGGGTGTCTTAAACATAGGAGTAGTCCAGCGTCCTACTTAAAGTGACCATATAAAAATCCAGTTGATGGTGACTGTCACAGAACCTCTGCTTTTTGGGCAATTGTAAATCAAGTTGTTTTGACCTATTATTTTTATTGAAAACCAGCTGGTTGGCATACTGCAAGCTACAAGACCTACTTTGGCATTATACAACCACCGTTTTAGTATAATCTGTCCTTTTTTATTATTCATTTACGTGTCATAGTAGAAAAAGCACTGGAATTGCACAACTGATGCTGTTTCTTAAAAATGCATTCTTGCAGATTATATAAGACCTAGCATGAAATTATGTCTGAGTCACACATACCCCCCAGAACTACTATTTTATGTTAAGTTGAATAATACAAATTTTGAGAGCCTCATACAATTGGTTATCTGTGGATTGTTGAGCACCTGACAGACAGCTTGCCATTTAAATGTTCATGAACCAGTAATTTGCATGGTTGATTATGTAAATATAATACAATGGATCACATACTTATTTCAATGTGGCACATTGACAGTTTGCAAGTGCTTGAGTTTAGATTTCATTACTGGGTTCTAAGAGAGCAAGCTTTGCTGATGAGAGCATAAGTCTGTAAGCATCCATTTTTCTAAAATTAAACCTGATGCTCCAGTCTGTTATGGAAGTTATATATTTTACTGTAAAGCAGTAAATAAATTTTTTTGGGTAACATATTACAAATAAATGTAATATATTTGATTTTTTTTCACCAATAGCAATATATAAAGTACGGAGTTTGGCATTTATTGTATTGTTCTAGCTAAATTTGTAGTGTTTGTTTGCATAACATCAATTTTATAGGATATTTATTTTTGTATCTCTTTGAAACAAAGACGACTTGCATAATGATTTAGTATGACACTTGTTTTTTTTTTCTTATTATTTTCTTGGTTGACTATCCATCCCATCTATTGTTGTACCATTGGTAGTTTCTCCCATCTCATCTGCAGCTCTCTCCAGCTACATCAAAGTTGTTATTGGTCTCTTCCCTTTATCATTTTTTTTTTGTCTGCATAATGTCCTCCTTATTTATATACTGAGTTTTGGTCTTGGACTTGGACTTCAGTCCATTGTAGTTGTGCCATATTCTTTCCATTTTGATATTTATATTTCATAATGTTGCTTATTTATTTATTTGTAAACAAACTGCTTTAGGAGATAGTTTGTGTGACGTGTGTTTTTTTTTTTTTTTTTTTTTTGGTGGTTTTGTTTATTCTTACCAAACTTTGGTTAGTGCTCTAACAGATCTTTATTTCAGATTTGTTTTGATTGCTTTGTGACTTCTGGAGGAAGTTTGTTTAGGAATTTTGCAGCAATAAGGGTAAACATTTCACAAACCAACAAATGTGTTTTTTAGAGTTTTATGTTATATTTAGTTGGTTTTTTTTTTGTGTTTTTTTTTGTTTATGATAAACCTATTTTGCACCTTCACAAAAAACAAACGTTTGAAATGCTTATTTAAATCAAATTGTAAACCCCCCTTTATAATCTATTAGTACAAAATGTGCAATCGCTGTTGAATATTTACCAGGCAATATATTTGCATTTAAAGTACAACTGTATACAAAATGGAAAATATTAATACAACTGTAAATTGAATGTTATTGAGAATAATTTAAGCAAAACTGTGCATACAAGGCTTTAAACACATGTTATTTATTTATTTATTTTTAATACTCCTTTATTTTGCCAAAAACCCAAGTGGTATATCCAGCACATTAGTGTGATCACTAGTTGGTGCCCTTATCCTAATATATAATTATTAATCTGTGTCCCAGCCCATCCAGTTGGCTAACCATAACTTTGCTCATTTCGTCTACCTGTGCTTCCCTATAGTCTTTGTCATTCAACTAGCAGAAAAGAGAAAGAAGAAAAAATAAATTGCAAATGAGTTTTTATTATAATCTTGAATAAACTGTATATTCCATATTCAAGTGATTTTCTGTTCTTGTATATCTATAAAGGGCTATTTTGTCACAGTTAAATCTATAGAATGCTATTTGATTTTATATAGGATTTTAAAATGGCCTTATCCTTGCTTGGTTATACAAACAGTCTGTGGAATAACAGATAATAAAATGAGCATATATCCACAATATCCTTTTCTCACATGTGGCAGAGATAGAAGAGTAGATTCTGGAGTTGCCATGGCAAGTGAACAATTTTCTTCTAATTTCTAGTGAATTGCACATTAGGCAAAATGCACAAACTCCTGTTGGACCAGGCCATCTAATCTAGTGAATAAGCCCAGCTTTTTCTTTTGATGCTTATTCTTAATTTCATTTTTAAATACCGGTAGTTTTTTTTGCAACATATGTATTTAGTTTTTTTATTATTATTTTATATCCCCATTATCTGGTGATATAACCACAAAGCAATATTGTGCGTTTACATACATTGTAATTGCATTGCTATTCTTCCAATACTTATTTTCACCATTATGCAATATATCATATGGGTCAAAGTAATAGATGCAATTCTTCAGTTCGGTAGCAAATTAATAAAGAAAATTCATGCTGGGTCCCATATACAGATTTAATGTACAAGATGAAATGTAACTTTAATCTCACCTTTTCATTTTATTTTTTTTAAATTTATTATTTTTTTAAATTACTCAACAGTGCAACAAATATTGACTAGAAAGTTAACATCATAATATGGAAAATGTAGAGGTAGTAACTAAAAAATCTCAAATATAAAGAAACCGAGAAGCTGTAGCATGTTCCCTTTACACAAAAGACAGATACATTGAATGGGAATGTGTGTGATTTCTTTTGTAGGTGTCCACCTCTTGGGGGCTTAAAAGATAAGTTTTATTTACCCTATGTTCTGTGGCACGCTGGTTTCTGTATTGCCGTTCCACCTTTCTGGCTGAGGTCTTTAAGATCCGTGATCTCAACCAAGCCAATGCTTGCCCATTGGAAAGCCGGTGCGCTTGTGTAGCAACATTCCTCCTTGCCCCAAACAAATGATCTGTAGGAGAGTTATTTAATCTGTAGCATTGGTTTTATCTGCAAAAGCTCTCTTAGTGGACTTCTTACTGACAGCCCTTAGAGGCATGTTATGCCTGCAATGTCCTGCAGAACAACAGTGTTTTCGGTTGCAGGGTTAAACAGACTGGGACATGACACACGGACCAATTCCTGAGAAGGAGCGTTCTAGGTGCCTATAGAGTTCCTTTAACTGGAACCTTTTACTGTCTGTGCGTGCCTCCACAGAATTTAAAAATGTGCTTGGTTTAGCCCTGTGGCATTTGGGAATAATGCTATAGTTGCTGCAATATTAAGAAAAAAAATACTGTGATGGGGGGGAAGGGGGTGGGGGGTGGAGCATAAAACATGTCTACCATCTAAACTTGTGTATCTTTTACCTAGAATGCCTCGTACAGTGGTTATTTTTGTGATTCAGAGAATTGTACTGAAAATGGTCAAAAAATGTAATCTTGCATGCAATACTCCAATTCAGTCTGTATGGTGGACTGTGTTTTTCCTTGCCAGATTCTACACAAGACTAGTCTTTTCCAAAAAGTTAGAAGAAAGATTTTCAAAGACAATACTTGACATTGTTTCCTTTTTCCTCTTAGATGTTCATGGATAAATGCGGTCATCCAGTTTGTGACATGAATGTCATTGACACAGATAAAGAACCAAGATAATTAGATTCTACTTTTTTGGAAAAATAGGTGAGTGAGTTTGCTTGGCAGATGTTTTGTAATAGTCATGTGGAGTCACGTGGTAACAGAGATTTCATAATGTTTGACTGATACTTTCTACTAATATCGCTCCGGGTTGACTTGGTTAATTGGAAAGCATTCTGTGGTTGCTTGAAAGGCAGTGATACCATATGGAACTTGCCTTCAGCAGTTTTAGTAAGGGGGGACATACTCTTACCACTACAGCTGATTATAGTGGTTATGGGGCTTCTGTAGTTTTCATAAAATACATAAGGTAACGTTTGGACTATATATTTTTTTTTCCCCTTCTTTACAGCAGTAAAGATGGCAAAACTTGACAATGGGTGGAGCTTAAAGCAAAGTTCTGTTTTAGTTGGCAATCAAATTTACCCACAATCCAAGAATAAAAGTAATCCCACAGTTGGGCAAACATCAGACATCATGGGACAGAGGAGAAAAAATAGCTGCGCCCATATATTAAAATCTGGCACGTGACAGGGAAGGGAGTATAATCCTTAAAGGACCACTATACTGCCAGGAAAACAAACTTGTTTTCCTGGCACTATAGTGTTACCCTCATGGCCCCCCTCCCGCCGGGCTCTAGGGCGAGGAAGGGGGTTAAAGGCTTACTTTTCTCCAGCGCCTGGGGACTTTCCGCCCTCTTCCGACGAATGCACATGCGCGAGAGCCACTCGCGCATTCAGTCAGTCCATAGGAAAGCATTCTCAATGCTTTCATATAGACACTGGCGTCTTCTCACTATGAAAATCACAGTGAGAAGCGCTTCTTGCAGCTATCATTTTTACTAGACAGCCACCAGAGGCTGGATTAACCCTAGTGTAAACATTGCCGTTTCTCTGAAACTGCTATGTTTACAGTAGGCAGGGTTAACCCTAGATGGACCTGGCACCCAGACCACTTCATTAAGCTGAAGTGGTCTGGGTGCCTATAGTGGTCCTTTAAGATTCAAGGGCCATAACAAAATAAAAAAGAATCATGACAGGGCTGCTTTAAGACCCTGTTTTCTGTATCTAAATGGGTTTATATTTAGAGATGGCCAAATGATGCATTGGGCAGACAGATTCTTTAGCCAACTGTTGTGTTTTCGTGATATGAGCAACAATTCTAGTTGTTCTAAGTATTGTCCTACATACCCATATAATCAGCTGGAAAACATAGAACGAGCTGTTAGCACTGTTTCGTCATTATGTTCCCATATTCAATGATATTATTGCTCCTAACTACACCGTAGTATTAATTCCACCGTGATTACATGAACACAAGGTGATGTTAGATGTGTCTCATGGCATCCCACATCAAAATATCACTGAATCTTTACAAATTGAGGTGTGCTGAGTAGATTGCCACTTCCTTCATCACTCCAAAGAAAACAGTAGGCTTTCCTTCAAAAATCATACAACATACCAGTACAAACAGTTCAAGACTTGCATAACAGCATTCCAGATGGGATTAGTGCTGTTTGTTGTAATCAGTCTACTGCCTATAAACATAATTGCTCCTCTCTAGCAGATTGAAACATGACATGGCTTGATATATGCAAGGTTACTCTTTATCTACATATACATGGTCTACCTGCCACCCTGATTAGCTTTAGTGGGTTTAGTTAAAGGAACACTTTAGGGTAAGGAATACAAACATCTATTCCTGACCCTATAGTGTTAAAAACATTATTTAGCCCTCTTTCCCCCCTCATATGTAGCTCATGCCTTACTTCCAGTGCTGTGCTCGAGCTGGCCCCCCTTGGCTGAGCTAACCAGAATTTATGTTTTCAGCCTGTCCAATGCTTTCCCATAGGAAAGCATTGGGATGCTATTGCACATGTGTGGCAAAATGCCACACTTTGCCTATCAGCATCTTCTCATAGAGATGCGTTGACTCAGTGCATCTCTATTGGGAAATTTTGGTGCCTCCATGCAGAGCATGGAGACTCTGAATATCAGTGCTGCACATTGTGCAGCACTGAGCCAGGAAGCACCACTACTGTCCGTCTAAGTCACTGCAACTGGAGGTTGTCCCTGAAGAGGCAGTGTTTACAGCAAAAAGCCTGCAGGGGCTGGCTATACTCACAAGAACAACTACATTAAGTTGTAGTTGTGCAGGTGACTTTAATGTCTTTTTATAACTGTTTTTAAGTGAAATGTAGATCATATCCGCTAACTGAGCACAAAAGTCTCCAGCTAGATTGGAGACATTTCCTGATTTTGTTACTTTGGTTATTCTGTTGCATATCTGCTTTTATGGACAGTATAGTTACCAAAACAACTTAAGCCTAATGGAGTGTTCTTGCTGTATAGATCATGCCCCAGATTTCTCACTGCTCAATTTTCTGCAATATTGGGCAGTAAATCACTTTTTGTTTATGCAGCCTAGTCACTCCTCCCCTGGCTGTGACCTGTACAGCGTCTCTAAACATTTCTAGTAAAGACAGATCTAATGTTTAAACTTACTTGATTGCACATCCTTTTTAATTTAGAATTTCTTATTGCCTTATCTAGAGTCTGCATGAGCCTCCTGTGCATGATTAAAGTTCAATTAACAGAACAAGAGAGAGTGTCTAAAGTAATCGCATGGTGCTGTCACATCTAACTGAAAATGAAACTATTTTTTTCCATGCAGACTATGTGATTCACAGCCAGTGGAAGTGTATCTAAAGCTGCCTGAAGAGAAACAAATGTGATGTAACTTGTAAATGGCAGTGAATTGAGGAGTGAGACTGCAAGGGGTATGGATCTATACACAAAGACTGCTTGTTGTTTTGATGCCTAGACAGTATCCCTTTAAATGTTCTGTTTACCGAACAAACCTGGATTTGTTTAGGTGTTTGTTTTGAGGGGAGGTGGGTGTTTTATTTATATTTATATTTATTTATTTATATATATATATAGTGTTTATTTACTTTTTCTCCCCATTTGCCATTTAATGTTTGCCCTTTGTAGCTTACAATATATGTGTTTACCATTATCCCATTTTGGTCTCTCTTTGCCTGTAGAACGGGCTGGATATGTCGTTTATTCGTCCTTTGTTCTTTCAATATAACCTCACACATGTTTACCAAGCAGAGTTCAAACCGTGTGTGTGCTTGTTTTGACTATTTATAGTTGCTGTAAATTCTGTCATGCCTTTATAGCTTCTTCTTTCTGTAAAGCAAATGTAATTTACTACACAGGAGATGGCCACAAACCATAAACACAGCCCAAATATACATGTGACTTGTGAGATGACATAATGGGGTCTTTTTTGTGTTTTCTCTCTGTAGTGTGCCATAAGCTCAATTTATGTGACCTATTTTTTTTATTTTTTTTTCTCCAAGCATAATTTTTGTAGCAATAAGCACGGCAGGGTATTTATAGTATCTTTTTTTTAATAGACAACATTGTGTCTAAATGCTCCTGTACTTTGCAAAATTAAGAACAAATGTCAATTTATGGAAGTAGGTGCAACTGTGTTCTTGGAAAAAGTGCAGTAGCATATATTGTCATCTTATTTCTCGTGCAATGACTTTTCATGTCCTTTCATGTTTTGTTGTGACAACATTAATATGCATTTAATTTTGTCTGCACAAAGTAGTCCATATTGAAGTGTCATTTTAATTTTATTTTACATTACTTGAAAAAAAAAACATTTTTTATATATATATCTATATATATATCTCTGAAGGGCAGCTGAGGCTCCTAATTAAACTCTAGTACAACCTTCTGCCATTGAAAATGTCAAGATAAGTGGAATAGAGTCTGCCTGTTTGGAATATAGTGTTACACAGTCAGTGTTGGATTAAATATACCTTTTCAGAAAGCAAAACTTAATGGAAGGGTGGCAAGAAGAATTCTTTGGTTAAAGAAAAGAAAATGAATTTCTTTGAATTATGCTAAATGGCCTAAATGTGTGATATACTGCAAACGTGAGAAGTTTTGACTTTAATAAATGGAATATGTTGGGCATCGCTCACAATGAGCAGGGGTTTTGTACAATGTTGTACAGGCAAGTGCACTGACTGATTCAAAGGATAAAACTATAGTTTAGATGAAAACACATTACAAACACATTTTCCTTGCAAGATTACACTTTGTTACAAATCTTCCGTTCTGAATGAACAAAAAATGCACAGTGTCCGAAACTTTTCTGATAATCCTGATCATCCTATTTTATTGAGATAACAGCAGTAGCACATAAATCCTTGTGTTTATTGGAACACACACGTGTTCTAATCTGCTCGCTAGTTCTCAGTTAACGGGATACTCTTGGCATCAAAACAACTGTAGCTTTAAGGGACACTATAGGTTTAAAAAACGTTTTTTGATGTATAGATCAGGTCCCTGCAGTCTCTCTGATAAATTGTCTACAATTTAGGAGTTAAATCACTTTGTTTATACAAGTCTGGTTACACCTCCCTACTTGCACAGCCTCCCTTAGCCCTTCCTGAACAGGAACCTATGTATTTTATGTTCCTGTATTGCACAGTCTGTTTAATTTAGAATTTCTTATTTCCTGCTCTGTTAATTGTCTTGTGGGCCCTACAGGAGCCTCCTGTGTGAGATTTAAAGTTCAATTTATAGAACAGAAGATAACTTCTTAAGCAAGCTAATGTTTGAAAATGTGAATCGAATTGAATGCTTTCTTAAGAGCTGCGGTTGATAATGTGATGTCGAAGAGACCGGTTTGTACTTGGTCATTGCAGCGGAAGTGCCTGTAGTGGCTGTCAACCCTTCAAGTTAAACATTCTATCTTCTGCAAATGGGTTTAAAGGGAACAATCTGAGCACCAATACATTTGGTAGATTTTGACCTTATTACTATGCTGCATTTTTTTCCATGTTAAAATCTTTATAGCTTTTGCACAACAAAAGAAATGTTTTAGAGAATTCTGCACCAGATGCCTTGCTCGTTGGCCAAGACCTCTCATGCCAGAAAGATAGAGAGATATATAGAGATAGAGATAGATATATATATGTTTATTTTTTTTTTTTTTAAAGAAAACACGCAATGTGATTTTTGGCTTTATACATTTTTTTTAATACGTTGTGGCAGGCTTATGCAATGTATGATCATATACTATTTTTTTTTTTTTTTTTGCCTAGATTAGGTGTTTAAAAAATAAAAAAAAGAACACGTATAAAATCTGTGAGCTTTAAAGTTTCTGCTGTTTAGTGGATGAGTGAGTGTGCTGGAATATATATATATATATATATATATATATATATATATATATATATATATATATATATATATATATATATATATATATATATATATATATATAATCTCATCTAGAGAGAAAAATGTCTGTCAGCAGGGGCGGACTGAGAACCCTCAGGGCCCCCGGGCAAAATAAATCAAGGGCACCCTTACAGGCCCCACCCATACTCTGCAGCAAGCGCCACCCTTGTCCCGCCTCCATGCACCGCCTCCAGCCACACCCTACACAATCTTTAGACACAAGGAACAAAAGGGCAATAAGCCCTTCGAGGCCCCAGTAGAGACTACAATTGAGGGCTAATGGGCCATGGAGGGGGGTCTTTCTAGCGGAGGCTATCTCAGTGTCCTTTAGAGAGTGTGTTAGAAAGAATCCCCTCCAAGCCCCATTAGAGACTACAATGGAGTCTAAAAGGCTTGGAAGGGGGTCTTTCTAACAGAGGCCATCTCAGCGTCCATTAGATATCCCCTGCTGGAAACAGTCGCCTCCAGGCCCCAGTAGAAACTACAATTGAGGGCTAATGGGCCATGGAGGGGATTTCTAGCAGAGGCTAGAGTCTAATGGGGCCTGGAGGGTGGTCTCTCCAACACTCTGGTTCCTATTCACAATATAGCAACACAACATAGCTCGCTGATACCTAAGCCAAGTTGGCTCCTCTTACCTTAATTACTGTTGCTGGCTGGCAGTCTGTGGGCTTGCTGGCTGCGGCTGGCAGGCTGTGGGCTTGCTGGCTACTGCCGGCAGGCTGTGGGCTTGCTGACTGCGGCTGGCAGGCTGCGGCTTGCTGGCTGTAAGCCTGTGGCTTGCTGTAGGCCTGTGGGCTGGCTACTGGCCTGTGGGCTGGCTAACTGGCTGGCTACTGGCCAGCCTGTGGGTTGGCTGGCTGGCTACTGGGGCACTTGTAGATTATTTAAAGAAATAATCCATGCACAATAACCACTACTGCTCCAGAGTAAGTAGTCAAACCGTTTAAGAACAGTTTGACAACTTACCTGGGGTCTGCTGGGATATGGGGCTGTAGTAGGGAATAGAAGCAGTGGTGCAATGTGTGTGAAAGGTTCAGTGTTTGTGTGTGGGGGTGTGTGGGCAGTGTATGTGTGTGGCAATGTTAGTATGGGGGTCTGTGTGTATAAGGGTGGGCAGTGTGTGTGTGTGTGTGTGTTTGAGGCAATGTGTGTAAATGTGTATGGTGTGTGTGTTGGGGCAGTGTGTTTATGGGGCTAGAGTCTCACCACTGCGACCACCAGGAATCCATGGGGGTTACAGTGTTGAGAGTGAACTCTAGCCCGTAGCTCCAGGGCTAGAGTTGACTCTCGCAAGAGCAGTAACGTTGCCATGGTAACCGCGGCAACGCTCTGTGCTCGCGCAAGAAGGACCCAGAGGAGCTGCAGGGTGAGCTCCCAGGTCCTCTCTTCCTCCCCTGCCCGCACGGTGCCTGCGGACAGGGGAGGGGGGGCATTCTTCCCTCTCTTTCTCCCCCCTCCCCATCTCTCTATTCCCCCTCTTTCTCCCCGTGTCTCATTCTTCCCTCTCTGTCTCCCCATCTCTCTATTCCCCGTGTCTCATTCTTCCCTCTCTGTCTCTTTCTCCCCCTCCCCATCTCTCTATTCCCCCTCTTTCTCCCCGTGTCTCATTCTTCCCTCTCTGTCTCCCCTGTGTCTCCCCTGTGTCTCATTCTTCCCTCTCTGTCTCTCTCCCATCTCTCTTGTCTCTATTCCTGTGTCTCATTCTTCCCTCTCTTTCTCCCCATCTCTTTGTGCCTCTAACTACTCCCCTTCCCCATCTCTGTCCTCCCATCTCTCTATTCCCCCTCTTTCTCCCCTCCCATCTCTCTGTTCCCCTCTTTCTCCTTCCCCATCTCTGTCCTCCCCATCTCTCTATTCCCTCTTTCTCCCCTCCCATCTCTCTGTTGCCCCTCTTTCCTCGCCCCTCCCATTTCTCTGTGTTTCCACACCTCTTTTCTCCTCCCCATCTCTGTTTCACCTCCCATCTCTCTGTTCCCCTCCCCCATCTCTCTGTTCCCCACCTCCCCATCTCTGTTCCCCCCTCTTTCTCCCTTCCCATCTCTCTGTCCTCCCCATCTCCTCTGTTCCTCTTTCTCCCCTCATCTCTCTGTGCCCCTCTTTCTCCTCCCCCATTTCTCTGTTTCACCTCTTTCTCCCCTCCCCATCTCTCTGTTCTCCCCATCTCTCTTTGTTTCCCCCTCCCCATCTCCTCTGTTCCCCTCCCATCTCTCTGTTTCCCCCCACTCCCCCATCCTCTCTGATGTTCCCCCCCTCTTTCTCCTCCCGTCTCTCTGCTTCGCCCCTCTTTCTCAGGTCTGAGGCCTGCCTAAATGCTGGAGCCGCCCGGACTGGGTGACGGCCTGCGCCCGGTCGGTGACATTCCTCTCACTAACACTGGAAGGGAGGGAGGGAGGGCATGGGTCTGTCATGCTCGCTTCTGCGGTTTCCCACATCCTGTGCTGGGGAATTGTGGGAACGCCGCGGGAGCATGACGACACGTAGCTTCCTCTCGCTGCTCTTCAGTGTTGATGAAGGAATACCGCTCCCCAATCAAGCCCTGCCTGGCCGGGCCCCCTGAAGGCGCCCTGGCGGCGGCCCCCCTCCCGGCCGCCCTCGGACCGGTCAGTCCGCCCAGTCCGCCCCTGTCTGTCAGCCATGCTTTCAGCTTGGCAACGCTAACCTTAAAATTGTGTGTGTATTCCCTTCTTCTGCTTATATAATAGTTTTAAATTTAAACTAGTTAAAAGTTGATCGTTGTCAGCAAACAGCCACACACATTGTTTGTTTTTTTATGGATTTTTTGTAAATAAAATTATTTGTTTTTCCTGTGTAGAGATAAAAAAAAAAAAATCAGAACAGGATTTTTGACATCATGAGGTTTCTGGGAAAATTTTAATGGATATACATTGCACGCTGAAGCTAAAAGAATGCAGCATATAAAAGGTAATGTGAAATTAATTTTGTGTGTGTATATATAAATATCTGTGGGGCTGAAGATTTCCCCTTACCCTGTCTGCATTGATAAGTAGAAACTGAGCTCTAGCAAACTGGTGTTGGTGGATAAGAGCTATTTAGTGAGACTATCCACAGGCAGGGGCTCCCCAGGAACCAGAATGTCACTGGTTTCTTCCCTCCCATTGACAGCCACATATAATCATCTGGATCCAGGACAAAAGCTGTTGCAGGCAATACAGAGTACACATGTGGAAAGCTGATATTCATCGATTAACACAACTTTGTAGTAGTTATGTGCAATCTCACTTTCCGACAAAGCCAGGCACTCAGGGACAATGTTAATAAGTCCGTACTCAAACACAGCTCCTTGAAGAATACATGCGGGTGCAGTCCCTTTTCTGCTGGCAGATTTAAGCAACAAAAAGGGTCCTGATCGAATATATGTAAGCTAAATTGACTGACTGCATGAGAATGTTGGGGCAGAACGAATTGGTGTGGGAGTTGCACATAAACCTCTCCAGTTCTTCACACAAATGTACCCCTACATTGACACACACACACACACACACACACACACACAATTATTCTGACAAAACGTGAAGGGGAAAAAAAACTGTTAGGACTTACCTTTTTGGGGAGGGATATGTGTATGTATGTATTTTTGTATAAAATGGAAAATCAATTTATTATATTTATTCTCTAGGAGTATTGATGGACTTTGCTGTCCCTCAGCTGCGAGAACTACAAGCTTCCTGAGTGAAGTATTGTATAAGAGCAGAGGTTTTTAAGCCTTCATATTTAACGTGGGATCTCGACAAAGAATGGGATGGAAACCCATGAAAGATTCTTTTGATTTGGTTATAAACTGAGCAGTATTCCACAAATGCACTTTGTACAGTTAACAGAACTGTACAGAATCGGTCCTCTTGGAGTCATGGTCACATATGGCATGTCAACATCCTCTTTCTGTTGATACCTTGGAAGTTTTGCTAGCAAAAAAATGAATGGAGGAAAGGTGTGTGATGGAGGAGACAATAACAGTGTCCCATCAGCAGTGCAGGTTCCTGTAGGGTGGCAGCGGTGTGTGGACCAGAATGGCGTGCTCTATGTTAGGTAAGTGTTATTGATGCTGCATTATTTATTCCCTCCAATTCCGAAAGGTAATGGAAAAAACACCTAAATACTGTACTGAACTGTCAACGTAAGCTCCAAGCAAAGGCTTGGAAATAATTAAGACTAATGTGCAAAAAGAACTGAAAGTCCCAATGCGGTTCCTATGCGGGGGGGGAATTATGGCCTTGTATCTGGATAAACCAACAATAAGCCAAATTAAAACTGCGCATACATATATTGACTCTAACAATGTATAAAGGTTCTTCAGTTATAAGAGTCTTGTATTTGAAAATGAAAAATAAATATTTGTCTATAAAGCAAAAAAAAAGGTTTTATACTCAAATATATTTTTTATTTTTAAATCTGTTATAACTTATATAAGTTTCTATAACTTTTTACATTTTTTAGAGTCCATTTATATGTGCAGTTTTAATTTGGTTTATTGTTGGTTTATCCTGATATAAGTCCAAGTTTTTGTTTTTTTCACAACCATCACAATTAGATTAGGATTTTCAATCCTTATTGCACATTAGTTCTGTATTAATTTATTTCATTTGTCTTTTTATATGGTGTATCATTGGTGTATATGTGAAAGTCTCTCTATCTAGATCTGCAGATATTAAACTGAATAGCTGATTATGCTTAAAAGAACACAGAATTGGGAGGGGGGACATAATAAAATGTTAACTGCTTTATTGTTTGTGCCGAGGCATAACCAGAATAATCAGAGGTTTCTCACTGGGAAACTTTGTTGGCTGGCCTGTCTGGCAGGTGGTGTAACATGATTCAATTATTACATTTGTTTTTGAAAATGGGCACATTTATAAAATAAACAAAAGGGGACACTCTGTTTAGACTGTTGTTATAACGTACATGTTCCTGACACATCTATGTCTTGTGCGTTTAGTGCTTGGGTACAAATGTACCTTAGGTTTCTAAGTACCAATGGCATGAATGTGTAAGACCTTGGCCCTGCTTAGTGTTCTCCACTTTCTGCTGTATATTTCTGCCAAGTTGACGGCTTTTACAATGCTAGTTTTTGTTTTTCTTCTTCTTAATTCTTAGGTTTTTTTTTGCTCATATATCTTTTTTTTTTTTTTTTTCATGGCTACATTAATTGACAAAAAGCAATCCACTGAATAACCTCTACTGGCTTTTGACTGGTTTACATGCCAATGCAAGCTCACATCTTCAGTTTTCTTATTTACAATTTGTCTCTCTGTGTTAAAATGGCATGTGTCTTCAAATAAACTTTTCAGTGTGTGCCATAAATACACTACCTTCCCCATAGACAGGATTCACACTGCTAAGTAATCATGACCAGTCCATAATATAATTTTTACTAAATACTAAGCTTTAAATTTGTTGAGTACCTGAACCTTGACTTGCTATAGATTGTAAAATTAATTAAACATGCATTCTGTTTACCTGCTAAAATAATTAACTACTTACATCTAGTTTGCATGTTTTTCAAACAAGTATTAGTCCTAGGGACCTATAGCATTTAAAAATAAATATTTACAAAATTTAATATTTCAGTCTTGTTTGTAGGTTTGCTTCAAAAAATAAAACATCTGTTTGATAGTCACTTTACTTTTTTTGTTTTGTTTTCAGCCCCAGTGGTTCACACCTGTCATGCCTGGAGCAGGTCAAAGCTTACCTCCTCACTGATGGGACTTGCAAGTGTGGCCTGGAATGTCCTCTCATCCTTCCCAAGGTACTGATTGTCGAATATTTGGGTCTGTTGTTTACTGCTTGATGGCCTCTGGTTGCACGTGGTAGCATTTTGGATATGCAATTGTGTTCTTAACAAATCAATATTGTTTTAGGTATTTAACTTTGACCCTGGAGCAGCTGTGAAACAGAGAACGGCAGAAGATGTGAAGGCTGATGAAGATGTAACCAAGCTGTGTATCCACAAACGGAAGATCATTGCTGTAGCTACACTTCATAAAAGTATGGAAGCACCACACCCCTCACTGGTTTTAACAAGTCCAGGGGGTGGGACAAGTAAGTTTGTAAAAATACAAAAAAACAAAACTGGCCAGTGGGAGAGCATGGGGATACAGGTGAAGAAAAAAAAAAATATATATTTTTTAAAGGGACATTCTAAGCACCATATAACCACTTTAGCCTGTAGTACCAGGTTACTGGTCCTGCAGCCTTATGTTTGTCAGATTTGTCAAACTGACATAAAAGGGCTTCAAAATGGAGCTTGTAACTCTGCCTACAAAGTTTGTCAGATCCAGGAGTTATGCCCCCCATGAGCAACCTCTTACAAATCCAAAGAGTGTCTCTGTGATGATTGGTGCTGAGCAAGATCCATATAGGGGCAGCATTTGTAGTTGCAGGCGCCCACTCCGGCAAAGCAGCACCTGTAAGTCGCTTAGCATGCTTTAAAGCTAGTTTGGCAAATTGCATTTAAAAAATGCATAGAAACCCTGCTGTAGTAACTCACCCCCTTCCTGAGAACATCTTCATGAATCATGTCTTTCAAGAAAACCTAGGTGTCTGTGTTCCTAGTATGATTTCCTTGGGGCTTGCTTTCTAATGTCATGGTAAGGATCGGAGTCTTTGGTAGATTTTGTCATCAACACAGTATGAATGATTATCATAAATAAAAGTTTTTATAAAAATCGCTAACATTTTTATAGATTTACGTTTGTAATAATATTTATATAGGTTGGCCCTCAACATTTTCTGTCTGTCACTATTTTAAATCTGTAAAATCACATGTCAAGGGACAATGAAGGGATATGAATCCTTTAGGAATCAAAGTACTTTTATATTGATTAGACAGACAGCGTTATCATTAGATGTATAGTGCGTACTCTGCAATAGACTGTCGTTGCATTTACAGCTAAATTATAGTTAATAAATAATTAGACTTGGCAACCATTATCATATGTACTCCTTCTCCCTGGCATGCAGGAAGCCCTTTTTAGCCTAGGTTAGCTCCACTTTTATGCACAAACATAAAGTGACATTTGTTTGCGCTTGGATTTTTAGCAGTATATGGAAAGGATACATTTAAAACCACGATGTATGGATGTTCATAGGAAGGTTTTGCTGGATATTTCTTTTATTTTTAGATTATCCTTAACCATATATTAAAAAAAAAAAAATTGGCATAATTAACCAGGAGATCTCTCCATGACCTAAGCTTTGTAGGTTGTAGTATATCATTGTTGGTATATAAACATTCTCAAGGGTTATATTTAGGTAATTATTTCTGTTAATTGCAGATTCAACTCCCGTGGTGTCTACACGTTCAGCAACACCAAGATCAATAAGGAATAAATCACACGAAGGAATTGGAAATTCCTCTTTGCCCGAATGTAAAAACCCATTTAAACTTGCTATTAAAGAGCACGGCGGAAGTCAACAACATGAACTTCATTCTGCTTACCCAAGGCCTAGGTTAGGTAGCAGTGAACATGGCCAAAAATCTCCATTCTGTGGGGGTCACTGTGGCATGCCAAGTCCAGCTTCATCAGGATCACAGGTTTACTGTGATGGATCAATCTCTCCAAGGACAGACCCATTGGGAAGCCCTGATGCATTTACAAGGAGTAATCCCAACTTCCATGCCCCACCCAGTTCTAGTCCAGTTCATGTTAACAGGACTCCAATATCTCCTCAATCCATGATGTTGCATGGTTCACCAGTGCAGTCATCTTGTGCAATGGCTGGTAGGACTAATATACCTCTGTCTCCCACTTTTACTAGCCCTGTGTTAAAGAAAACCCTATGTAACTATTCCGCAAACATGGATATGTCGCGAGCAATGTTTCACCATAAACCATCACAAGCTCCACCTCCGCTTCCTCCACCTCCACCACCATGTGCTCTTCAGAAAAAGCCATTAACGTCTTCAGAGAAGGATCCTCTTGGTATTCTTGACCCAATCCCTAGTAAGCCAGTAATCCAGAACCCTATCGTCCATGCAAACACATTTCATTCTAGTGTTCACTCTCAGGTACCTGTGATGAATGTAAACATACCACCTGCTGTCGTTCCTTTGCCAAGCAATCTCCCTTTGCCAACTGTCAAACCCGGTCACATGAATCATAGTAATCATGTTCAAAGAATTCCGCATTCAGCCTCAACATCCTTATCTCCTTCACCAGTGACATCCCCAGTGCACATGATGGGTCCTGGTATCGCTAGGCTCGAGGTGTCACCCCAAAGATCACGCTCATCTTCCACATCTTCAGATCATGGCAATTTCATGATGCCTCCTCTGGGAACACAAGCTTCTTGTGGTGGCATCAAAGTGCCAGCAAGATCGCCAAGACCTAGTATTGGATCACCAAGACCATCAATGCCATCAAGTCCCTCGACAAAGTCTGATGGACATCATCAATTCAAAGACATCCACAACCCATTGATAGCTGGAATGAACAATGTACTAAATCCTATAAACAACTCTGTTTTTCCCTCTTCTTCGGTTGGTAACACCCCATTAAAGAGTCAGACAGGTTTGCTGGGAATGCCTTTAAACCAGATATTGAACCAGCACAATGCTGCCTCTTTTCCAGCTAGTAGTTTACTTTCAGCAGCCGCCAAAGCACAGCTAGCAAATCAAAATAAACTTGCTGGCAACAATAGCAGTACTTCTGGATCTGTTGTCAGCTGTGGCAACAGCGAAGGAACTAGCACTTTAAATACAATGTTTCCACCTGCCACGAATATGCTTCTACCAACAGGAGAAGGGCAAAGTGGCAGAGCGGCCCTGAGGGATAAACTTATGTCTCAGCAAAAGGATCCCTTGCGAAAGAGAAAGCAGTCAAGTGCAGCAGTATTGAATTTACCTAAACAGTCCCAAATAGATAATCCCAGAGTCCAAAAACCAGGACCGGATATGATGAGGAAGCAAGGTCAAAATGCATTCCCTATTAATCCAATGTCACAGCTACTCCAAAATATGAGTTGTCAAAACACTCACATGAACAGCAATAGTACCCCTGGTCCTGAGAATTTAGTTATGCCTTGTCCTGCCAATCAGCTCCACTTCCCTGAAAGTACTATGAACTCAACTCCTCTTCATCATTCGTTGGCACACACCTTACCTATTAGAGGAGAAGTCACTTCCTGCCAAAATACCAACACAAACTTTGTTCATGGTGGAAGTAGTGCTGTTTCGAACAACCATCTCCCAGGCTTAATGAATCCAATGCAGAACAGTGGAAATTATGGAATGCTAAATCACACAGGAGCTCCTGCTGGAAACCATCTACACCTCCATCCACCCCAACCAAGAATGCAGAATTCATCCATGCCAGTTATGACAAACAGCATTATTAACAACTGTAGTCAAACAAGTTCAGATGCAGGTAGATGTTTGTCATTTATATATGGTGTTGTCTGTTGTGGTGTTATTGTTTTTTTTTTTTTTTAGCTGGCAGGAGGGGGGGTTTCTTGTTTGTTTTTTGTGTTTTTCAGGAACTAAAATTATAGTTTAGGGAGAGAATATTTTGCATGCCTCTGTTTTTAAACTTTTTACCAGTTTATTTTTTACTTTTTTTCACCTGCATACTAGATGAACAAAAGGGCTCCTCAATGTGCAGATTTTACCCGCTCTAATAATGGATAATATGACCCCTTAGCTAGAACAGAAGGTGGAAATGGGGGCTCCATTTAGAGTCCTTTTCCAATTACTGAAAACTTATATACGCTGTTTCGGGTAATTGGCGATTTTGTGGCAAACATCCTTAACATAGGGGGACAATTTCCCCCTCCCCCTTATATGAAAGATCAAAACCTGCATTTTTAAACAAGGGTACTCTTTGTCCCTCTCATTGGTGTGGCATCAGACAAATCAGCCACTGCATACAGCCACTTCCACACCACCACAATGAGAAAGGGCTAGTGCCAATTGACACTCACTCCCTCACTGCATGTGAAGTTACCTCTTACTGAATTGTAAGGTGGCACATTACTTGGGGCAGTGGTGTCTCAGTTGGTATACTGATGATAATGCCTTTCATTATGCAATAGAGAAGAAGAAATGTGGCAGGCAGCACAGTGTTCTTCTCTGTACTGTATTTCAGAAACATTGCAGGTGGTGACAGTCATTACGTACAGTGAAGGGGTTTATTACCATATAATAGGCACTGTTACTAAATTCAATATCCAGTTAGTCTAGCTAGAAATTCAATGGTTTTTTTTAGGGTCAATGAGGATTGTGGACCTCCTGGCCAGTACGTATTATCACCCATTTATCTGACTGCACTTGAACAGAGTGCAGCATTGTGTGTATGCGTAACTCACTGTGCAAGAAGCAAGGTTGAAAAAAAAATTATTTTGCCTCTTTTTGGGGAGTTAGGGATACTGGACACAATCTGCTCAATATTTTTTTTTTTTTTTTTTTTCCAACAAGGGAACTAATAGTGGATCTGATCTGGTAATATGGCTTCCTGGTGACTGCAACACTTTTCTTCTTTTGTGACTGTGTGTGGCTTTTTATTTTTATTTTTTTTGGTGGGGCGGGCTCTTCTCTGTAGGACTCAGTGCAGTGACAGAGTACTAGTACTTTCAGTCCCTCCATGCTGTAGCATGAATATGCACATGCTTACTGGGGTTTAGTGCTTCGAAAATGTTACTAGCTGACAACCGCAGATTCATATGCAGTTTTGATATATTGTTTCTCCCGATACACAATAGCTAAGCACATTGAATGGATATTTTTTTCTGTCTCAAAGGTTTTTATACGTTTAAAATGTTGCAGTGGGCAGATGGTTTTTAACCAGTGGGCAGATGTATTTGTCTCATTGAATGACAAAAGTACTGCCTTTCCACCATCGTCTGTTTTTATTTTTTGACGGCAACGTGAAATCAAGCAGCTGAAGACTAGGGTCAATTCTGCAGAGCTTGCAATCTAATTGGGTACTTTGAATGAAGTGTGCATATCTGTAACTTTCCTATTCAAAGTAAAAAAAAAAAAAATAATCAGTATATCCTTACACATTTTTTGTATAAAATTCTGCCAGTTGCACTGATGATTTGTGGTTTAAAATATTTTCATTTTATTTAATCGGAAGGACATTTATTTATTTCATTTTTATTTATTTTTAATTACATTTTGCTCTTATTTCAGGGAATGCGGTACCTCTGTCATCTGTAGCAATTGCTGGTGTGGGTCAGCCTGCTATGACAAAGACAACATCTGTCCTACAGGATGGGGTTATAGTCACCACTGCTTCTGGACCTCCGCTTCAGAGCCAGCTTCCTATGCCCAGTACTTTCCCTTTTGTTGGATCAGAGCACCCAGCTCATTATCCACAGAACACTACAAACAATCTTCCGCGTTCCATGAACTCAAACCATCTGAATTCGCTGCCTATGCCTTTACAGATGAATCAACAACATCTCCTTAATCAGAATATATTGCATATGCTGCAGCCTTCAATTGGAGAAGGCAAGTCTGAGGTCAACCTCAACTCTTCTACTTTGTTCTACCCCAGTTTTAAAACCGTTTTTAGTTAATACATCACAATGCGCAATTTTGACCAAGTGGATTGTTCAACTTTGTTTAATCTTTAATTTAATTTTTTTAATTTATTGCAACAATATTTTCTCCATCGTACTGAAATTCTCCTCGGATATATATAGATAGTTACTTAGGGAGGTGTGTGTGTGTGTGTGTGTGTATACATATATATTTTTATGTATTTATTTGCAGATTACATAGTGTGTTTATTTTATCCTTGGTATTCTGTTGCTTGACTTCCCCAGTTCCATTCTCTTTATTATGACCAGTATTGTAGCAGATTTACACCTAGGCAATTAATAGTTGTACTGTCGTCAGAGCCTCTGACCATAAGTATGGTTTCCCAGAATTCTTTGCTCACAGATTTCTAAATAAAAAATTAAAGGAGCAATTGTCATCATATTTTAACTTTGTTAATAAAAGTTTATTTCTATTTTAGCCTATGTCTGGCTTTTTTTAACATATAAATGTTTAATGACAACTATTTTTACTGAAGCTCCCTGGTCTCCTTTGCTATGTGAGTTTTGTTATTCTAACTGATCCTTGGTAGGAATCGCTGTTTATTCAACCAAAGACAAAATGCAAGAAGACCACTGTTATGACAGAATTTAAAGTATTAAAACTCCTTGGCTATCTATGACTTTAATTATTTTTAATTTGCTAGCTCTTACGAAAAAAAAATAGATTTTTGAAAATTATAATGCCAAAATATGGGATCTACAATAATCCCCAAACAGAAGGAAGATTCCTAATTAATGTCAATAGAGAAGTGACCATTTGGAAGGACTTGTGATTTGATTCGATATATTTGCAGGATTAGTGTTGACAGAATTAAGAAATGTCTCCGGCGAAAGATTTGTCATTCTTATCATAAAACTTACCTTTAATATCTAGCTTGTTACATATCTGAATTCCAGGATGAAAAGAAACCTGGTAGTGGGTTGTACTGCAGAGTTTCTTTTGTAAATTAGTAAACACTAAGTGCTCTTATGATGTCTATGAAAGGAGAAGGGAAACCCATCAACAGGCATGAAGAGTTAGTGAAGTATATTAAGTAGCTTTGTACTGTTATAAGATCTCTCTATTTAGGAAAGCGCATTGCTAAAGTAACTGAAAATCTTGTCATGTTAATATGCTAAAGGATCACTTTGCAATACAGACAAATGTCGTCTGTGTGTGGTGCTAGCCATAATGGTAACAAATATATCAATACAATATTGTTTTTACATTTACATTTTGATTCACCAATGTGAGAATTGCCCACAATTCAAAATGATTTTCAATATTTAGCTTAAAATAGTAGAATTAGAGAAAGTATCCAGGTCAATTCTATTTTCAGTTTGGTTATTTTGGCATTAAATTTGAAATCCACTTAGAATTTATTTTAATTATCACTAGTGAATATCCCTTTATGACTTGACAGGGCTTGACAAACTTGGGATCCAGGTTATTATTGACATTTATATAGCGCCAACATATTCTGCAGTGCTTTACAATTATTATAAAATGGGGATATTTGACAAGTAATTTACATACAAAATATAACAGACACAAGAAGCTTACCATCTATGCATGGCCATTAGTGATGTCCCGAACGGTTCGCCGCGGACTCATCACTGAGTAAACTTTGACCCTGTACATCACAGTCAGCAGACACATTCCAGCCAATCAGCAGCAGACCCTCCCCCCCAGACCATCCCACCTCCTGGACAGCTCACTAAGAATGCAGCTTCACAATGAATGTAAAATGGATGCTGTCCGGGAGGTGGGAGGGTCTGGGAGGGATGGTCTGCTGCTGATTGGCTGGAATGTGTCTGCTGACTGTGAGGTACAGGGTCAAAGTTTACTCAATGATGAGTCCGCGGCAAACCGTTCGGGACATCACTAATGGCCATTTATGACTCCTTATACTTGTATCTGATTTTATTTTTTATTTTATTTTTTTTAAATGTGTTATTGGGCTTACACCTGTTCATGCTTACTAACAGTATAGAGTCAATAACTTTCCCCTGTGTCACCACACACTCCCTGGGGGTGCAGATGTGAAGTGACCTAAACCCAAATCTTTCATGCCACATATAGGATAGGGTTTGAACTGTACCATTTGCAAACAGATGAGTCAATCTGGTGATAAGTGTGCACTTTGTAATATTTAATATATGATGCACACAACTGTTTTCTCTCTAGTAATCATGAAATATAACAATGCACATTATGAAATGTTTCTCTAATGTCTTGCTGATTTTGTAATTGCAGGTGATATGTCATCGATGAACAGCACGTTGAATAACCATCAGCTATCTCATCTTCAGTCATTGCTAAGCAACACACAGATGTTTCCTCCAAATCAACAGCATCAGTTTATGCAGAGGTACCAGAATCTACATGCACTGAAAGGACAAGTTCCTATTTCTGGGCCAACTAACAACTTAAATCCAATGGCCTGCTTGTTCCAAAACTTCCAGGTAATTATACAAAAGGTTACAATCTAAACAAGTCATTTTGTCTCAAATAAAATAAAGACAAAATTAAGTGAAATAAATGGCATTTATAAGCTTTATTACAAAGGAAAAGGAATGTAGAAAGCACAACTTGTAATCTTTCCACGCTAAAATGTTTATCCAGTCCCAGATGGATACATTTATTATCGCTTTTGGCGAAGTATGAGTACTGTGTAGGTGGTTAATCTACAAAGAAAATATTCTCTCCAAATGCTGATATACTTACTAGCCAAAATAATGTATACGTGGGAAAGGAGTAGAGCATCAAGAGTTGTTTTGAAGTGCAGTGAACCAGTAATGGTTCAAAGACATAGAAAAGTAGAGCGAAACAGAGGAGAGTATACTTTGAAACTAACGGCACTACCAAAATTTCATTCAGTTTACAAGTGTCACTGAGAAACTCCATCTGTGTATTACCTCTGCAAAACTACTGATGTCTGTGTTAAATAGATCACAGTAACTAACTTAAAGGACCACTATAGTGCCAGGAAAACATACTTGTTTTCCTGGTACCATAGTACCCTGAGGGTGCCCCCACCCTCAGGGTCCCACTCCCGCCAGGCTGGATGGAGAGGAAGGGGTTAAACACTTACCTTTCTCCAGCGCCGGGCTCCCTCGGTGCTGGAGACTCTCCTCCTCCTTTCCCAGTCATCGGCTGAATGCGCAAGAGCCACGCGCGCATTCAGCCAGTCTCATAGGAAAGCATTTCAATGCTTTCCTATGGACACTGGCGTCTTCTCGCTGTGAAAATCAGTGAGAAGCGAGGAAGCACCTCTAGCGGCTGTCAATGAGACAGCCACTAGAGGCTGAATTAACCCTAAAGTAAACATAGCAGTTTCTCTGAAACTGCTATGTTTACAGCAGGCAGGGTTAATCCTAGGTGGACCTGGCACCCAGACCACTTCATTAAGCTGAAGTGGTCTGGGTGCCTAGAGTGGTCCTTTAAGTTCTAATGAAGTCCCTAGTTTCACAAACAAGAGAACTCACACGATGTTGGTACGACCTATACCACTAACATGACGACACTAGATACTGATTAACTGAATTTTCCCTCCAGATAAAAGGCTGTGCACAACAAGAAGGATGTCCACCATGTCTTGACAGGAAAAGGAAGGCAGCACACTAGAAATGTAAACGAAGACTCCTCCCCACAACGTATAAAACCTGCAAACCAATTCAGAAACCCCAATTCTCTGCCTGCCTTCAGTAGGATAGGTAGGCGCTCACGTTTTTATGTTCTCCAGGGTCGAGGTGCAGAAGCTGAAGCCGAAGAGGGTTCCTTTCTTACAGGGAAGAAGATCTCTATGTTGGCCTGGTTCTTACCTAATCTCTTCTTCAGAATTGGAATGCACGCCGGGTTCCTGCCTACCGCACCTTTATAAGTTCTGCCTATGTCCGTGCCTGTTGCCAGAAATGGTGATGGTGCGTCTTACGCACATGCTGTGATGCTCTGGCAGTGGAATGTACGCACAGGTTGCGATGTGCTCCATGGGCTGTGGATGGTGTTGATTCCCAGTTGCAACTACCTGTTTGTCGGGTGCCCTCAATTCTGTTGCATTGTCCCTTATATCCCTTATTTTTGGTATAGTTAATCTTGAGACTCCTATTAAAGGGTAATTCATGACAAAATCAAAGAATTTGATATCTTCTTTATGTTACAAGCCTATGCCAGATGCATACAAAAGAAAAGTGTTGCATCTGTTTCAGAGCTACATCTAAGGAAGCTAAAAAGCTGAAGTATCTTAATTTTTTTCATGGTTCCAGAACAATTTGCAAAAGACCTGTTTTTGGATATTAAGCTTATATCTCCTCCTATAAGCAAGAAAAGGAAGCACTGGGAAGTGACCTTGTCTAATTCCGACACCTCCTCCTCTTGTTCGTCTCCTTAAACTCTGCACTCTCCTTATACGAATAAATATTGTTTTCCAAATGTGAGTATACTTAGACTTATCAGAAGTACAACTATTTATGGAAGAAAGAATTTGACAAATTTATCAGGAATCTATCCAGCACAAAAAAAGATAACCGAAAGCTGCAGCATGCAATGGACAAAAGCGGTATAAACTTTACGTAAACTTTTCTCCACATATGTGGCTCAGAGTACACTCTTATTGCAGAAACATCTGTAGCTAAGGTTAGATTCCCTTAAAGTCTATATGGGAGAATACAAGGAAGATCCTGTAAGGCTTCTACAGACCATCAGAATGGTTTCAGATTTTATTTTTTCCTATCAGACAAATCTATGGGCCTCTCTACTGTGGCTAAATGAGTAGTCTAGCTCATAAATTGGTAGTGTGACTTACCGTTTGAATAGGGAATAGTGTTTGCGTCTCAACTGGTTAATGATGGATGATGATGAGATAAAGAAGCCATTGGTGGTAATAAAGCCTTGCTGGAAGTCCAAAAAATCAAAATGTTGGAATTAAAGTATTTTTATAGTAACAAGTCTTATTATAGAGATTCCTTTCGCATATATCTGACAAAAAGAAATCCAAGACAATCATTTTGATTCCGGTAAAAAGGAAAGAAATTACTAAAGATAACTTGTTTTGAAGCCAGAGCAGAAAGAGGAACACTTTTTGCCTTCATTTTCCAGTGGGAGAAAACCACCACAAATAATTCCGTCCTCAGTATTCTAAGAAGAGGATACTATTTAGAGTTCAATGATCTTCCTCCAAGACATTTTCTAGGCTCTTCAGTCCACTCACCCAAAGCTGCTTCAGTTCGATTTGCTCCACCATGCAGAATAATTTTCTACTCTCGTTTCTAGTTCAAAAGCCAGTCTGGTATTTTAATGTAGCCTAAATTTTTCCCTCCAGTTGCTCTTATTCCAAGTACTTTGCAGAAGATATTTGGAAAAATAGCAATAATCGTTGCAATTCTTCCCTTCCAGCCACAGAGCAGCTAGTTCGCAATTTTGTTGAACTTCTCAAAAGGAAACTTCTGGTATCTTCAACTTTCAGTAGACATCTTGGAAAGAAACCTGTTTCCTCTGCTGACTCTTAGGACATTAAATCTCACAGCGTGATATTTGAATGGCAGGTACTTGGTTCAAAAGACCTAAGTCTGGAAGTTATTGACATTTTTATTGCCTCCAAGAAAGAATGCACAAGTAGAGTTTATTCCAAAATCTGAGAAACATTCTCGTCTTGGCACCTGGGAATTCACAAATATTCTCCATCAACTTATGTTCTGAATGCTATAAGATTTCTATAATTGGGTTTTGCCAAGGTTCTCCATCCTATATCTTTGCAAGTTCAAATTTCTTTTCTTCTATTAATTTCTACACCACCAGAGACTGGCCTCAGATCCTCTGATCTCCAGGATTTTTAGAGCTATAGCTAATCTCTTTCCAGGTATCCGAGAAATTGTACCTTAGTGGATTCTTTGGTCTGTTCAGCCCTTTTGAACTAATGTAATCTAAACATCCTTATGTGGGACAGCTGTCTTCTGTGGCCGTGGTCAGCAAAACAATTTGGAGAACTTTAGGCTTTACAGAGAACCCTTCCTATCTGGTTTTCATATGAATAAAGTCATTGTGAAATTTTCCCCCCTCAAGTTTACTTTGATGAACGATTGTAATCAGGAAATTGTTCTTCCAACATTCTGGCAGAATTCTCAGAACAGGAAGGAAAGTAAATGTAATTGCCTATATATTAAGCACCCTTCACAGCTACTTGGAATAACCAAGACCTTTTCGTTGTTCCAACAGACTGTTCTCTATCAGGGTCAAGAGAAGGTACCTTGGCATCCAAAGGCTCATTGGCAATATAGAATAAAGCAGACATCATGCTCTCCTACAAGTCCTCAAAGTTACTCCACTTAATTTAAAGACTCCTTCCACATGGAAATTGCTACATCCTGGGCATCAAAAGCATTGGCAACTCTGGCTTAGCTTGCTAGATGTCTATCTGGTCCTCCATTCACAGTTTCTCAAAATTCCAAGTTCGACATACAATACTCTGAGGATTCTGTTTTTTGGGCACAAGGTGCTTAATGCTATGGTAAAATAATACCTACCCTCCCATTTGGGTTTGCTGTTGTTGTGCACTGCCTCTAATTTGGAGGGAAAAAAATACAAGTTTTACTTAACATAAATTTTCTTTTTTCTTATGATTAGAGGCAATTCACGTATTTCCCTTCCTATTTAATATATTTTTGCAGTTACTGGGCTTGTGTATTTTTGGAGGATTATGAGTTTGTTTTGGGGTTTTATACCTTGTAGGCAGGAGTCTTAGGAGGAGCTTAACGTTTACATTTCTAGTGTGCTGCCTGCTTTTTGCGGTCATGACCTGGTGGGTGTCCCTGTTGTTGTGCACTGCTTCTAATGCTAAGACAAAAAATATTTTACGGTAAGTCCATTTTTTTTTTATTATTTTTTTTTTTTTACAAGGGCTGACCGTTACTCTGGAATTTACTACACCATACCATCAGATTCTACCCTAGCCTTCAATCCTTTAAGAAGTCACTGACCACACACTTTTTTAGGGAAACATGCCATCTTCTTGGGTGACATTTTTTGCATTTTACTTAACTCACTTCCATAGCCCAGCTTACACACTATCCTGACACTGTTTGGATCTTCCACCCATCACTTTTACTAGCTTAATTCAACACTGATGTCTTTTCCATCAATAATTTCTCCCCTCTAACATGCTTTTATTTCTTGCGTGTCTTTAGCCCTTCCCCATAGGTTGTAATCTGGTTTTGAGCAAAGTCTTCACCTATTGTCTGTTATATTCTATACGTAAATTACTTGTCAAATATTCTCATTTTCTAATTGTATGTTGGCACTATATGAATGATGATGATACTAATTCTGTTAATATTTGTTTGAATTGGCTAACCTCAATACATTCTTCACCTGGCTAACTGAAATAAGTAGAGAGAGCAAGACTATTCTTATTGAGTTGGCATCTCAGCTCATTATATAATGGAATCCCCCTGACAGGTACACATTAACACCGTGAAAGTTCAAACATCTTATTGGTTACAATTAAATTGCTTTGTGTTTTGGATTTGTACCCTTAAAACTCCCTCAAGTGTTTCTATATATTGAGATCTATTTTGTGGGGGGGTGGGGGGATTGTATAGTTTTTAATTTTCTTTTGTATTTCTTCTAGGTGAGGATGCAAGAGAATTCCGTGTTGTCTAATAAAGAGGTAAACTCTCAGATGGGGGTATCCTCGTTACCTGAGAATCCAAACACTAATCTGCCTCCGTTTCCAGAAAAGCTTTGTAACATGCAGCAAAGAGCCGAGCAGTTGCTTGGGCAGCAGATGAAAGATAATTTAAGAGATGGAGACAACTCAGTGGATGCAATTTACAAAGCTGTGGTCGACGCTGCAAGTAAAGGCATGCAGGTGGTAATCACTACAGCAGTAACAAGTACAACACGTATGAGTCCAATTCCAGCTCTGAGTGCCATGAGTGCCTTTACCGCATCAATTGGTGACCCTTTAAATCTCTCTAGTGCTGTCAGTGCAGTGATTCATGGCAGAAATGTTGGGAATTTGGACCATGAAGTAAGGGCCAGAAACTCTAGAGTTAATCGGATGAGAAAAGGCTTGGATCAAGGCAAACACATAAGCGACGGGGATGGGTTTGATTATTTTAAGTCATCTGGATGCAATACACCTAAAAAACAATGGAACGGAGGACAAAGTCCTGGTGAGGTGAACCGGTGGAAATGTGAGGAGTTTTTGGATCACACTGGTCAGATCCACCACAACCCTTGTCAACCAAGACATAGCAACATGTCTGTACTACACTCCTTTGAAGACGAGCAGTGCCAGATTTTGATACCACCAAGACACTGTCAGAATGATAAAATGCTAGATGACAATTTCAGATTTAATCACTACAAAAGAACTATGATAAGTTTTAAAGAGAGGTTGGAGAACACTGTGGAGCGATGTGCTCACATCAATGGGAATCGACCTCCTCAACACAGAGGGTTTGGAGATTTGCTAAGCATTCCTAAACAAGAACTAGCTATGGAGGAGCAATCCCCAAGCTCTTCAAACAGTTTGGAAAGTTCTTTAGCAAGAGACTATATCCACTACAATGGAGATTTCCATGCCAAGAGCATGAATGGTTGTGCTCCTAGTCCTTCAGACACTAAGAGTATCAGTAGTGAAGATGACCTGAGGATTCCAGACTCCCCTTCTTCAAATGAGTTAATGCATTATAGACCAAGGACGTTTAATATGGGTGACTTGGTTTGGGGCCAAATCAAAGGACTGGCTTCATGGCCTGGGAAATTGGTGAGGGATGACCTGCACAACCCATATCAACAAAATTCAGAGCAAGGAAAGGTATGCAACAGTTTTATCAATATTCAGTTTAATTCTATCCTTTTTAGAGACGAATTTGAGGTATACTCTCATAAATAGAAATTATAATCTGAGAATTGTAATAGCATGTGTACATTAGTTTAGTCTTGCATTTATTTATATTTTGAAAGTTACATTTTTAAATTATACACTCTTCGTGTGTGTGTGTGGTTAAAAAAAAAAAACTGATAAAATTCATATATTATAATACTTTTTTTTTTTTTATTTTTTTTATTGGACTAACAGAATTTTTTTTAATTACATGCTTTCGGGAGAACCTCCCTTTCTCACATCTGTAGCAAGAAATGCTTGAGGCTTGAGAAAGGGAGGTTCTCCCGAAAGCTTGTCATTAAAAAAAATTCTGTTAGTCCAATAAAAAAAAAGAATTACAAGATATGACTTTTATCTGTGTTTTTACATATATTACTCAAGATCCAGCGTACTTGCCTATCCACTAAACAGCAACTGAAATGTTGACAGATTGTATTATTTTTATTTTTTTTAAAACACCTAATCTAGGCAAAAATAATGGGGGTTTAGTTACGTTATATGATCATACATTGCATAAGCCTGCCACAATGTCAATGTACCCCATCTTTGGCAGGTCCTACTTTGGCCCCCAGCAGCACCCCATTTATGCATGTTCCGGTGAGTGCAGCCTCACACCCTGGGGATGGTCATGCCGACCAGGCTCCGGTGCCGGGTCTCTTTCTCCTGTTGCTGTACAATGATGCCCTGTTTCTGTCATTAAAGGGACACTATAATCACCAGAACCACTATAGGTTATTGTACTGGTTCTGTTGTCTATAGCATGTCCCTGCAGGCTTTTTAATGTAATCACTGCCTTTCATAAAAAAGCAGTGTTTACATTGCTGCCTTGTAACACCTCTAGTGGCAGTCACTCAGGCGGTCACTAGATGTGCTTCCTTCCTTCATTAGTGTTGTTCAGTGTGCAGCAATGCTGTTTAGTGTCTACACACCCTGCATGGAGATGCAGATTGTCAAAGCACAGCATTTTGTCACACATGAGCAATAGCCTCTAAATACTTTCCTATGTGAAAGCATTTGATTGGCTGAGAATATCTAGATTGATGATCTTGGTTATGGGGGTGGAGCTAGCTGTGGCCAGACCTGTGAGGCATTGGAGAAAAGGTGGATAAAAAATCACCTTTCCCATGTGATCTTATAGAGGCTGGGGACCTAAATAGTTAAACATTAGTGTTAGGAGTATATGTTTTGTATTTCTGACATTAATGTGTTTCTTTTATGGAATCCTCTGAATGAATAAAAAAACCACAAAAAAAACGAATGGATTTGTAAGAAGAGAGGGGGTGACTGGCTAAAATAATTCCCTTAGCAGAAAGGTGTGCACAACAATGCAATCTCACCAAGTTTATAAAGGTTTCTTGCATGCCTTCCAAAGTTGTTCCTGCTTCATTTTGGTTTGTATATTTAAGTGTTTAAAAAATAATGATCAAGTGATGCATGCCCCCTTAAGCATTTGCTAACAAAGACTTTTTGGTGTTATAATAAATATTTTCTGGCATTGCTAAATGTATCTTTATTAGTGATGTCCCGAACAGTTCGCCGCAGACTCCAGTCAGCAGACACATTCCAGCCAATCAGCAGCAGACCCTCCCTCCCAGACCCTCCCACCTCCTGGACAGCTCACTAAGAATGCAGCTTCAAAATGGATGCTGTCCAGGAGGTGGGAGGGTCTGGGAGGGAGGGTCTGCTGCTGATTGGCTGGAATGTGTCTGCTGACTGGAGTCCGCGGCAAACAGTTCGGGACATCACTAATCTTTATCTTTCCATAACATAGTTTAATTTGCACAATATGTCTTTGCTACAGACCATTTAGGTGTATTTCTCCCATACTTTAGTAATGTGTTAACACATTTTATAAGCGTGTTTTGGGGGTTTGTTAGCTCTCCCTAGAATATGATGTCACACGGAAAAAGCTGCTAAATGTGTTCTATAATAGATATAGATATTTTATTTATTTTGATTATAGACTGGTGGTGCTAATTATCTGAATCCTATTACATGTTGTCCACAGTTGACAAGGTATTAAAAGAACAGAAAGTAAATGTTTCACTGCTGGAAGTCTGATCAATGTGATTTGCTGTTCATGCTCTCATGCAGGTGGAGTCTGAGAAGTTAAAGACACTAACAGAAGGTTTGGAAGCTTACAGTCGAGCCCAGAAAAGAAATAGAAAGTAAGATCAATTGCTATATGTATACGCTAACTCCCACTAATTCACCAGAAATGTTAACCCCAATGGTATTTTAAGCTACAGTTTAGTTACATGGCACAACTTCCACGTCTGTAGTTTGTTTGTTTTGTGGCTTTTGTTTTTGCTAAATAACACACAGTTCCAACTGTACCAGCATTGTATGCACAGTTTTTTGTTGTTTTTTTTTAATCATATGTTGATATAATTAGGTTGTTTAAGACAATGTAGGAAGTGAGTTTCCTTATTGACTTAGTGAAAAACAGAAAATCATTTTGTTAGAGGGTGAGAGCATATGTACATTTATTTGTGGGTGATGTTTACTCTATCAGTGTCTTCATTTCGGTTTGTTGCATTGCATAGATAAGGTATTAAAAATATTAAATACGACTCCAGGTCTAATTTTAAAGGGACACTATAGGCACCAGTCCACTTAAGCTCGGAGGGGGGGCGCATTGTAGGTCACTATAGTGCTAGGTAAACCACATTGTTTGTTTTCCTAGCACTGTAGTTTCCCTTTAGAGGGTTACTTCAACAAAAAAAAAAAAAATCACAACCACTAAAGGAACACTATAGGGTGAGAAACACAAACTTTTATTCCTGACCCTATAGTGTTAAAACCACCATCTGCCCCCCCTCCCCTTGCCACCCTAAATATACTTACTTTTGTTCAAAGCTGCAGCTGCTGGCTCTGCCCCTAATCTGCTTGCTTGGCTGACATCATCAGAAATGTTGTTCTGACCCAATCACAATGCTTTCCCATAGGATTGACTGAGACTGTCAAGGAGGCAGATCCTAACACAGCCCTGGCCAATCAGCATCTCCTCGTGGACTTGTATTGAATCAATGCAACTCTATGAGGAAATTTTAGTCTCAATGGAAGTCACAGTGTGCAGCACTGCCCCAGGAAGCATCTCTAGCAGCCATCTGATGAGTGGCCAGTGGAGTTATCCCTAGGCTGTAATGTAAACACTGCATTTTCTCTGAAATGACAGAGCTTACTGCATACAGCCTGAAGAGAATGATTCCACTCTCCAGAACAAATACAATAGGCTGTAGTTGCTTTGGTGACTATAGTGTCCCTTTAAATGTATATGCATTGCATTATATAGAAAATGCATTAGAAATATGCAAATAAGAGGCTGCGAAATGTTCTGCTGCTGCGCCAGATTTCCAGGCAAATAAAGTAATCAGAAGGATCTCATTGTGGTCTATAGGGTATAATATTAAAGGGTTACTCCAACCAAAAAAAAAACTTTTTTGTTAGTATAATCATTTGTGAGGACGTCATCCCTCCCCCCAATAAAAATAAAGCAAAAAACCTAACTCTACATGGTGCCTAGAGGGATATCACCTCACTGACCAGGCCTAACAAGGCTGAAACGATCATCTGGGATTGCTGTATCTCTCATGTAGAGAGAACTGGCCAGCATTTCGGATCGGGATCAGTCTATGCAAATAGTTATTTTTGTAATGGCACAAGATGAGCTAAAACCAGCTTGAGATCTGAGCGGGGACCCACCAAAGGGCAGATTAGTTGAGCTGTTGTCCGTTCTCAATACTCTTTTGCACATTGTTTTTTTTTTTGTTTTTTTTTTGCGTTACCTCTGTTCCATCGCTGAGTCAAAGTGCTCCCAGTAACCTGTTCTTCCTAACCCAATGCCACTCTCCCTTATCATTGGCTGTCTGACATCAACAAGCTGTGCATGGAGTAACCTGTTACTCGTGAATTGATTAGATATATTTTTCAGTCATCATTCCCATCATCAGATTACAGTGGAACTGCTGAATATGTGGATAGCAGCCAAATCCTGTATCTGCTATATTTCACAGTTTTGAAAAGGGGCAGTGCACCATGTTTGACTAAGCCTCCAGAGTGCGCACACACAGTGCGTGACTCGTGGTCTTTTCGGGAGCAGAAAATCTGTGTTAGAGACTTTCATGGTGTGCACCAACTCAAAATTAGAATGCCATACAAATATATCTCTGCAATCAAAGGGAGAAGAATTGGGGAAATGGTGTAGAGTTATATCTGCAGTGAATTTTCAAGTTGTGGCGGGTATAAACATCTTTGATATCACATTACTGTGAATAAAATGTTATCCGTACGTTGTTTTGGCCAAATTTTAGCACATAGATAGATGAAAATGTATTGGAGAGAGGGGGTGTGCATTTGTAGGGTCAAGTCCGTGATGTCTGTCTGCAGCACTGTTCCTCCCAATTGCTGCAGATAGATGTCAAGTGAAATACATTTCCAGGTAAGAAAGGCATGGTTTTCTCATAAAACGTGTCTCACAGTTGCATATCCTCAGAGTGCGTGTATATACATTGAAATGTTGTGCATTCAAGGCTCGAATACTTAGATGGACTCGTGTAATTATCATTGTTATCCCAGTTAGTAATGTTGATTGCCTCTAGCATATTCCATATTATTGTTTCATGTTTTTTCCTGTGGATGTTCAGCCAGTGTGGTAGATATTGGGGCTGTTGATGGTGTGATGTAAAAGTAATCCAAGATTCTTGAAAATGTAGCAAAGAAAAAAAAAAAAACCTTAATTGTTCTTAACTTTTTTTTTTTTTGTCTCCTTTTCTAGAAGTGGAACACTAAACAACCATTTAGAAGCTGCTATTCACGAAGCTATGAGTGAGCTGGACAAAATGTCTGCCAATGTAAGTTAGTGTTTCTTAAAAAAAATAAACGCTTTATGATTAAAGGGTCACCACTTGCCCCCTCTCTTTTTTCAACTTTAGCCCATCCATTATAACTGCAGCACTTATAGCAAGTAACTTGTACAGAATCTTTCATAATTCAAGCACCAGGGTAGGTGTGGCTAGGGCTGCATAAACAGAAACAAAAGTGATTTAACTCCTAAATGGCAGACAGTTGAGCGGTGAAACTTCAGAGGCATGATCTATATGTAAAAAGTCCTTCATTAAGCTTAACTAGAGATCCTCCAAGTTAATTGTTATACCTGCACCTTATGTATTTTCATTAATTGTATGTCCTATATATCCTATATATATTGCATCTGTTATGGTGGTAGTTTGATTAAAAACCTCAGTTGAGGTTGAAACAAAGTTGTGTATCTTCAAAAAAATCTGCCTGCCACTTTACCTGAGTCCCTCTTTTGTAAGGAGAAAGTCAGTCCTCTTCATCTCTTACATATTAACTTTTGACAGTGCAGCTGTTGTGCTCTGTCTCCATGATGCTCCATTGTCAATGAATTCTTGTGACCTGCACTGTCTGATTAGCCAACATTGATTATCGGTTGCGTTGCATGGCTACATAAAAACATGAAATAGGTTGCAGTTTTTATCTGTGCTTCTTAATTAATACTGGGTTCTAGTGCAGTTTTTCTGTGCATGTATTCTAAGTATCCACAGGTGATATAGAACAATGGTTCTTAAATTAGTTCTCAAGGAACAACTATGGTTCGGTATCCCACTACTAAAATATGCTTACTGTAAAGAACCCTTTCTTTTGGTGTGTGTGTGTGTGTGTTAGTTTAGTTAGTTAAAGAGTATTTGGGCTACTGTTTCTGCTTGCAGTGTTAAGTAGCACTTCACTAATTATCTGGTTTATTTGTCATTTTAGGTGCATCAGATTCCACAGAGAGACCGACAGTTAAAGCCTCCGAAACCGAAGAGGAGAAAAATATCTAGATAGCATTGAATGTCTTTAATAACGGTTGAGAACATGCACATATATCTGTATATAGGCATTAATATTAATATATGTATATCAATATTTCTATGATGATAGATATCACCACCTGGTGTAAAGTGAAAACAGTGGTAAATATTTTTGCATTTAGGCAGTTGGTTTTCAACCCATTGCGGTCTTTGAAAGAAATCATACTTGTGCGATAGAATGAAGAAATTTATTTTTTTTTCTATGATGCGACAATTGTGATTAAAAAAAAAAAAAAAAAAATTGGAGAAAAAAATGTTCAAAATGTTTCTGATACAGTTTCATTTTCAATGTGTGAGTTTATATATATATATATATATATATATATATGTATGTATATATGTATGTATATATATATATATATATTCTCGAATTTCATGCTGATAATTGAAATGTAAATATTGTACAGTATTGTCGCGTACTGACTGCACACTATCTTTTAATGTACAATAATCGTGTACAAAAATTCTTTGGGTTTCTATCAAGAACACATTCAATAGGCCTACCAGTGTATACTGGTAAATAATGATACAGCCTAAATGCTTTTCTATGATAACGTAAGAGATGCTGTTTTGTAATTGACAGCAGAGGACAGGCATGATTATGTAATCTCTGAACTATGACATTCACTTCATGTTGTTTCCATGTCTCTCCATTTAGAATTAACCTTGCTCAGAAGTTTTTGTTTTTTAAACTTCTTTCAGGTCCCTGTGGGAGAGTGAATTCGTGCCGAATCCTGAAGGGAATTGTGATTGCATGTCAAGTGCTTATTTAACAAACTGCAATAATGTATTTTAGTTTTTTTGTTTTTTTTCTCACTGTAAGTGCTTAGTATCCAAGGGTGAGTTAGCATAAATGTTTAACCAAACCCCCCAATCGGTAGTACATTAATTAATATTTATTATCTATCTATCATGGTATATACAGTTTAGACTGTATTTGAAGAGCATACAATTTAACCGATACATTATCTTAGTAGACTTGCTAACAAATGTATATTTATATATTTTTTTTTTTTAAAGGAATTTCTTTCCCACACCTGTAAGATCTCTTTGAAGATAACAGACTATGCAATTTGCATGTACCTCTGTGCTCAGAATTTCTTGACAAGCGAAAGAGAGGAACCTTTAATAAAAGGTCTCCTGCTCCTTCACGCCTTTTATAACGGGCTCCACAAAGCTCCCACCCACCAGTAAGGTAATTGGCCCTGGGGAAGTGCAGAAAGGGGACAAGTTGTAGGCAGATCCAGGGATTAGTCTAATATCTTGCTAAACTGTGAGATATGTTATTGATCAATACGGTTGATTTTACATGATTTACCTGATGAGGTATTGGTGCTTAATGTGACACTGTCGTGACAGATTCACTTTAAACTACAAAGATGTATTGTTTTCACTGGTTCTCGAGTATGTCCTGTGGTCTAGATGTTGGTATAATGTCTGTTGTTGCAGAGCTTTTTGAAGGAGCCAGAGTTATAGGACGCCATTATAATTCTTATGGGTAGTATGGCTGTCTGTGCAGTCACTTCTGTCCTCCTTATTTGTAGTCTTTACCAATGGCACAGGGGTTAAGAGGGATTAAGAGGCATTAAGTAAGTCTTATTATACACATTTGCCAGCAATTCTCCTAGCAAAATGTACTGAGGAAAGTATACCCTCAATAAAGTGATAACAAGTCATACTCGATAAACAGAAAGTACCGTTTGCATTACTCTGGATTTTGCATCAGATAAAGTTTTACAATTTGACAAGATTTGTTTAGCAAATTGGATTAGTGCAGCAATTCTCAAATCAGCCATCAATGTCTACCTAATTGAGGTATTTCTCAATATCTGCTCTAATGGGAATATTTATACGTCCCTGCCCATTTTGGCCCCTTTTGGTACCAGATTGATAATTACTAGATTGGGGTTCGTGTCTTTTTCCAGCTAAGAACATGCGTCTTCCTTTCTCTGGTATTCTCCATAGTTGCTCAGCACTTACAGAGGTGAAATCAAAATATTTTTTAGAGTTTATTTTTGTTTTTAAATAATTTTATCTTAAGTTAAGTTGAACTTTTAAAGTGAGTAAAAGGCAAATCAAATAAGTTTTTAAAGGAGTGAAGAACTTAATATTGTATTCATATTGTATTGAGAGATTTTGGAGGGGAAAAAAAATAGTTTTTGGTACAAAACATTGCAATAGATGTCTAATAGGACATGTTAGATCTAGCCGCTTGTGACCAAGGAACAATGTTTAATTAAGCTTCAATTCCTCAATACATATTTGGTTCTCCAGTCTTGTCTGTCATATAAAAATCATCAAAATATGTGATGTGCACAGGAGGCCCATTTTAATTACGTTCTTCCCCTTTAAAAGTGTTATGTCTATTGACATGAGCTTAAATTGCACCTATTTTCAGCCTGGCCAGCTCTCAATAATATAGACTTTCCGTTTATTTAGAATTAATTATGAGTTTTACACAGTGTGCGAAATTCTACTCTCTATGTTACAGTTACAAACCTACCCACTAAACTTAAAAGGGTATTTGCTGTAACTCTTTGAATTCACAACAAAAGTGAATGTTTATTGCCTATACTGCTAATTTATAGTTCATTTCTATACTACGCATTACGTTACAAACAGTCAAGAAGGTTATAAGCTCTCTGTCTTGGTATTCTAACCTTATAAGCATGTATGTCTGTTATATTTTTATTTTTTTCACCCTCAAGACCCATCACGCAGTATTAATACATGGAAAGTGAGGTGGCTGGCCTCTCAACCAGCAGCTAATTTTAATTTCTTTTTTTTTTTTTTTTTAAATCAGTATTATGTAACATATCACAGATTTATTTTATTTAAAAAGAAGTATTTATACTGTTAACAGATTATATATTAATGTGGCTGAAACATGCAAGTTATTTTATTAACCAAATTATTTATGTTACGTAAAGTGAAAATGTGAAACAGAAAAAAAAGACATAAAAAAACACTACAAATAAATGAGCCTACATTATTGTAATTGCAACAAAAGATTGAATCTACTATATGTATATATTTATATATGTATGTTTGAGAAGCTAAGTGGTATGTACATATATATATGTATATATACATAGGCAATGTAGTTTGGTATGATTTTCTTCCTATGTTTGCTACCTGGTGGATTTCAGCAGGGCTACACTAAGCTACAGTGGCCTGAGGTCAACAATTCTCTCATCCTTGTCTGGTTCATTTCTAATTTTCACACCATGGCAGAACATCACAACATGGTCTCCCAAACAACTTCTGTGAAACAATTTATGTATTTTAGTTGACACTTTTTTTTTTTTTTTTTGTTACAACCTAGTGTGTGTGCGTTACTTTGAAACTGTTAATGTTACTCATTTTTCGTACTTGTCTGCTTTTCTGCTGTTTTTGTCTTCACAGATGTTATTCATAAAGATAATGTACGTTTTATTTTCTTATCTGTTTGTTTATATCTCTCTCCCCCTCCACAGTTTTTATGGTCATCTTTTGGAGAATATTTGTACTGATTAGCCATTTATCTAATGTTTGCGCTAATTACTTTTGTTATCTCCCAACATTATACTTTACAATAGTAGCCTGTGTAAAGTATGTACATTGTCACTCACTCATTGATCTGTTAGTGTGAGTGATAGAGGTAGTTGGTTTAAATTCATAAAGTTTTGGGGATTTTTGTTTGTTTTGTTTTTTTGTTTTTCTGCATTCTTATGGTTTTATGTATGCAGCTAATGTAAATATTGTGCGCATTACAGGTCATGCAGTGTTGTGACATTTAAAAAAAAAAAAAAAAAATGTTGCACCTACTTTACGATTAAAGAAAAGAAAAAGAAACTGGTCATATACTTGAAATTCTACCTGCAGAGCTATTTATTTCTGTGTTTAAAAGTACATTTTTACTAGGAGAGCCTTTGGTGAGCTATTGGAGTGGGTTTCTTCAATAAATCTACATTTGTTTTTGTTTGAGTAAAACAAACCTATTATTCATTTTTCACATAAGTGTTAATAGAAAGGCATGCATTGACCAAACATTGTTTAATGTTGCCCTGACCCTTGACTCCTATTACCTTGTAATTGATGAGTTTTAGGTCTCCATTATAAACTTGAATATATTAGAAGGTACTTCATAAAGCAGTTAATGAAAATACAATTTTTAAATTCCATTTAAACCCAATAGATATTAAATAGCTAGAATATATATATATATATATATATATATATATATATATATATATATATATATATATATATATATATATATTCTCTCTCTCTTCCCGTATTGTTCAGCTTAAAGGACCACTCTAGGCACCCAGACCACTTCAGCTTAATGAAGTGGTCTGGGTGCCTGGTCCAGCTAGGGTTAACCCATTTTTTCATAAACATAGCAGTTTCAGAGACTGCTATGTTTATGAATGGGTTAAGCCTCCCCCTATTTCCTCTAGTGGCTGTCTCCTTGACAGCCACTAGAGGCGCTTGCGTGCTTCTCACTGTGATTTTCACAGTGAGAGCACGCCAGCGTCCATAGGAAAACATTATGAATGCTTTCCTATGTGACCGGCTGAATGCGCGTGCATTCAGCCAACGTGGAGGATCGGAGGAGGAGAGCTCCCCGCTCAGCGCTGGAAAAAGGTAAGTTTTAACCCCTTTCCCCCTTCCAGAGCCGGGCGGGGGTGGGGGCACCCTCAGGGCACTATAGTGCGAGGAAAATGAGTGTGTTTTCCTGGCACTATAGTGGTCCTTTAACTGTATGATGCCCAAGGCCATTAGCGTTTTATTCATCCCACAATGACTAGAGGCTGTAAGCCATTCCCAGCCCAGCTGAAATGCTTTCAAATTTTTAATACCTCCTTTCATCCTGTTTGTTTACATGGCTACACAGTGTGCCTACTGGGAGAAAATACCATTTTTCTTTTTTGTTATATATTTAGAGGGATGTTATTGAATGAAGGACCCCCAGATATTACAAATAAAATATTCTATTGTATGTGTTTTTAGCCTGATGTAGCTGGCAAGGTACAAAAAGCAACAAACTCAGAATTTCTTCACCATGGTAATAAAGAGCAATCAAGTGGTTGTGTAATGCAGAAGGTGTAAAGAAATTAAAAAGAGGCAATTGCGTAGTTATCTAAAACATAAGCTGCAATAACTCAACTGCTTTCTGACGGCAGAGGGTTTATCAATTCCTGTATTAGATGAATGGCCGTTGAGACTCCATAACAGGGAGATTTCACAACTTCTGTATTCTGTTGTTGCCTTAGACATGCTGTACAACCTACCCCTAAACATCTTCATAAACT